GAACATAGGAGTGCATGATCTGATCAGATAGATCAATGGGGCTGTGAGTCCAGAGCCTGCTTTACCCCCACCCTGCTCCAGCCCTAGGCAGGTGCTTCCTTCCCCCAGGGCAGGGCAGGGGTGGCCCCAAGCATGGACCCCTGTGGGTCCACCTCTGCAGGTAGGCTGCTTGGGAGGCTCAGTGCTGCTTTCTCTTTGGAAGCAGGCTTTACGTCCAGTATGAACCCCTGACATGCCTCCCCACCCTGCATGGGCTGTGTCTGGACACTGCTGTGACACACCTGTGCATGCACGTGAAAGTTTGGAGGGGATAAGACTGGCTCCCAGGAGCTCTGCCGAGCGCCCAACCCTGCTTGTGTCTCGGCCTTGCTGGGTGTGTGTCCCTGTCTGGCTCCCCAAGTGCTGGCTCCTCCCAGGGCTTTGGGCGGCTGGCCCGCCTGTCCCTCCCCTCCCGCCACGGATGGCCCAGGCGGGCGGGCACGCGGGGGCTGCTCGGCGGGCTTGCTTCTGGCTGCGGCCCAGGTGCGGGCAGTACTCACAGCCTCACGCGCCACCCCCTCCCCCCCAGCTGGGCAGACGGGAAAATACCAGACATAGTTGTGCAAAGGTGGCTGCTGGCAGGAGGCAGCTGATGGGGGCCCTGAACTACCAGGACCAGGGGAGGCCTCTGTGCAGCTGGACTGCCCTTGGGGCAGGGGTGGGAGTATGCAAGTGTGTGCTGGGACCCCTGAGCAAAGCAGCCTGCTTCTGCTGCATCATCTGGAAACTGGGACTGCTGAGGGCTTGGGCAGTGGTGGTGGGGACCCAGCATGCAGCTTCCCAGCTTCGGTTCTGCCCACACGCCCTGGGTGACCTGGGTAGGCCCAGCTCGCTGTGTGGGGCACCCCTATTGCTGGGCCTGAAGTGAGCATGCTAGTGCTGCTGCCTCCCACATGGTGGGCCTGCATTACCCATAAGGAAACAAGGCTTGGAAACAGCAGTGAGGCCAGGTGCTGGAGCTTCTGCCATGAACTGCCCTCAGATGCATCCAGACAATGGGAGATGGAGAGCTTTCCCCAAGACCGCTGAAGCAGAGCACAGAATCCAGCCTGGGGTGCCGGGTGAGCATCCACTCGGGATGAGCAGGGGAGCCTGCTGAGCCTGAGGGTCCAGGGAAAAAAGCATACCCCAGGCTCTTCAGGAAACTGTCTGCCCTGGCCCCTCTCCTGGGACCCAGGCCTCAGGATAAGCCCCTCCCCAGCCCAGGAGGCAGCCTCTGGCACTGGCTCCTTCCAGAGCCTCTCTGGCTGCAGTGGGCTCTGGAAGTTTGGGAGGTGAAACTGCAGTGTCTGTAGGAACTTGGGCAGACCCTCCCTTAGCCTTTTGCATGGCTGTAGACTGGCCAACATCTACATTTTATTAAGCACCTACTGGGCGCCCAGATTTAGATGCACACAGATAAAAGGAAAGCGCTGACTGTCCCTCCAGGAGTCCACAGAGTTGGGGTGAGGTTGTTTAGGCTCACAGGCTGGGAGGCAACTTGCCTGGGCAGGAAGAAGCAGAGTGGGACTGTGGCCCCAGGAGGTCTGGCCTATACTTGGAGCTGTGCTGCCTGGTAGGGAGGACACACCTGGGACAAGCCTGTCTGGGCCCCCCAGCAAGCCCTGCCGCTGCCCTCCAGCCAGCCCCTGCTCCTGGGCGGCCCGGGAGGGTGGAGCTCTTGGCCAGAGCAGGGGAGCTGCGTGGTTCCCAGGAATGCCGAGTTGTGGGGCCGTTTGCCTTGGCAGCGTCTCTGCCCTCAGTGCTCCAAGCCTCCTGGTGGGCCCCCATCCCACTGGTCCCTCTGGCGCCCACCCACCAACGACCCTCCGCTCTTCCCAAGCTCTGCCCCTTTTCCTGGTACACCCAGGGCCAAACCCAAGCCCCTCACCACCCCAGCCACTGGAGGGGCTTTTGAATCTCGCTCAGCCAGATGAGCAGTAACCCTGGACAGGTCCCCAGGTCCCGTGAAGCTTGGTCTTTATGTCTGTGAGATGGGGCGAAGCAGCATCTGCTTCAACGGGTGTCGGTGTCGTATGCTGTGGGGACACGTGCACCTGCGTCTGGCCATGGGCAGTGTGGTACCCGTACTCACTCGTGGCCTCAGGCCTCTCCCTTGCAGTCTTGTAAGAGCACAAAACCCAAGTGATGCGCCAGTCTCTGGGCTTGGGGACCTTGCTCTCCTGGACTTCTGGGCAGCACACCTTGGGCCCTGAAGGCACAGCTGGCCAAAAATTAGTTTTAGATCCGCTATAACGCGGGGTCACTGGCCTGGGGCAACGCTACTCTAAGGTGTGTGGAGGACTGGGGGATTCACCCTGTGCACTCTCACTCACAAGCACTCTGTAGGCCTGGTGACCTCCAGCCTCAGTTTCCCAAGCAGAGTAATTCAGTAGTGTGGTGTGGGGGCGTTGGGGGAACCATGCAAAAGATTCAGTGAGCCCATGGGCAGCTCTGGCTTTCTGCAGGGAGTGTGTTTAACCTCACTGTCCAGGTGTGCACCAGCTTTGTCATAGCCCTGCAGATGCCAGGGAGGGATGCGGGCTGGCTTCACCTGTGTCATTCTACTGAGGGGTGCAGCCACAGCTGAGCATTGCTTGCAGGCAGCACACAAAGGTGGCCATTGTCTGGCCTGCTGTTGGGGGGGGGGTGATGCCCAGGCCACCCTCTGGTGACACCCCCCCCTGGGGTGGGGGAGGGTCCACCGCCCCAGCCTGGCCACCCCTGGTGGTCCAGTGCCTGCTACTTCCTCCCCCCACGCTCTGCTCTAATTAGTTCCTTTTGCAGCCGTGGTGGCCCTGCTGCACCTCAGCCTCCAAACAGGAAAACTAAGGAATGGGGAAAACTGAGGCGCCGGGTGCTGCGCAGGGTGCAGTGCATGAGTGCCTGCCCTCAGGGGCAACCCTCTCTGAGCCAAGCAGGTGGCCACCTCACCCTGGTTACGGGCACTGAACCAGGTGGGGGCGTGGTCAACCCTGGGAGGTGCTGGCAGTGCCAGTCCCACCCTGTGCCAGTGCTGCTCTTCCCCCAAGCCAGGAACAAAGAGTGGAGCGGAGCTGTGGACTGGCTGTTGCCAGCTGCAGGGTGGGGGGTGGGGGCAGCTCGAGGCTGGCCAAGGTCAGAGCAGGAGGGGGTCCCAGGCCCCTGGTGGGGGCCCTGCCTGGGGAGGGAGAGTTCCCAGTGAGGCCAGCCTGGGTGGAGGTGCTGGGAGGCGTGGACTCTGGGGCGGTTCCTTCTTCCTTTCCCAAGAGGGGGAGGCGTTGCCTGGGCTGGATTTGGACTGTGCAGGACAGGGCCCAGGGGCAGGAAGTAAGGGTGGGGTGGGGTGAGTGGAGTCCCTAGAGGCTGGAGCCCCCTCCTGCGCCTTGCTCCCAGGATAGCTCCTCCCATAGGCTGTGTCCCCTCAGTTCCTCAGAACAAGGTGACCGAGTGCCCTGGCTCTTGGGTCAGCCCCTTGGGCCTGGGAGAACACCTAGGGGTCAGTGCCAGGGAGAGTTCCCAAGCCATCCTGCCTCTGGGGTCCCCTTGTCAGAAGGTGGAGAGGGGTGGACAGAGGCTGTGGGGAGGCCTGTGGCCTAGGGCCAGCTGAGGGACCAGGCCACCAGCCCTTCCTGGCTCCTGAATTCTTAATCAGCATAAATATTTACTTCCTTCCTCCCCTTCCAGGCTCCCGCCACAGAGGAGCTTCAGGGAGGTTGGACTGGGCCTGTGTCTAAAAATAAACAGGTGGAAGGACAGGCAGACAGACAGCAGCCAAAACTGGGGGTATGGGGGTCAGGCAAAGGGCAGCTCTCTGACCCATCCATCACTGCCACTCACCCACCTACCAGCCATGGCCTGGGGCTGCTGAGGAGGCAGCTGGGCTTGGGTAAGGGGTACATATGACCAGACCTGACTACTACAACTGGGACACAGACACACGGGAGGTGGTGGGCACCCCCTGCCGTGGCTGGCGATGCCTGTGTCCACCCTGGCCAGGGAGCTTGAGGGGGTGGGGGAAGAGTCCCTAGAGGCGGCAGGGGGCAGTCTCAAGTGAGGGACAGGACCCTACAGGTAGGCCACACTGGCCTCTAGGCAGAAGTGCCATGTACATGCAGCATCCACGTGGTTCTGTGCACGCTTCTGGGTTGACGGTCAGAAGCCGGCTGTGGTGCCTGGCCGAGGCCCAAGGTTCAGGAGTCACCTCAGGAACAGGTGCAGCAGGGCCGCTGTAGGAGTGAGGGCTGATGAGATCAGAAAGTGAGCCTCATTAGTGGGTCCTTGATTTACAAGAGAACGACACCAGTGAACCTTGAGCAAATGATGAGGATGATAGTAGGGCATTTACAATAAGAGCCTGTCTTCACCAGTAAGAAGTCATATCCAAGTCTGTCACTGCCTGCCAAACAGGGCTGGTCAGCTCTTCCCTCCCTGCCCCAGCCGGCCTGGTGGGACCACAGTCCCCAGCTGCCCCCTGGTGGCAGCCTGGGGCCCTCGGAGCTTGTGGATACCTCCTGTCCCTCTGGCTGGGGTGAGCTCTGAACTCCAGCTGCCTGGTTCTGTGCAGAGAACACAGAGGCCTGCAAGAACCCTACTTGCTTGCAAGGGGCATTCAGCCTGGTCCTGACTGAGGGCTGACTTCAAGGTTGCTGCTGGGAGAGCTTGTCCCCAGGCCTTGAACTCAGTAGCTCTGGCAGTCTGTCTAAACCTTACCCTCGAGGCCAGATGAAGATCATCAGCTTTGCTGCCCCCAGAAAGGAACCTCTGGGTAGATGGCTGGCACTCTCCCCATGTTCACTGCTGGCCAGACCACTTGCAGGGCCTCCCTCATGCTGCCCCATGCCACCGACCCCCTGCTCCCAGCCTGCTCCCAGCCTGCAGAGGGGCCTGGCTCTCAGGGTTACGGCACAGCTGTTGTCCTTCCCCAGGTTCCTGCCTAAAGCCCAGCAGGGAGCCCCTGCTGCCTGCACGACGCAAGCACCACCACCCCCATCGCCATTGCCATGCATTCCCTGGACGAGCCGCTTGACCTGAAGCTGAGCATCACCAAGCTCCGGGCGGCGAAAGAGAAGCGGGAGAGGACACTGGGTGTGGCCCGGCACCGTGCTCTGCACCGGGAGCTCGGTCTGGTGGATGACAGCCCTACACCTGGCTCCCCGGGCTCCCCACCCTCAGGTACTGGGCCAAGCAGGGCAGTAGTGCAGAAGAGTGGCCAGGAGGTGTATGTGTGCCAGGATGAGGTACCTAGGTTTCTGCAGAACTGCCCGTGGCCATGCCCATCTCTGCCCAGTTTTATTTTTGGAGGGACAGAGTGAGCTGGGCAGGAGAGGGTCTGGGGCTTTGAAAAGGTGCAGCTGCTCAACCCAGGTAGGAGAGACTGGGAAATCTGGGTCCTGAGCCACAGGCACTTCCAGGCGATGCCTGGTACCTGGGCATGGAGTCCACCTACCTCTGGCTGGCCCACTGAACAAGAGGGAACGCTGGGAGAGCAGACAGGTTCCTACTAAGCCGGTGTGCTGGAGAGCCTGGGCTCTGTCCTGTTACTGTAGGCCAGGCCTTTCCCACCTACAGAATGGCTGCTTTCCACTTCTTGTGTGTGTGATGGTTAGCTGCCTCACATAGAGGGGGAATGTCATTACGTTTTGTCAGCTGCTCCGTGGGCACCCTGGGTACCTGGAAGGATTCAGAGGTGGGAGGATACAGCTCCCTGGGATGCCTGGCTCCAGCACTCCCTGAACTGTGCCTTCTCCCTGCCAGGCTTTCTATTGAACCCCAAGTTCCCTGACAAGGTGGAGGGGCGCTTTTCTGCGGCCCCTCTGGTGGACCTCAGCCTGTCACCACCATCTGGGCTGGACTCCCCGACAGGCAGCACCTCGCTGTCCCCCGAGCGGCAGAGCAGTGGAGACCTGTCTGCAGCGCCTGCAGCCCCGGTAAGCAGGGCTGCTGCTTCCTGGGGCAGCTCCTGGTGTTGGAAATAGTGTAACAGTTTTGGAAGCTTCCCTCTGCAGGTGCTGAGGACCCCTCCCATCCTGGCACCTTCTATGTTTCCCATCCAGTGGGACTTTATTGTACCTCAGTTATGTGTGCAGAGAACTAACTAAGGATAAGGCCTCCTGTGCAGGTGAGGGTGGGACTGTGACCAGCTCTTGTCCTCCTAGGACTTCCAGCGCTGCCTGGATGGTGTCCCCAGCTCCTTCCACTTCTTCCTGCCCCTGGGCTCTGGGGGTGCCTTGCACCTGCCCGCATCCTCCTTCCTCACCTCCCCTAAGGACAAGTGCCTCTCACCAGAGCTGCCCCTGCCTAAGCAGCTGGTGTGTCGCTGGGCCAAGGTGAGATGGGGCTGGGAAGGGTAGTGAGGGCTGGGGTGGGCACCTCTGCCCTGGCTGAGACCATTCCCTGGTCCCATAGTGCAACCAGCTCTTTGAGTTCCTGCAAGACCTGGTGGACCACGTCAACGACCACCATGTCAAACCTGAGAAGGATGCTGGGTACTGCTGCCACTGGGAGGGCTGTGCCCGCCATGGCCGTGGCTTCAACGCCAGGTGAGGGGAGGTTGCGAGGGTGGCCAGGGAGCAGTGGGAGGCAGGGGTGGCTGAGCTTGTGTCCTGTCTCCTTGAGCAGGTACAAGATGCTCATTCACATCCGCACACACACCAACGAGAAGCCGCACCGCTGCCCCACCTGCAACAAAAGCTTCTCCCGCCTGGAGAACCTGAAGATCCATAACCGGTCCCATACCGGTAAGAGGCGGGTGGGACACCTAAGCAAGGCTGGGCCTTCCAGAGGAGAGATGTGGACCTTTTATGAACACCACTTGCTAGGGGAAGGCCTTCCCTCGGGCCCAGACCACACGAGTTGATGGCATAACCTCCTGCACCTGGTCCTCAGGGTTACCTGCCTTCAGCCACTTCTGGTAGCTTTGAAGCCCAGTTTTTCTTTTAAAGATTTATTTTTATTATTATTTTTTTTTATTGGAAAGGCGGATATACAGAGAGGAGGAGAGACAGAGAGGAAGATCCTCCATCCGATGATGCACTCCCCAAGTGAGCCGCAACGGCTGATGCCGATCCGAAGCCAGGAGCCTCTTCCGGGTCTCCCACATGGGTGCAGGCTCCCAAAGCCTTGGGCTGTCCTCGACTGCTTTCCCGGGCCACAGGCAGGGAGCTGGAAGGGAAGCGGGGCTGCCGGAACAAAACCGGCGCCCATGTGGGATCCCGGGCGTGCAAGGCAAGGACCTTAGCCACTGCGCCACCGCGCCGGGCCCGAAGCCCAGTTTTTCAACACTCCCCACACCAAGCAGGGTCAGGTCTGGTCAAGGGATCTGTGGACTTGATTTTAAATTGCCTAACTACCGTGTTAAAAAAAAGCCACAGAAAGATGATGTGAGTTCCAATGATGTTTATCACTGAGATGTGGGACACATATCTTACCACTTCCAAGGCTCAATGACCGCTGGCCCAGTGGCGGGCTGGGAAGCTGGCAGGGGACAGTGCTCGCCATGGGCCACACCCCTGCCAGGCGCTTTATGGAATTAAACGAGGACATATCACTAAGTTTACAGAACATGGAATTAAGAGATGCTTATTTTGGTGCGAAACAGTTTTGACATCCATGAATAGTTTTGTTGAGATCTAGGTTTTTCATGAACTTTTTGAGGAAACCTCATATGCAGGGGTTTCAAAGTGTTTTGTTTTGGTTCTTTTTTGTACTAAAACAAACCTTTTCAGTTCCAATGCTGTGAACCTTGTGCCCGGCCTTTGAGTGCTCTACACATTGGGGTTCACAAAACGCCCAAGACCATAGCAGAATTGGGGCTGACCAGCTCCATTTTTAGCCACCACAACACCCTCTGCGCCCCTCACCATGAGTGCAGGGCGGGGCTGCCTCCCCTACCTGCCATCACTATGCATTGGCAAGTCTGGGCTCTTGGGGCACTGTGAGCATGTGCAGGAGTGGGTATGGGGGATACCTGGGAGGAAGAGCCCCTCACGCCATCTGCCTGCCTGCCCCACGTGCAGGTGAGAAGCCCTACGTGTGCCCCTACGAGGGCTGCAACAAGCGCTACTCCAACTCCAGCGACCGCTTCAAGCACACACGCACACACTACGTGGACAAGCCCTACTACTGCAAGATGCCTGGCTGCCACAAGCGCTACACAGACCCCAGCTCACTGCGCAAGCACATCAAGGCCCATGGCCACTTTGTGTCGCATGAGCAGCAAGAGCTCCTACAGCTGCGCCCACCCCCAAAACCGCCGCTGCCTGCCCCTGACGGCGGCCCCTATGTTAGTGGGGCCCAGATTATCATCCCCAACCCTGCGGCCCTCTTTGGAGGCCCTAGCTTGCCCGGCCTGCCCCTGCCCTTACCCCCTGGCCCCCTTGACCTCAGTGCCCTGGCCTGTGGGAACGGTGGGGGTGGTGGGACTGGGGGGGGCATGGGCCCTGGGCTGCCGAATCCTGTCCTGCCCCTCAACCTGGCCAAGAACCCATTGTTGCCCTCGCCCTTTACAGCTGGTGGACTGGGCCTACCTATGGTCTCCCTCCTCGCCAGCTCCGCTGGCGGCAAGGCTGAGGGGGAGAGAGGACGTGGGTCAGCGTCCACCCGGGCCCTGGAGGGCCGAAAGACACCCCTTGAAAGGACGGAGAGCAGTCGCTCCCGGCCAGGCCCTGACGGTCTCCCTCTGCTGCCAGGCACCGTGCTGGACCTGTCTACGGGCGTCAACTCGGCAGCCAGCAGCCCGGAGGCGCTAAACCCTGGCTGGGTGGTCATCCCTCCAGGCTCTGTGCTACTGAAGCCGGCCGTAGTGAACTGAGCCGCCCCAGGCAGCTGTGGCATCCCTGACGAACAGAAACCCTCTGTGAAATAGCAATAATGTCCTTGGCCGGGCAGCAAGGATGGTGCTAGAAAGTCGCTGCTGGCTTCCTGGCCACCAAGTGAGGACTTGACCTGCCGTCCAACAAGAGCTGTGCTCTTGGGTGCTGAGGCCTCACTCACCCCTAGTCCTCCTGCCCCACAGCTTTGGTGAGGCTCCCTCCCCTACCAGCCTCCCGCCCTGGTGCCTCCCCTCATCCAGTGGGTTGCCCTTGTCCCTGCCTTGCTCACCTGACAGCCATAGGGCTGCTGAGACTGCTGCCATGGAGGTATCTCCCCTCCCTGCTGGTGCCATGGTACCAGGCCCCTTCCCACCAGAGGCCACCCTCCTGCCTGGACTCACACAGCCCACGCCCTGGAGGCTCTCTGATGCTTTCCCCATGGAGGGAGGCTGACAGATGCGGTCACTGTTCCCCTCGCCTGCCCCTTGACAAGGTGCCTCTTGGCCTGCTCTGCCCACTGGCCTAGTCCCCTCATGCAGCCCACCCAAGGGTTGGCCCTCTCTGGGCTGCACAGCACTCCGAAGTGACAGGACAGCACAGCTGATCACTCCCTGGCCCTGCCCCTAGAGCCTATCCCTCTACCTCTCTCAGGCACTGGGCACCAGGCACTGTAGTGGTGTGAGAAGCAAGCAGGAGGAGCCCTGGGCTGGAAAGGGGGCAGGGGCAAATGACTGGCAGCAGCTTTGGGACCAAGAACTCAGACTGGGAACTGCTGCCCAGCCCAGACTCAGAGAGGCCTGCAGAGCCTTCTGCCCAGCCCCAGGAGGGAGCTTCTGGTCTGAGGCACAGCACCCAGGGACAGGGGACTTTGTGAACTGAGGCTGGGCTGCTGGGTACAACCCTAGGCCATGAACGAGAAACCTGGACAGCTCCCCCAGGATCTAGGCTGGGATGAAAGTGAGCTGAGGACACTAGAGACAGGTGTGGACCACAGCCTTCTGCCTGGTTCCAACAAGCTGGGTCCTGTCTCTCCCCACAAGGCAGTGGGGAATTCTGGCTTTTGGACCTCCCCGTCACTAGGCCACAGGATGGCCAACCCTCTTGTATCTCCGCTGGTAGAACAAAGGGGCTGCTCATGGTAGTGGGGTCCTCTGCCCTGCAGGCCTCTAAGCAGCTCTGCTGAACCCAACCCCCCTGGACTGCCCTTCTGTCCCAGAGGGGTCACCCTGACCCGGCCCACCAGCTGTTGGGCTCAGACCCCAGCCCAGACAAGCTCAGCTGTGCTGGCTCTGCCCCTCAAGGGGGCTGTGAGCAAGTTGGGAAGGAGCTGGTCTCCTTTCTTTGGGCTCCACACAGGACCCAAGGCTCCCCCACCCCTTTTGGGGCCCTGGGCTGGGGGGGCAGGGCCAGAAACAGAGGAGGGGCACTGGACAGTGGCTTTAGCTCAGCATGTGATTCAGCATAGACCAGGCTTGGAAGGGCCAGTGTACTGTTTGTTGTTGTCGTCAGTTTGTTGTTGCACATTCCAGGATATCAGTATTTTAACAGGTTCTAAGTGCCTTTCTATTGTAGCTTATGTTTCTCCTCCTCTTGGCTCCACTGCTGTTAGCATAGAGTTTAAAAAAAAAAAAAAGAGATAAGCTAATGACTATAACAAATATTCTTCCATGTGAGAGGAAGTTTATAAAGAAACAATAAAAGTGAGTTGCAACGACGCTTTCAGTGTCCCCACTGCCCTGCCATAGGTGCCAGGTGCTGGGAGAGAAGGTTGGGAGGGCTGAGGAGGGCTGAGGAGCACAAGAACCAAGAGCTGAGGTGAGAGGTTAGCAATGAACAGTGCTAGAGTCCAGTGTTTGTCCTGACGCTGCCTGCTGTGGCTCATGCCTGGCACCTTGTAGCCCACAAGCATGATGCCAGACTCATACCCAACTCAGATTTGTGACAGCTCTGGGTTCAAGGGCAGACAGGAGGAAGGGGGCTATGGAATAGGGGCCTGGCGGAACACTACTGGGGGAGCTGCTGTGGAGGCAGGAGGCTGGCTACTGTTCCACAGGCTCGTTTCCCCAGACACCTCTGGGTTGTTGGCAGCCACAGCTTGCCCCATCCCCAGTCTGCGTGGCCCCCGAATGGCAGGAGAAGCAAGCTGCCTCTGAAAGCCAGATGCACACACACAGGAGACAAACAGCAGACATTTATTACCGAACTATAAATTAGAGGTAGGAGGGGGTGGGGATGGGCAGAGCTGAGCCATCACGTTTTGGGTGCCTGCCCTCTCTCTCTGTCCTCCTGGGCCTTGATTCTGAGCTCCTCATCCAGGCGCTCCTTCGCACGGACCACCTGAGTGGGAGGATGCAGACGATTGTTGTTTGATGAATCTCTGCCCTGGGCTCCTACCTCCATAAATGGGCTTATTCCTGACCCAGGTCCAGTCTGACTCCCTGAGGAGCTGCCTGTGGGATATAACTGCCTCCCTAGGCAGCACCCCGGCTGGCAGCAGTGGACTAAGCTGGCCCCTCTGCAGAGGGGCAGCACCTCAGCCTGGACATCTACAAGTACTCAGTCAGAGGACAAAGACTGGCTTTTAAGCAGCCTACACATCTGCCCCTTCCAAGTCCACTGCTGGGAGGGCCATGTGGGGGACATATGTGGCCCCACAGAGCTGAGGTAGGCAGAGGGTAGCAGTAGAGAGAGTCCCCTTCTGAGGTTGGGGCACACCAAGGTTTTAACTGCTGGCTCCTGTGATGGAAAACAAGGGACCCCAGGTAGGAAGAGAAGGTTCAAATCCCCGCCCCATCTCTCCAGAGACAAGCACACTGACCTTGGACTGCAGGTAGAAGGAGCCGCCCACAGACTTATCATTCACCTTGAACAGGTGCTCATAGTTCTGCAGAGAGGAAAGGGGGTTCACAGCCCATGCCAGGGACACAAGGGAAGCTGAGACAGTGCTGAGGACAAGCTCAAGGGCAGGATGCCTCCATGCACCTGCTATGCCACATCACACAGGAGCTGGAGGCGTGCAGGGGCAGCCTCACCACACACCTAACAGCAAGCCACAGTGACTGTGCAGGGCTGGCCGGGACCCCTACACCACTCCCACCACCATCACCACCCTCCAGGAGTTGGCATGGGTCTCACCTTCTGGATCTCCTCAGGGCTCAGCTTGGACACGTTGAGAATCTGCTGGGCCTCCTGCAGGCTGAGGCCCGAGAGGCTGGAAGCGGCTGCAGACTGGTGGCCCGCACGGCCCCGGGCGTCAGCTGCAGCCCGGCTGGCTGTGTGGACATGTGGGCGATAGCTCAGCTTTTGGCTGCAGCCTAGGGCTTCCCCAGGAACTTCCAAGTGGGTGGCTCGTCCCTGCCAGGTGGCATGGGACAACAGCCAGAGCACTGGTGGCAGGAGGATCTCCTCCAGAGTGGGCTTTTTGGGGGCATGAGGTAGAAGCTCATCGGCTCCTGGTCTCCAGTCTCAACCACAGGATAGTCTGCCCTCTTCTCTCCCACCTCCCATCCCAGGGGCAAAGCAAAGTGGGGCTACCATAGGGATGAGCTACAAAGAAACTGCCTAAGGGAGGGGTACAGCTTCACAGCAGGATTCCCTGGTGACCTTCCCAACAGCCCCTTCAGGAGTCGCATGCTTTTCCCTCAAGGGTCAGACGGCACCTGTCCTAGGCTTCACACCCAGAGACTGTGCTGGAATTACTCAGCCGCCTGGAAAGCAGAGTGCATGCGGTGTGGCTGTGACCCAGCACAACTTTGTTCCCCAACAGGTGCCGGGCAGCCGTCTGCTGTTTCTAGATGCTCACACTAGTCAAGTCTCAATTAAGACAAAATTCTCCCTACCGTGGCAGGAAAACCCAGTCAGGTGTTGTTCCAGGCTGCTCAAGCTGCAGAACCCCAGCTGGCTGTGGGGGCCTTACCTTCCACACGGAAATCCAACCCTGGCACAAGCACCCTGAAATGCTTACCTGCAAACTCCTGCCGCAAGGCCCGGGCAAAGGCCTTGCCCACCACCTGCACACCCATTACAATGATCTGGGCCAGGTACTTAGCCTGTGGACAGAACAGGCACTTGTCAGCAGGGGCAAGACCCTGCAGAAAGCTTCTGCATGGGGAGGCTTCACATTCTCATCAGACCCCTTCCTTCTCCCCACCTCCTAGCCAAGGAAAAGTGACAGCAGGGTGGAGGGGAGCAGCACGCAGAGCCTGCCACAAGCTCACTCTTCCCCAGAGTTGACAATGGCTCTTCCACACGTCTGAGACCGTCCAGCTCTACCTCAGTTAAACCAGTGGGGCTCATTTCCACCTGAATTCTCCCAGAGACCACTGAAATCCTATGACAGTCATTCAGGTGCGGCCCATGCTGGTGTGTTAACGTACTGCCTGCAACACCTCCAGCCCCTATGAGCGCCGGTTCCTATCTGCTTTGCTTCTGATCCAGCTCCCTGCTAACGTGTCTGGAAAAGCAGCAGGGGACGGCCCAGGTGCCTGGGATCCTCCTACCCAAGTGGGAGATCCAGATGGAATTTTAGGCTTCTGGTTTCATATGAGTCCTGCCCTGGCTGCTGCAGCCATTCAGGAAGTGCATGCCATTCACCAGTGCATGGAAGGTCTCTTTTATTTTTTTTAAAGATTTATTTATTTTCATTGGAAAATCAGATATACAGAGAGGAGGAGAGACAGTGAGAAAGATCTTCCATCCAAAGCCAGGATCCAGGAACTTCCACCAGGTCTCCCACACAGGTGCAGAGTCCCAAGGCTTTGGGCCGTCCTCAACTGCTTTCCCAGGCCACAAGCAGGGAGCTGGATGGGAAGTGGAGCCACTGGGATTAGAACCAGCGCCCATATGGGATCCTGGCACATCCAAGGTGAAGACTTTAGCCGCCAGGCCACAGTACCGCCAGGCCCAGAAGATCTTTCTCTAATGCTCTTCCTTTCAAAGAAATGAATAATAATAATAAACACACACACACACACACACAGGATCCACTTGGGACAAAAGCAGTTTCCAGTTTCAAGGAGCTGAAAGCGCACCAGGAGGATATTCAAACACCTCTAAGGACCTAGAGGATGATCACGGCTCATTCACTGCGTGTCCACCCTGTGCTCCACTCAGCACTGGCCACAGTGCACCAGGAGGATATTCAAACACCCCTAAGGACCAGTCTACAGGATGATCACGGCTCATTCACTGCGTGTCCACCCCATGCTCCACTCAGCACAGGCCACAGACCCAAACACAGTGTCCCCACCTGGCAGGGCAAGGTCACCCGGTGGGGGGGCAGGCGGGAGGATAACAGGAGGCTCTGAGCGCTGATAAGCCAGGGTGGACTCCAGATCTCAGAACGTGCCCCCCAGCATTGCTGTGGCTCTGGGACAGCCTGGTTATTGTTATCTGGTCTTTCCACCAGGGCCTGAGACACAGATTATGGGTGGAGAATGGTGTAGCTTAGGGAATTTTGCGGGGCAGCCTCCCTTCCCCTTGGCTGCACACCCCAGCACAGCCAGAACTGCTGTGCTACCTGTGAGGGAGAGCGAGGGACGCCTTTACAAATGAAAAAAAAAGTGAGCGAGGGCTCACTTTACAAATGCATGCTACAACTGGAGCTGGCCCAGGCCAGGACCAGAATCATAAGCTAGGGACTCCATCCAGGCCTCCCACATGGGTGACAGGGACCTGGTGCCTGAGCCATGACCTGCTTCCCTCCCAGCAGCATTATTGGGAAGCGTGGATTAGAAGCAGGGCAGCTGGGACTCAAGCCAGCACTCCCACAGGGAAGGCAGGCGTCCCAGACTGTGCCACAACATTGACACATATCACTGTTGTCTTGTTACAAACTTAAGGCGAAGGTCGGACAAGGAGAGGGCATCACAGCTTCACCAACCCAACAGTTCATGGGATGGAGGCCCCTGAATCCTCAGGGAACTAAGCAGCAAGGCCCGGGCCAATCTCACTCGGAGGTCAGCATGGCAGCCCTGGGCAAGTGACACAGCCTCTGAACCTCAGGTTCCTCTCCTGCAAGTGACCACCTTCCTTGCGGAAGGCTCAAGGCCCGTGGAGGTAGGTGGGCGCGCAGACCAAAGGGCAGCGAGCGGCAGCTCCTGAGACTCAGAAGGCAATCAGGCCTGTCTTGTTCAGTTCCCAAACCTTCCCTGAGGACCTAGCTCAGAGAGCCGCCCTGACCTCGGGCAGGCTGAACCACAAACTACTGGCCCCAAAACGTCCCACAGGCCAGTGAGTGACATTGAGGCCTGAAGGTCGCAGGCTGACAGCAGTCCTTGGGACATCCACCTCCCGGGCAATGCACACAGGCCACAGCCGCACAACCCCATCCCTGCGTCCACCACGGGCTGCTGTTCATTATCTCCTCTGGCAAGACAGGACCAGGCCCAGAGACAGCCACAAAGAGCACCGGGGGCGGGGGGCAGCACTCAGGAACACTCCCTGCGTGGCCCAGCTTCCAGGGCCTGCGTGCAATGCTCTCCTGAAGACACGGCCCCAGGCACTCAAATGGGGGGCACACACCGCTGCTGACACCGCCGGGACCCTGACTCTGGCTCTTGTCAGAGGACAACCAGGTTCTGTCCAGCAGCTACCTTCGCATTTGAATGAAGGTGGCTTAAGAATCCGTGCATAACCAAGCCACCCGCAGCGTCAGCACTGCGTGTAAACCCCATGCCTCCAGACCCCGTGCTGAGGAGCGCTCTGGCAGCCACCTCGGGCTGAGTCCACCCCCCAGCCGTAGGCGTGGTCTCCATCGGTTCCCCTCTCCCGCAGCGCTCATTCACACCTCCACCTTCCTTCCACAGCCTCCCTGCTGCCCTAGCGGGCAAGCCCCAGGACTGCGCACACGGCCACCACAGCAGCCACCAGCCAGGCGGCTGTCCCGGTCCCGCCGGGCCCCCAGGAGCCGCGGCGCCCGCACGGCCCGGGGCTCGCCGCCTCCGTTCCCCACCCGCTCCGCGGGGAGCCTCACCATGGCAGCCCGGGCTCTCGGGGTTCCAGCTTCCTGGCTCCGCGTCCCGGCTCGGAGGGCAAAGGCCGAAGACGCGTGCGTGAGGCTGCTCTGAACATGCGCAGTGCTCTCCCGGGACGGGACGCCGGCGATGACGCGCCGGGAAGGGCGGGGTCGAGCACAAGCCCCGCCCCTGGAGGAGGGGCCGGAAACCTCCGCGCATTCTGTCCCCTCAGGTTTGTCACAGCGCGGAAGGTGCACCCCTCTCAACTGTGAGCCATTCTCCCCTTACTTTTACCAGAGTATTTGGAATTAAGACATTAATCATCTGAAATAAGCCAACATAAGGAGAAGGCCAAATAATCAGTACGTTTAAGAAAAGGGCCCGGCGCTGTGGCCTAGCAGCTAAAGTCCTCACCTTGAACGCGCCAGGATCTGATACGGGCGCTGGTTCTGATCCCGGCTGCTCTACTTCCCCACTTCCCATCCAGCTCCCTGCTTGTGGCCTGGGAAAGCAGTCGAGGACGGCCCAAAGCCTTGGGACCCTGCACCCGTGTGGGACACCGGAAGAAGTTCCTGGATCCTGGCTTCAGATAGGCACAGCACCAGCCGTTGTTGCGGCCACTTGGGGAGTGAATCATTGCACGGAAGATCTTCTCTGTCTCTCCTCCTCTCTGTATATATCTGACTTTGCAATAAAAATAAATAAATCTTTGAAAAGAGGATTCTTGTTTCTTTAATTTTTAAAATTTTGATGGTCATTACATAGTTTATTAGGGCTCAAAGGGTCAAAGGCTGCAGGAAAATGGGTAAGATCGTTGTTTCCACTTTCTCTTTTTTCCTTCCTGGATCTAGGGAAAGGGGAGAGACAAAGGGAGGAGTCACACTCACCCTCCCTACCATCCCAGGGTCTGAGATCACCGCTCAAGTGACTTTGATAGTTCAACTGTTCTGAATTGCCGCCAGTCTCACCACTCCAAGCACGATGAAGTCTCTCCAGAATCCACTGGCTGACACAGTCCACCTTAATCTCCACTTGCTCAGATTTTCACTGCCAACAGTTGGCTGGGGCAGTTGATCAGTTTTTCTATTCTGTTGTGGTGCCAGGTGTCCTTTGCAGGCTCCAGTGTATTACCATATTCTGCATGTACACCTGAATATGCTGTCCACTGCTCCGTCTGAGCCTCTGAGACAGCTCAGCTTTGACACTTGCACTCCATGGTCAGACCATGGAACCTGCACTTCTCTTCATAGTTGGGGTTTTGAGTCCGGAAGGTCGATTGCGGAGATCCCCCAAAAAACTTCATCTGTAGTGATCCCAGACGAGATTCCTGGGTGTGCTTGCCAGTACAGGGTCCGGCACAGTCCGGCACCCTAGTCAGCCTATGCATGTTCCGGTGGTTGCAATTGCTGGGTCAGTTCTGCCTCCAGCCCCTTCTACATAAACCAATGGGTGTTGGAGCCCATCCCAATCCTGCCCACCACACACTTTACCACATAAACCAGTGGGAGCTGCAGCCTAGTTGGGCTGACTCACAATAACCCTCACCGGGCCTGCCTCCTGCCCTGGTTCCCACGCTTGCCAGAATGTACAGCAGACTGGTCCAGTCTGTCCCACATCCCATTGAGCTCACATACATGTCAATGGGCATTGAAGCCTAGTTCAACCCAACCAGCCCTACTATCCAGCCCACACACCTGCCAATGGGTGCCACTCTGTCTAGGCATGCCTGCCCCAGTCCTGGTTCTCATGCTAACCAGAGTGGCACTCCAGGAGGGAAGTGTCCACTGTTTCCCTATTGGGCCCCTCCCACTCCCAAATCATGCACTCTCCAGGTGGTTCTGAAGTTTGGCTTGACAGAATTAGCCCTCCATTCTAGCATCTGCTAGCTAATGCTGTGGTAGAGCCCAACCAGCCCACATCCACTCTGACTTACACTTGTACCAGTAGGAACAGTCAACCCAACCTGTTTTTTCCCTGGTCCAGCTCACATGAGGCCAACAGGTGTTGTAGCTCTGCCTGGCCTGGTCTGCCCCCTAACTAACACTCTCCAGTGGGAGTGGTGATCCAGCAGGGGAGCCCTCCACATCCCCCTACCAGATCTGCCCCCTCCCCCTGGGTCTTGTGTGTGCTGGTTGAGTGGCCTGCCTCACCTCAGCTTTTGTTAGTGGGTGCTATAGCCTGGGCCGCACTGGCTCACCCTCAATTCCAGCTTAGGTTGGTGGGGGTTACAGCGTAGTCCAGAACAGCCAGCCCCATGTCCAAGCCCTCATCTGTACTGGTGTGTGCTGCAACCGAACCCGGCCCAACCTGCAGTCCATTCTGGTGTTCAGGTTTGCCAGTGTGTGATGTGAACTGCCTCTGCTTGGTTCGCCCCCAACCTGTGCCGTATATAATGGCACCCACCAACCTATGCCATTGGGTACCATTCCCTAGCCTAGTCTGGGCCGCTTGTGCATGGTTCTTGTGCTCACCTGAATGGACTGTGTCCTGACAGAGAAAACAGGAAATTTGCAAGCAAGCAGGCTTCAGTCCAGTTCCCTTGCGCACCCCCAGGGACATTTCCAGACAGCTCCCAGCTTTCCCTGTTACCTCCTCAGTGAGGCTCCCTTAATCCCACAGAATTGTGCCTTGCCCACCAAGTCTTTAAAAAGAAAAAAGGACAATTTAGATGAGCTATAACTCGTAGGCTACAACAATGCAACATTTTTTATTTTTACAAGAATGTTTATTTACTTAAAGAGCAGAGTGACTGAGGGAGGAAGGAGAGAGGGGGAGATCTCCATCCACTGGTTCACTCCCCGAGTGCCTCCAGTGCCTGGACCACCTCTGTGGGTGGCAGGAACCTAGGCCTCCCAGTGCATTAGCAGGGTTGCCAGATAGAAGCTCTGCAGCCAGATCTGAGCCAGGTGTTCCCAGACACTGACAGGGGATGCGGCTGCCCTGAGAGGCCGGACCCTGTACTGGCAAGCACACCCATCGGGCCACAGAGCCTGCCACAGATCAGCACTTTTAGTGCACCAGCCAGTGCTCTTGGTGTTTTCAGGGTGGCCAGCACCATGGGAGTTCCAGGACACACCAGTCACTGCCCCTCCTCTCCCACTGCCATAGCCCCTCTCTGCCCGGCCCGTTCTGACAGCATCCCAGTCCACCCTGGTGTCTCCCCCTCCCTGTGCACCCCCCCCACACACATATATCTGATCTTGCCCTTCTTCCCCAAGGCTCCTAGTCCCTCCACTGCATTCGCATTCTCTAAGCCTTTTACATCCCAGTCTGGGGCCTCTAATTTGTTCCCTGTGAACAAGACTCACCTCTCTTCCACTCTCGGAGGTCAAGTATTTGGAGAGGTGTCTGGCGGGAGCGTGAGCAGGACTCTCCCACATGTCTCCTCAATAAATGAAATCCAGGCTGCCTCTGATGGCTCTCTGGACTGCTGCCCCTCCCCCACCCAGGGCCCTTGCCGTGCTGACCTCCCTTTTGTCTGATATGGGAATCTCCTGGCTGCCTCCCCAGTGACCCTGCACTTGTCACTGGCTGTCACAGCGTCTGGCCTCAGTATGGCTCCTGTTACTCTCTACTAGCTCACTCCTCCCGTGAGGCTATGAGCTGATGCCCTCTGAGAGACTCATCCCTCCTGTTCATGACTGCGTGCCACCATCCAGGGTCCCGGGCGCCGCTGGCACCTGTGTGTCCAATGAATCAAGTCCCAGTAGCCCAGGGCAAAGCCCTGAGGCACCAGGAGAGCCGGGGCCACATCACCTGTTCCTGCTATTATGTCCTTGCCCCTCTCCAGCCAGCCCCAAGACCAGCACAGCACAAGGGGTGGCCAGCGTACAAAGGTTTAATTGTTGAAAATATCCAGGGCAGCTATGGGCCGGTCCCTGTGGGGTACCTACCCTCCAAGTTGGACCAGCAGCTCTGAGATGCTCCCTTCTGGCTTTGAGCCTGGGCAACTGGTCCCAGGCCCCTGAGGCAGGTGCTGTTCCAAATCACTTGGTGGGGGAGCCAGCCCCCCAGGTCCATGATGAACTGGGACAACAGGCAAGATGGGATGGCAGGTGGTAGCTGAAGGTACCAGCTTGGGTCTGCCCAAGCAGACGAGGAGGGCAGGGCAGACGAGGAGCCCTGGGCCTGCCCAGGCCCATTCTGTTCACCCCCTGCCCACCCCCCATACCCTTTGCTCCACATGCTAGCAGGCATCTGAGAACAGGCAGCCAGGCACAGAGAAAGCAGAGGTGAAGGCAGTCCACTGGATTGCAGGGCCCAGAGGCCATGGGCCAGGACGTGCCGGGCAGGGGAGGCATCTTCCAGATGGAGAGGAAGCTGTGAGAGGTGCCAGGGCACCAGGTGGTTCTAGGACATGGTAGTGGCAGGTGAGGCCAGCAGTGACTGGTGGGCAGGCTAGTCCTGGGGGCACAAATCGGAAGTGGGAGGGAGGTAAGTGTGCTCCAGAAGGGAGGTGACTGAGGGCTGCCTGTGGGTGTAGGAGGAGCAAGGCCCACAGGCCACTCACCCACTCATCCTCATCCACTCCTTCGAAGGAGTCCTGTGGCAGCGGGTCCTCCCGGTTGCCTAGCTTGGCCACCATGGCACACAGCAGCTGAGGGTATGGAAAAGGGCCAGACAGAAGGGTTGGGAGGGGACTAGGACTCTCTGAACCCAGAAGCAACCAAGCCCCGTGGCTCAGACCCAAACACTCTTAGAGAAGCCATTCTCTTGATGAGCCTGGGCAAAGCTGATGGGTTTTCACTGAAATAGGTACTGGAGTCAGAGGAGGAATGAGAGAGAGGAGGAGTGGAGACAGGAGACCTCAGACAGAGGTGGGTTCTGCCATAGAGAGGTGCCAGAGAGGAGTCAGGACAGAGGTTGGGTCAGGAAGTCTGGACAGAGGCTGTGGTAGTGGCACCAGACACAGGTGTGGCCAGTTCCATACCATTCCTCAGATTTTCAGTTGCACACCGGAATGTCAAAGGCACTGGGAGCCCAACCTTTGGATTTGGTTGTGTTAGGCCTGGCTAGAGGGCCCCCTACCACTGCCAGCTTCTTGTAGGTGCTGGGGGTGGGGGTTACACCAAGTCAGCAGTGGGATGGAGCAGGTGTGATGTGTAGCTCCACTCCCAGCCTGGGTCAGAGTTGAAGAAACGGACGGTGGGGCACAGCCGGGGCCCTTCACCCAGTCATAGGCAGCCCTCGCCCTTGCCTACCTCTTCCTTTTTTTGCTGGTCTGACTTCTCTTCCAAGTACTGCGCTGAGGATGGGGCCCGCCGAGCAGACGCCTCACGGGGGGCTTGGCTCACTTGGGCACAGTAAGGACAGACATCAGAAAGTCCCCTGGATGGACCATCTGGTGCCAGCCCCTAGAGGATTCCATGGCAGAATTCCCAGAGGTGGCACTAACAGTGACCACAGCCTCTGAGTATCAGAGTATGCGTGTGGAAGATCCAGGGGGTGGGGGTAGGGACTTGCCTCTGGGACTCAGGAGATGGGGTAGAGATGGGCCACCCCCATCCTTAGGAATGCCAGAGGTCTCTGTGTGCCAGCAGGCATGAACAGCTGGATTTGAGCCTTCAGCCCCTGCCTTGTCCCCTACCCATCCCCCAGTCAGTCCTTCACTCTACCTGGGGTCATGCCGGGGGGCTGCAGGCTGAGCAGGCGGGGCTTCGCATTAGCACCTGCCAGCCAGGCCTCGGCACTGAGCACAGGCTCCCAGGTCACTGCTGTGGCTGGGAACACGTCATCCTGGAAGAACTCTTTCTGCGGAGGCAGGGAGGGCTGCCTGAGACACTGATCAGAGCCCTGAGGCACATGTGCTCCTCGCCAACCCCCAGCCCCAAGTCTGTGCTTGGTTCCCAAGAGTTTCTGTGGGACAAGGGGCAGGAATCCCCAAAGGGCAGTGACAGGGTGAGACCTAAATCTCCCAACAGATGTTAGGAAGCAGCTGGACAGGGTTGGGCTTTGGAGCCCTGGACCTCCATCTCACCCGGACTCGGGGCAGCCGGAAAGCCACTGGCTCTAGGGAGGTTTGACGCAGTCGCAGGCATCGAGCAAATTCCACTTCCCGCACATCACACTCTGTCTTGGGCAAGAGGACGAAGCCCTGGGGGGTGGGGGAGAGGAAAGAGGAAGTTGGGACAAGAGGCCAAAGCTTCAGGAGACCACAGGGCCACGGTCATCCCGGGTTGGGGGGGGGGGCGGTGTTGGTAATGTGCGATGGTTGCTCTTGGCAGAGAAAAGCCCTGTGGGTAATATGTGTTGAGAATTCCCACCATGGCAGTTCAAGCAGGCATTACTGGGGGACAGAGAGCAGCACAGCTTCCAGGATGCACGCAGTGTCCACATCCTTGGGACTGAGTCCATAGACGAACACCAGTCAACAGCACAAGCAACAGATACACTGGGCAAAACTGTTAGGAAGTGTGGGGTCAGTGCTTGGCCTAGCAGTGACGTTATCTGCATGTGCATGGGTTTGATACCCACCTCTGGCTCCTGACTCCAACTTCCTGCTGACAGAGACCCCGAGAGGGTAAAGGGAGGTTTCAGGTCATTGGGTTCTGTCACCCACGTAGTAGGCCTAGAGGGACTTCTCAGCCCCAACTGTGGATTCAGCCCAGCCCCTAGCACCGGTAGGCACCATAGGAGAAAACCAGAGAACGGCAGCTCTCTTTGCTTCTCTAATTCAAGCAAAAATGGAGCAAGTAGGTGGCTAAGCTGCTGGTTTGGCTGCTCAGGTCCCACATCTGGGTGCCTGGGTCCCAGTCCCAGCTTCATTTCTGATCCTTACTTCCTGCTGATGGATACCACCCTTGGAAGCAGCAGGTTGAATCCTTGCCACCCATTTGGGAGATTCAGATGGAGTTCCTCATTCCTAGCTTTGGTCTGGTCCAGCCTTGGCCATCACAGGCTTGTGGGGGCACAAACCAGCAGAAGAGTGCTGTGTCTTTCAAACTAATTTAAAAAGGGAGAATAATTGGGAAGTGACAGTGAAAAACTGAGCGTAGACATCTGGTGTTATTCCTGGGTCAGTTCCAGGACCCACTGAGCAGACTAAACCTGCAGATGCTCCAGTCCCTTACCTAAAATACCAGGTGCTGGCCCAGAACCCTCTGAGCATCCTCCAAGCACTTCCAGTCCTTTCTAAATCACTCACAGCCCTTAACGCAATGCAAATGCTGTGTAAACAGCTGTCACTCTGTGATGCTTAGAAGTCATAGTTAGAAAGCATATAAATGTTTAGTGCAGAGGCAATTAAAAATAGTCGACCTGGGGATGCAGCACCTGTCTGTGTGTGTGTGGAGCTGCATTTATTACCTTAGTTTTTATAGGTTCATGTAATGTAATCTCATGGAGCTTATCATTTAATAATGGCTGAGCATAATGGCTTGTTTTCAACATCCCCAGACAGGAGTGGATTTCTCTGGTACTTTCTGTTCCCTAGAAGGGACCACCACTTGGGACCCCTGTGGTCCCAACAGTGTCCTGGCTCCAGTCCCAGCTACTCTGCTTCTGATCCTGTTTTCTGCTAATGCATCCTGGGGAGTAGGAGATGATGGCTACAGGACCGGGAGCGCGGCCACCGACGTGATGGGAGACCTGGATAGATTTCCAGATTCCTGGCTTTGGCCTATCTCAGTCTTGGAGGCAGACAGATGGATGTATATCTATCTGTTACTTTGATTTTCCAGTAGATGCAAACAAATAAGTAAACTATATATATATATGTATATATATATATATATATATATATTTTTTTTTTTTTTTAAATCCTAGACATTTTCACAACTGGCTCCTGCAGCATCACCCCCACAGCTCCTGGCTTGCTGAACCCACAGGCTCCTGCACTTCCCCCAGGCAGCCACATGGGGGCGAGGAAGCTCTGTGGTACTGGTTGGGGATGGGAAGCTAGTCCAGGAGGAAGGGTGGCCTCACCTTGTGGGGGTCAGGCGATGTGAAGCTATTACATTCCAGGAAGAAAGGGGCCTCAGGGAGCAGCTCATACAGGAACACGCGGGTATCACCCTGAATGAAAGAAGCCGACAGTGAAGTGGCCAGAGGTAAGGTCCCTCTCATCCATCTCACCACTGCCCACACCTGTCCAGCCTACCTTGCCTGTGAGAAGCACCAGGCCAGTGTCCGGGTCATAACTGGGCAACAGCGTTGAAGGAGCCACGTCTAGGCCAAGCACTGCCATGGGCCCGCCCATCAGAGCTCCAGCTGCATACAGGAGCAGCTGGCGTTCACTGCGACTGTAGGGAAGTCGGGCAGAGGCAGGGCCTTAGGGCTGGAGAGGCCAGGCCAGTCCAAGACTTGCCCTAGAACCATTTCCCGGGCACGGGAGAGGCCGAATGTACAGCTGGCAGCAGCCTGATTCTAATCACTGCTGCCCAGCCCTGCCCTGCACAGTCTTGGCCTCCATACCCGTCCGGGGGCCCACATACCTGGACTTTTCCCCCTCAGCTCCACTTGGGTGGGTTACTTCATGCCACCCACACATGAATGTACCCCTTGTGACCTGCTTTTGGTGACACCTCCATTGGGAAGTCCTTCCTGGTCCCTGCTGCAAGCACAGGGTGCTCATATTTCAGGCTAAGGTCTGTTTGCTGTGCTTCAGTGACACCTATCCGACACAGTGGGACAGTGGGACCTGCTCTCAACCCTTTGGGCCCTCTCCAGCCCCACCCCCTCATCTAGCTACCCAACTGCTTCTCTGTCCATTGGCCTACCCACCCACCCATCCAGTGAGAGGCAGACACAGGTCCTGTCAGTCTGCCACTATCTGACTGTGGGGATGGGGTGCAGAGGCAGCTGCTGAAGCCTGGAGATAGTGGTTTGGGGGGTCTTTACCTGTCAAAGCCAGACACCAGCAGACAGCGACCATCACACACCCAGACAATCCGAGCTCCTCGGGCCCCCTCAGGCCCTGGCCCTTCCTGTGGAGACACAGAGCATGAAGCCCAGCTAGAGCCCTTGGGGCTGGCAACCCCCACATGCCTTGCTGCCCATATACACTTGTTCACCTGTAGGGGCTCAGGCCCACGCAGGGGTTCATAGACACGCACACGCCCATCCTTGCACACGGTGGCCAGCTGCTGTCCATCAGGACTCCAGGCCAGGCTGAAGATCTGCCAATATGGAAGGGGTTGAATGGTGGCCTTTGGCCTCATGACTGGGCATCTGCCTTCACAGCTGTCCTACCTGGTCCTGGTGGCCCTGCAGCCTCATCCGCTCAGCTCTTGCTCGAAGGTCCCAGATGCGAACCGTGAGGTCATAGGAAGAGGAAGCCAGCACGTCAGCTGCCCGAGGGTGGAAACGCAGGGAGTAGATCTTCTCTGTGTGGCCTGAGGGAAAGCCAGGGTGGGAGGAGTGGAACAGATGCTCCAGGAGGCCACTGCCCCTCCACAGCCCCGGTGGCTTTCTGACCTGTGAGCACGGCGTCAGGCGTGGTGAGCACCTCTTCCAGGCCCTCCGGGGGTACCCGCCACAGTCGGATCCTGGCATCCTCACCAGCTACAAGAAGTGGCTGTTCGTCTTTGCTGGCCTAAGATTCCTGGGCTCTCACCTGGGGCCCGCTCTCAAGCCCAGGCACCCAGCTTCCTTACCCACAGCCAGGCGGTGGGGATCAAAGGGGTCCCAGACTAGATCCATTACGGCTGCCCCGTTCTGCAGCGTGGGCAGTGCTGTGTCAGGCAGGCGACCAGGCTTCCGCAGCTGTGGGAGGTACCCCCATCCCACAGCCATCAGCACCAGGCAGGGGCTGCCACCCTGTGCTACGAACCCACGTGACACTCAGGGAACCCCAGAAAGTGAAGGGGTGGCAGTGTGGAGGAAACTCAGGTAGGCAGGCTAGAAGGCCAGCTCTGTCCGCCCATTACACACTGTATGACCCAGCCAGGTCCCGCAGTTCACTGTGTCTCATCACCCCATCTGCGTCGGGAAGGAAGGACAGGAACAGGAGTGGCATCTACTGCATGGGGTGACTGGACTGACCACAGGGTCTGCCAAGTAGGCACCTGTCCTGGATCCCTATCGGTGAGCTACTAGGGGTAGCTAATGTCCTCAGTGTCCTTGCTGCCTGCTTGCAGGGACCTGAGGAGCAGTCCTGCTGGACTAGGGCAGCTTACCTCCAGCACGGCCACCTGCCCTCCGCTGCTAAGCAGAGGTACGGCCACACGCAGCTGGTTGGCACAGAAGCCATCACTCTCGCCAGGTGTGGTGAGGTTGAGCCCCTTGAGGTTGGTGATGTGGCTGTCTCGGTGCAGAATGGTGCCCTGAGCGTGGCGAAATTTGGAGCTGGGGCCTGGAGAGCAGCGGGGACACCGAGCCATGTGTGAGGATGCTGGGCCTACAGCCCTGCCCCTAAGTCCAGGATGTCAGCTGCCTCCAGCGAGAGAAGATGTATGAGATCCGGCCACCACAGTGTGCCAGGACTCGTGCCAAGGGTCAAGGCCCTTATCCGAAGCTGGGCTCTCTTAGGGGAACCTGGAGTTCTAGGAAGTGCTGCTTGGAACCCTACAGCCCAGGCCTCCCGTCGAGAGAGTAGCCCCACCCCAGCCCCCAGGACCAAGGACTCCGTTGGGAACCCAAGTCTCTGGCTGAACAAGGGGTGTCCCTCTGGGCCAGGACTATGGAGTACAAAGGACAGCTGCCTTCAGGGCTCCTGTGGCAAGGAGTGACTCTTACCCAACAGGCTCTGTAACGACCTCTGGCTGGGGCTGGTCCCAATGCCGCTGGTGCTGGAGAGCGAGGGCCCCAGGCTTGAGGGCGTGGAGGGTGAGGTAAGGGAGCTGGGTGGGGAGGAGAAGCCCTCCTAGGAAGAAGCACCCTGGTTAGCACACAGGCCCTGGGGTGAATAGCCAAAGAGGGGAGTCCAGACCCAACCCCTGGGTCACTGGGCACTTGAGGCTGGTCAGGCGCCTCTGCCTCTGCTGTAAGCATGAAGGGGATGGAGGTGGGTGGAGAGAGGGATGGTGACTTGAGACAACACTGAGGAGGGAGGAAGACAGAGCTCTGAACTATAGGGACAGCAGGTGGCAGCCACCACCCTCTGCTCTGGGGGTGAGATCTATGAACATTTCAAGAGAATCCAAAAAATGGTTTTGATGTGCAAAGTCTGGCTTTTCAAGTGTTTGCTCACTTGAGGAAATACTGCCAAGCTCTGAATGTGAGCTGCATTTTTCAGCTTCCGTTGTGCCTGGTGGCCATGAGGGATTAAGATATATCCCCATCTGGTGGCCCAAGTCACTCTGAGCACCAGCCATGGCCTCAGCTATGGGAGGAGGAGGGGCAGCTTGCTACTTACACTTGGGCTGGTATCATCCACGGGCATCTCTGCAGGCTGGGCCATGCCAGGGGGAGGCTCCACAGGGGGCACCAGGCAAGAGGTGAAGTTGGGATGGGGTCGGTGGGCTGGGTTGAGACTAACTTTCTGCACCTGTGGGGAGGTTGCTGGTTGAACCAGTGGGGTTTCTGGGCCCCCAGGTCAGAAGGGACTGACCTGGTTAGGGAGAGGGGGCACAGAGAGGCCCAGTGACTTGGGTGTAGATAAGCTAGGGGCTTTCAGGCCACTGGAACAGGGAGCCAGGCCTTGGCCCTACCTGCTGGTTGCTCCCAGCCCACCAGGCACGGGAGTCAGAGGCGGGCATGCAGCCAGCAGTGTCCGGGAACAGGTCTTCATGGAACTCCACAGCCTGGAGGCAGATGGGCAGGCTGCTGGTGAGGTCCAGGCCCCTGTTCCAATGCCCAGCCCCAGCTTCCCGGGCAGGATGCCTTCACCTTGCGGGGCACATGGTAACTGATGGGGATGATGGCAGTGTCGCTCAGCTGTAGGACACGCAGCACCTCGCAGTTCATGACAGTCAGTGCCCGTCGGGGAACAAGAACTGCCCCTTGCAGAATGCCCTCCAAGACACACTGAGTCACTGTCGGATACCATACAAGACAGTTGGTGGCAGCCAGGGTGTGAGGTGGGGTAGAGGGTGGGATAACCAGGCCTCACCTGGGCTCAGGGCTGGCTGTTGCAGGGTCACCTCGTAGCAGTACAGCTGACTCTCGCCCTGAAACAAGACCAGGTGTGGCTCTGTTTGCTGCCCACAATGTTGCCCCTGCTGCACCCCAGTACTCTGGGGACAGAGGCAAGGTGGCCACCGGTGCAGGGTTCACATCTGCTGAGCACCAAGCTGGACCCTGGGGGCCTTCCGCTCACTTGCTGCTCATCACAGGTTCAGTGAGTGCCAGGGGCTCTATATTGGCATGCAGCCAGCTGCCTGACTTCCTGAGGTTGCCGTTCCAGGGGCACCACTCAGCTAGGCCACCTGGGCAAAGGCCTGGAGGCATTGGCTGAAGGAGGCTGTGCCTCTAGGTGAGCGCAGGCAACAGCCTGGGCCCTGTGGGGACAGCAGGGCGGGCACAGCCTCTGGGCTGGAGCCCCAGGTGGCAGACGTTGGGAGAGACTCTTTCTTACCTTTCCTGCCAGTATAAGCAGCCCCGAGTCTGGGTCCAACAGAGGTATCAGAGACCTGGAGGGAGAGGAATGGCAGGTGAGGCCTGGGGACCTCAGGATCCTGGATTGGAGCTTCAGCAGTAGCCACAGTAATAGTGAGACACTTGGCACCCTTCCTCCTCTCCCCGTGCTGCCCATATGTGAGCCCAAAACCACATGGCAGGACATGTACAGGGCTTGGGTACAGGAGAGCTCAAGCCAAGTTCTTTCCCCATGCTCCACTGAGACCTCAGCCCGGTTTCCAGGCCAGTGCCACCTGGGATGCCCACGGGGTCTGGGTTAGCACTTCAGGGTTTGCATTCCCAGCCAGGACTATCTGTGCATGGGCCCCAAAGATTGCCAGCTGGCCACTCAGGCTCTGCATTAATGGATGGGGCTCCTGGTGTCCCCTGGCTCCTCTGCACTGACTGCCAGGTACCAGCAACGATAAGCCTCCTCCCACTGCTGGCTGGGCTCCTCCTGTCCCCTCTGTGATCAAGGCAGGAGGGATGCTGGCCCTGTGAGTGCTGTCGTCTGGGCCCAGAGCTCCGACAGTGGCTCTCTTCTGCTCTCGCCTTCTTGTTCCTGGGGCACCCTGAGGCTGGGCTCCCACCCTGGTGCAACACTCAGCCTCAGTCCACTGTGCGCCCAGTGGTTAGAGATTATCCAGCTGCAGCAGCTGTTCCTCACCCAGGTGACAAGTGACACAACTGCCCCTGCCACCCACCCACCCATCCCTTCCTGGAGAGCTGCCCTCCCCCTCCAGGAGCCACAGAAAGGACTAGGAAGCTGGGTGGGGTACCGGGTGTCTCCACCACTTCCTGGAGTATCCTGGGCTGGTCACCTGTGAGTAACACAGGCCCCTAATTATCTCAGCCTCAGCAGGGTGAGCTGGGCTTGGCCTGACCACCGCCTACTGTGGTGGTAGAGGGGGTGGGTAAGGGACACAGACATGGTGTGACTTTGAGTGTCTGACATGCTGACACCAGCGCCAGTGGGGACAGAAGAAGCAGGTCCTATTAACATTCACTCACTCATTCCTTTCACCAGCTAGCCTCTGCCTGGCCCTCGGCTCAGGCTGTAGGAATTGCCAAAAGTGAGGACAAGAGAACTCAGCTGTCCTCAAGCAGTTTACAACTTGATGTGAGTCAGAAATTACCCCACAGATATTACACACGTGCGCGAGAAAGGGTGCCTGAAGATGCGGTGGGGGCTAAGGAGGCATGACCTTGGTTTGGCCACAGCCTTGGGGAAATCCAGCCTGCCACAGGGAGGGAGGACCAGTGATGAGCAGCGTGTGCCCAAGGCAGGTGAGCCCAAGGCCTGCAACAGGAGTGGCGAGGATGCTGGGCCTGGTGCCCTGGGTAGGGAGTTCAGCTCAGGAGGGTGAGTCAGGTAAAGCTGATGGTGAGTTGAAGCATGGCAGATGGGACGGGATGGGTGCTGAGCAGAGACCACAAGTACGGCTGTGTGAAGCTATCTACGGCATGGGAATAGGTCGTCACGCATGGCTCAGGGCCAAGGTTCAGAGTGGCTCCGTGAGCTGGCTGGGCACTTCTGTGGTCCCCCTGTTGTTTCAGTGGCCAGATGGGAGAAAACCAGGCCTATAGGTCCCTTGCAATATGGGTAAGCTCACCCTGTCTCATAAGCCCTAGCCAGCCACTGACTCAGGAGTTGGGGGCAGGGGCAGGGAGTTGCAGAGGGCAGGGCCACCTCCTCTGACAAGTCAGGCCAGTCTTCCTTGCTCTTGGCAGAGCAATCTGGGAAGCTCTGCCAGGTGGGGGCACCCTGCCTTCCAAGGCATGGCCCAGGCCAGAAATGGGGTCATGGCACCCAGTGGCTGGCACGGGCCTCACCTCAGACCTCAAAGACAGCCAGGCTGGGATCTAGGTCCAGAACGCAGCATGAGTCTCACTCTGGCAGGGAGCCAGAGGTGGTGAGAGCTGCTGTTGCCTTGGCACACACAGGTCTAGAGCCTCAGAAAGATGGAGAGCGGCTTCGGGGGGAGGAGTGGGGTGTCAGCCTCCTGATAATGCCTGCTGCCCTGCCCTCCCACTTGCCACACTCCACGCTCCTGTACTTAGTGAACAGCATGTTTGCTGGGAAACCAACTACAAGACTCCCTCCTCAGCCTTCTCCACCCCAGCCCTCTGGTCCAGAGCCATGCAGGCACCTTGGAGCTGTCCCAATCACCCCCGCTACCACACTCCCTTCTCCATGGTCCTCACAGAAGTTCCTGGTAACTAGCTTATAGGGGTAGGGAAGAAATCCTTGAAAGCATGCAAGGAAAGTCTGGACAGCCTGGGAAGGGGTCTCCTGAATGTCCCCTTTGAGGTCTTTGTGTGGATGAACCCAGGGCACAGGACTGGGCTGGTGGTGGACATTCCGGTCAGGTGTGAGAACTGGCCGCAGAGGGGAAGAGTCAGGCTAAGGGTGCTTGGACGGCCTCAGAGGACACTCAGGGAAGAGCCGTGGAGTCTGACCAGCAGCCGCACGGCGCTGGTGGCCAATGCACACAGTTTGGGAGCAGGTGAGAACCCTTAGTAAGCAAGATCCTCGTGCCCGGTGAATGCAGGTGGTTCCGGAAGATCAGTAAGCCAGATCCTGGCCCAGCCTTACCCGAGACATTCAGTTCACCCAGCACAAGCTAGGAAGCCCTTTTTGGATGCAGAACTACCTGAGTTTTCAATGTTGAGCTGAGAAGGGACCTCGAGGAGGTGGCCATCCCAACCCCTCTTACATGACAGCTGGTTAGGGGCCACCATGAAGACCATGCAGTGCCCCTGGTCAATATGGCATAGCATCCTGGGACGAGACTTTGGGCACCTCCAAGTCGGGAGCCAGTCCAACTAAAGCCCTGGTTATAGGCCGGGCTGGAGCGGCTGCAGGGATCCAAGGCTCTGCGGAAGTTGGGAGCTGAGCTGGGTCCCCAAAGACTCTGAGGCATCACTGTGACCACAGCCGCAAGCAGGCGGGGGTGTGCTGTGTGCTGGGGGGAGGGGCAGCAGAGCATTTTCCTGGAATCTCGAGGCAGGGGATTTTTCTGGGTGAGTCCAGCCCCTGGCACATCACACACCCCTCCTGCCCAATGACGGGCGACTATCAACTGCATTCCACAGCACATCACCCCCACACACACACAAAATCTGAATTTGACACTGCCAGTAACTGCAGGAAGTCACTTCCTTTCTTAAAGCAGTCCCTTCATTCTTCACCCAAAAGAGGTGGGAGTGCAGGGGGGGTGCTCTCAGCCCTGTAGTCATCCTGGCTACAGGGACCACAAGCTCAAGTCTGGCAGCTCCTGTGAGAGCTGAGTGTGGCTTGCCCTGGAACTTCTGAATTTAGGATTAGCTGCCAACAGCAGCACATGCAGAGATTCAGTCTAAAAATCCGGATTTCTGGAGCTGGTCTTGGGGGCTGGGCCCTCCTGCCAGCACCAGGGGTCTGACTGAGGCCTCTGTCACCTGACTCTACCTCCCTTACATTCGTGATCTCCTTTGGGATTCACTTGCTTTTCACAACGCAGAAACCTCCCCGGTTGTCACTTGGTTCCGCAGCAGCAGACAGACTGGAGCCCGGGACGCCAGACTCCAGACCAAATCGCTCCTTCTGCGCGCTCGGGGAGGTGGCGGGGTGAGGACCAGGCCAGTCCGGCCCGATGACCCCCGGCAGCGGGGAGGGGCGGAGACTTCCAGAGCTCCGCCCGTATCGCCGACCAATGAGAGGCGACCCGCCCTCCTAGCTCTTAAGGCGTGACCCGCCTCCAGCGGGCCGACTCCGGAGCCCGAGCCCGGGGCGAGGAGACGCGAACGCTGCTACCTCGGGAGTCCGGACACCTCCGGACCGGCTGGTCGGGAAGAACTGAGGCCACGGCCACTCCGCCGGGCTCCCCCCGCTGCCACTGCCTGGTGAGTGTCTGCGGGGCCGGGTGGCTGCGGGAGGGGATGCCGGGCAGCGCTGCTCATGAACGGACCCCCCCTGCGTGCACACGCACCTAGGGAGGGACCCCGGCCCCAGCTCCAGCCCTGCACGGCCACCTGCACGGATTCGGGCGCAGGCGACGCCCCACCCCATCCCGTGCGCCTGCCGCGGCGGTCCCGGGGCGCCCCACAGCCGGGCCAGGGTGCGCGTGTCCGCGGCTAACCGGCTGGCGAGGCTGTGAGCAGACAAAATAAACACCCCCTCCCTTGCTTCCTCCTCCTACGGCTGGGCCCTCGGGCAGGCACAGTTTTATGAATCAAACCTCTTTGAGGGGATGGTGAAGCCACAAACTTGGGTCACTTTTCCGTTCTGGGGTCAGACAGTCGGGTGGTCCTGTCAAGAACAGCTGACCCTTTGGCACTCAGAACAGAGAAGGGGTCCGCAGACATGCAGCCCCAGGGAGGGGGGGAAAGCTGGCGGAGATCTGATGCGATCTCCCAGGTGGGGTGCAGTGTGGCTGGCATAGTGTGCCCCATCTGAACCTAGTGGCCCAGAGCCAGCCTAGTCCTTTGTGTCTCTGGGCTGGCAGCGCTGGAGCTTGGGACTGCCGGGTCTCCTGTGGTCATTGGCAAAGCCTGCTCATTGGTGCCAGCCATTCTGCCTCACCCCCGTTGGTTAACAATTACCACACTAGGGTCGCTGACCGCCTTTCCTGCTGGCGCCCAGAGATGGAGTTGCTGGGTACTAGAAGACCCTGGAGGTCTAGCTGTCCCCCTGCTAGCCAGCCAGCTGCACCCAAGGACAGGGTAGGCTCTGGAGGAGGGCATGATGACCCCAAAGCCCCATCCTCAGGCCAAGAGCCTCCGTGAATGAGGACAGGACGGAAGCTCAAAGGTCCCTTCTGATGAGGTTAGGCCTTGGCTGTCCTGGCACAGAGGTGGCCAGGCTGGTACCCACCCCCTCTACCACCCGCCCTTCCAGCAGGGTCCATCAGGAGCCAGCCCAGCTGCTGGCACAGCCCTGCAGAGCTAGGGCAGGCGGGTGAGGGGGATGGGCTCAGAGTCCCCAGAGTTTACTGTCTTCTCCCAGGGGAGTCAGCCCCGGAGCTTCTGTAAACAGAGTGTCAGAGGCAGGAAGAGGGCCCTGGAAATGAGCAGCCCAGCTGGATTCCCTCCAGACCATTATCTAGCCTCTCCCAGCCCAGAGGGGAAGACCAGCACCCACGTGCCAGCCTGGCTGCCTGGGCTCTGCCTGTCCCCACTCCCCCGGCCTGATGTGGCTGCAGATTAGAATGGCCACTTGAAACCTGTGGTACTAAGGGTAACCAGGGGTGGGGGGGTGACTGTCCCTTGGCGCCACCCTTCACACTCTGGACATGGGAGCAGGATGACCTATACGATCCTCCCTAGCAAGCCCCTTGGGGCAGCAGAGGGATGACCATAGGCCCTGCTCTTGTGACATTTGCACCCACAGGCCAGGATTAGGGGCCTTTAAGAGGACCCTGCTGTTGGTGCTGGTCAGCCCCTAGCAACAGGGAAGCAGGGCTGCAGCTGGGCCCAGGCGGCAGCTGCCCCTCAGCCAGCCAAACAGCTTCCATCACGAGCGGAGAAGGCACCTCGAGCCAGTGCCAGGCTCCAGGCTCATGTCAAGGGCAGCAAGGCTACCTGCCTGGGTTAGCAACCCTTCTGGAGTGACCCTCGACTCTCCTCAGAGCCCTTCCTTGGGCTGGGGAGCCCAAGGCTCTGCACTGCCAAGAAAACCAGCTCCCCTCATTGCTGTGGAATTTGCGTGAGTTCTTGGAGAAGGGGAGGGAGAGAGAGAGAGAGTGTGTGTGTGTGTGTGCAGGCGTGTGCCTGTGCAAGAGTGTGGCCAGTGGGTGTGTGTCTGGCGTGGGCGTGTGTCTGGGCACGTGACTGCAGCCCAGCCGCATTTGGGGTGGGCGGGGGTGCCTGGGGAGCCCCGCACGGGGGAGGGGCAGCAGCACAGCCGCCTTCGCCTGCCTTTTATCGGTTTCCACATTCCATCCAGAGTCAGCCGGGTTGATTTCCCTCCTTCACCGTCCAGGCCCTCAGGCCTCCCCCACTTTTCGCTTTTCCTCATTCCAGCTGGCTGGGTGTGAGGAGGCTGGAGGAGGCTTCCTGCAAGCCACCTCTGTTTTTTGGGGGGTTGAGGTTGGGGCAGGCAAAGGACCCATTCTCCCTCAAGGTTGAGGACGGCCCCCCACTGCACTCCTGGGGAATGCAATAAGGGCTCTGACATTCCTGGAGGCTGCCTGAGAGATTTAATTAAGGCGGGAGGAGGGAGCTGGCTTACATGGAGAAGGGGCTGGGGCAGCCTCTGGGGCCTCTGCTGGCCCTGAGCCCTGAGCCCGAGCCTGGCCTGGCAGCAGTGAGAGCTGTGGGGGCAGGGCAGTGGCTCACCTGTGTGTCCCTCAGCCCACACAGACCTAGGAAGGGGCCACTTCCGACAGAGAGTAACTGGGGTGCAGGGCCTGGTGAGCATAAAAGGACAAGAGCCCTTTGGCTCTTTGCCTTGGCTTGGAGCTCATAGCTCCATTGGTGACTAAGGTGTTTTGCTGGCAATGTCAGGGTTAATTGTAGGGTTAGGGCCTTACTAGCTAGGTGCTTGGCATGGGTGGAGATAGGGTGGTGAGGAGGCGGGGTGTCTGGGTCCAGCCCAGTGGCATCACACCTGTTGTGTGCCAACAGTGGCATCTGAACTGGCCCATTTAGTTGGGCCACAGCCATCACATAGCTCCCAGGACCACAGGTGTTTTCTGCTAGCAGACGGGCCCCTCTCCTGACTGACAGGCCCCTCTCCTGACTGACCAGACTTCCCACTGCCCCGAGGGCTCCCTTGAACCTCACTAGCCTTAGTCATTCATCTCCAGGGCTGGACTGACAGGTCTGCTGGCTGCCAGGTCACCTCACACCTGGGGCAAGACAGCCAGCTTTCTGGGGAGGCAGAGAAGTGCCCAGCTGCTGGCTGGTGCACACCTGCCCCCTCCCTGGAGGGGGATACCTACTGACCTCTGGCTGGTACCCTCCATAATCCCAGGGTTCTGACCTCTGGCTGGGTGGAGGAGTTTTTCCAAGTCACTGGCTTGGATGTTCTCATCAGTGGGGCCCAGGGAATTGGGGTTTTTTTAGCCTTCTGAGTGACTGATGTATGGCAGGGGCTGAGAAGCCCCCAGGGTAACGGGTGGTCAAAAGACTGGGGAGGGCCGGGCACTGGGTGTGGTAAGAAGCAAGTGGGTATCTAGTGCCCCCCTTGCTGCCACATTGTTTCTGTGGTGGACAGGGCAATATGAAAGGCTGTCCCCAGGGGGGTGGGGAGCTGGCTTAATCCCCAGCTAGGGCTAGGACCCTGCCAGGAGAAAGGCTCATGCCAGCAGCCTCCAAGGCACCTCTTCACTATGCTGGGCTGAGAGCTGCTGTGTCCCAGGGAAGGGAGATGAGGTGGACCCAGGCAAGAGCCCCAAGCTCCTCAGACACGTCAGCAAAACTGGAGCCAGCCATCCTGGCCGCCGGCACAGTCCCGCCTGCCTTGGGGGGTTGGCAAACTCCTGGGGCTGGGCTGCTGCCAGTACTGGCCGGCAGTGCAAGGCCCAGGCAGGCCAGTGCTGGAAGCTGGAGACTCAGAGCCACAGGGTCAGATCTGCAGGGCCTGTCCCTACAGCCCACTTTGCCGCATCTAGCACAGGAAAGGAAGCGTGGGCCTATGTCTGCCCAAGCCTGTCCCCTCCACCCATCCAGGCATGTGTCCTTACCCAGGAGCACTGAGATGCACCAGCCTGAGGGCTGGACATGCCACCTAAGGCCCAGGTTCTGCAACACATGATTCACCTGTCCTTGCCAATCTCCAGGCATGGATGTGAGTAGGGTGCCCACAGTGTGCTGTATGCTGGAAGGAGGATTGGGGCATCTTGCTGCCCCCTCCCCTGCCTCTGAGTGCTGGGATGACGGAGCTCCTTAGTCTTCCCATAGAGCTCCTCCTGGAGGTCATGTGCTGCAGGGAGCTGGCCAAAACACAGCTCACCCCCACACACCCCCTTCCAGGACTGAGCACACTCAACCTCCATTTCCCAACCACCCAAGCAAGGGTGGAGGGCAGCCTGAGTGTGCAGGTCCCGGGGCTTCCTGTCTATGGCATCTGTGTCCATCAGAGAGGGCAGGTTTTATGGGTAGGACCCTCAGGAGTCCACGGTCACTGGCCACTCAGCATGTGCTTCAAGTACAAGCTCAACTGCCCTGAGGTACAGCCACCATGGCCATCCCTACAGAGCTGGCCAAGACCCCCGGGGGTGGTCAGACCTTGTTGCTAGACAAGCAAGAAGGGCAGTGGGCAGTGGAGCCCAGGAGTCTGGGCAGAAAGGAGGCGGGTCTCCAGAAACTCCCCCACAGCCTCTGCATAGGAAAAGGTCTCCCCTGGGCTCTGCTCAGCAGATCAAATATCAAAGCACAGGCCTGCTTCAGGCAGAGCCCCTGTAATCACAGGTCAGCACAGGTCAGCACAAGGCAGGGGGGCCCTACAAAGACCTGTGCCCAGATCTCCCCGTTTAAAATCAGCATTAAAACCTCAACTCTGAAATGGGGGGTTCAGGGAGGAGAAACGGGGGAGGGGCAGGGCTACTTATGCTGATTCTGCAAGGTCACTTGGGTATGCTTCTGGGTCTCTCTCAGGATTACTCTTACCAGCCTGTGGCTTGCAAACCTCAGCACCAACTCCTGCCTCACTCGCCCTGTAGGGAGCCAGGCTCAGGCACAGGAGCTCACTACTGTATGTTCCTGAGAGCAGCAGGAAGATGACACAGAGTTCCCTCTGACTGTGGATGTCGCCTTAGCCTAACACCCAAGTCATTTTGGTCCTAACAGTTATCTCATAGCTTACTACCTGCTGGCCAGATGGCCACCCCCAGGCCAGACCAACCCACAGGACCAGCCTGCATGCTTGGCCATTCATGCTAAGGGCTCTGCATGCATCCTCTGCTGGATCTGAAATATCCTGGAGACACAAAAGATATAGGTGCTGAGAGCCACGCTGCCATCCATAGCCTCACAACTTGGACATCTTGGTGTCCAGGACTGCTGGCCTGGGGTGCAAGCTCTTAACCAGCCGCCCATGAGGCCCAAGTGGAGCTGCTACTGCCACAGTCGTGGCCAGTGAGGCCGCGTGCAGGGTCCCCTCCCACCTGACCCTGTCATGGCCCTGTGGGGAGGGCTGATTCAGGGGGAGGTGGTCTCAACTCCATATGGATGTGGGATGGGTGGGGGTCACTCACAGCTCACATCTGGAGACCAGGCCCCACCCACTGTCCTCTGAGTCAGGGAGGGTGGAGTAGTCCCTCAGGGAGGAGGTGGGAGTGTGTGGCACACAGGGCCTTAGGTCATCAGACAAGGGACAGGCACAGGCAGACCCAAGAAGGCCCTGGACCATTTACTCAGTAGGCAGCTGTGCTGGACAGGGCAAAGAGGTGACCCACAGCCAGGAGCCTACAGAGCCCCCCATGGGGAGGGGGCCCAGCTAGGGTGTCTCAGAGGGGTCTTTGCCACTGTTAATTAGTGAGGACTGCAGACTCCTAGGAGAGGCCACTACTTCCCTCCAGGGAGCTGAGCAGGTGGCTGTGGTCTGCCCAGCTCACCCCAGGTGACAAGGCTTCCTCCCTTTACCTAGAGCTGGCAGTCAGTCCTGTGACCTCCTCCTCCTCTTCCCATTCCAGGAGCCCAGGACCTGGGGGTGGTGACAGTGGGGGAGGGGTGGTGTGGCACAGATAGCTCCTCCCTGCAGCTGAGGGCAGTGGGGCAGAACTGGGCTGGGTTGGGGTCCTGTTACCTGGACAGCCACTGTGGGGGAAGGGAAGGCTGGCTGGCCAGACCTCTAGCACAAAAGGCCCTTGTATAAGAGCAGGCAGGAAAGGGAGGGGTGCCGGCCCCTGAGCAGGACTACCTCCCAGGGACAGACTGGCACCAGTATAGGATCAGGGACCTCAGAGGGGGGTGGTCTAAAGACTGCTCCCCACAGGAGACTAAGTGATGCTGAGCAAACAGCTGGGGCCTAAGGATGGCTGGAAACTGGGGGAACAGGATGCCCTGCATCCTGGGCTTTGTGATGGCCAATGTCTCTTGTCCCTGTCCCTTCCTCTATTATCTGGGAGTAGGAAAAACAGTGTCTCCTGAAATGGAAGTGGGGGACCAAGATGGCTGCATCCTGGGCCAGCACAGGCACAGCCATCACCAGCACACACCGGGGGCTCTCCCTTGTCACTGCAGAGGGGATGATTACAGTTCCCCTTTCTCAGTAACCAGACCAAAGCACACCCCAAGAGGTGGGAGGGGAATGGAGGTACCCCCATGACCCTCTACAATACCCCATTTCTGAGCCTCATGAGCCCTCATATCTAGTCTCCACTGCTCCTCAGAAAACGGGGGACCTGAGGATTAGGGCTGCCTGCCTGCTTGTCTCAATGGGGATCATGGCCACTGGCTCTGCCTGCCTCCTTCCCTACCCCCCGCCCCCCAGCCTTCCCGCCGGCCACATCCTGGCAGCCCACAGCCCCTGTCCCAGGCAGGTCTGACTCTAGAAGTGGAAAAACACCGATCCCATAGTTTCCATGTGAAGTCTTCCTGCTGCGGTCTCCCCTCACCAGGGGGAGGGAGGGACGTGGAGCGTGGCGGCAGGGGCCGCGGCCTGGGGCAGCCAGCTTCTCTGCTTACGCACCCCGGGCCGCCTGCCCGCCCCCTCTCTCCCAGACGATGCAGGGAGGGGCTGCTGTTCCAAGACCTGGGATTCTCTCTCCTTCCCCATCCACCACAGAGACCTGCCCATGTACCCGCAGGAGGGCCTGAAGGACCGGAGGGGGAAGTGGTACATGTGGTCACTGGAGGCCTAGGTGCAGCTGGGCCCCATGCTGACCTCTACGTGCATCAAACCAGTGAGTGCTTGTGATGGACAATGATAACACATGACTGGTGACTGGGATGGGAACTGGGCTGGGGGCACTGAAGACCTGACTCATAACTGCTGGGCTCTACTGCACTGGGGACAGGAAGCTGCCCTTGAGTCCCCTGACTCATTGTCTCCTGTCTCTGCCTCTTCTGCTCCCAGGGAGGAAGATGCGCTCAAGGAGCCCCCTGACAGGGCTGCCCCTGCCACTGCTCCTGCTGCTGACCCTGGGACCTAGGGTGCAGGGCTGCCCTTCAGGTTGCCAGTGCAACCAGCCACGGACTGTCTTCTGCACTGCCCGCCAGGGAGCCACGGTGCCCCCAGATGCGCCACCTGACACAACTGACCTGTACATCTTTCAGAACGGCATCACCACACTTGATGCAAGCAGCTTTGCCGGCCTGCCAGGCCTGCAACTCCTGGACCTGTCACAGAACCAGATCGCCAGCCTGCCAGGTGGCGTCTTCCAGCCACTTGTCAATCTCAGCAACCTGGACCTGACATCCAACAGGCTCCGAGAGATTACCAACGAAACCTTCCGTGGTCTGCGGCACCTCGAGCGCCTCTACCTAGGGAAGAATCGCATCCGCCACATCCAAGCAGGGGCCTTTGATGCACTTGACAGTCTCCTGGAGCTCAAGCTGCAGGACAATGAGCTGCGGGTACTACCCCCACTGAGCCTGCCCCGCCTGCTGCTGCTGGATCTCAGCCACAACAGCCTCCCAGCCCTGGGGCCCGGATCGCTGGATGCTGCCAACGTGGAAGCCCTGCGACTGGCTGGCCTGGGGCTGCAGCAGCTGGATGAGGGGCTCTTTGGCCGCCTGCGCAACCTCCACGACCTGGATGTGTCTGACAACCAGCTGGAGCGTGTGCCTTCTGTGATCCGAGACCTCAGGGGTCTCACGCGCCTTCGGCTGGCTGGAAACACCCGCATCGCCCAGCTGCGCCCTGAGGACCTGGCTGGCCTGGCTTCCCTGCAGGAGCTGGACCTGAGCAACCTAAGTCTGCAAGTCCTGCCCAGTGACCTCTCGGGCCTTTTACCCCGCCTGCGGCTCCTGGCAGCTGCCCGCAATCCCTTCAACTGCGTGTGCCCCATGAGCTGGTTTGGCCCCTGGGTACGCGACAGCCGTGTCACGCTGGCTAGCCCCGAGGAGACCCGTTGCCACTTCCCACCCAAGAACGCTGGCCAGCTGCTCTTAGAGCTTGACTATGCCGACTTTGGCTGCCCAGCCACCACCACCACCACGGCCACAGCACCCACCACAAAGCCTGTGGTGTGGGAGCCCACACTCTCGCCTTCCAGCCCAGCTCCCACCTGGCTCAGTTCCACAGAGCCAGCTACTGAGGCCCACAGCCTGCCATCTACTACCCTGCCAACTGCAGTACCAGAACCCTGGCCCCAGGACTGCCCAACATCTACCTGCCTCAATGGAGGCACCTGCCGCTTAGGGCCGCAGTACCACCTGGAGTGCCTGTGTCCAGAGGGCTTTACAGGCCTGTACTGTGAGAGCTGGGCAGGGCAAGGTGCGTGGCCTAGTCCCACATCAACCATTCCAAGGCAGCCCCAGCCCCTTCCCCTGGGCATTGAGCCAGTGAGCCCCACCTCCCTGCGGGTGGGACTACAGCGCTACCTGCAGGGCAGCCCTGTACAGCTCAGGAGCCTCCGTCTTACCTACCGCAACCTGTCTGGCCCAGACAAGCGGCTGGTGACACTGCGGCTGCCTGCCTCACTCTCTGAGTACACAGTTACCCAGCTGCGGCCAAATGCCACCTATTCCATCTGTGTCACACCGTTGGGGGCTGGGCGGGTGCCTGAGGGTGAGGAGGCCTGCGGGGAGGCCCGCACGCCCCAGGCTGTCCGTTCTAACCACTCCCCAGTTACGCAGGCCCGGGAAGGCAATCTGCCACTCCTCATTGCACCTGCCCTGGCTGCAGTGCTCCTGGCTGTGCTGGCCACTATAGGGGTGACCTATTGTGTGCGGCGGGGCCGGTCAGCAGCAGTGGCAGCACAGGGCAAAGGGCAGGTAGGGCCAGGGGCTGGGCCCCTGGAGCTTGAGGGGGTGAAGACCCCTTTGGAACCAGGACCCAAGGCAACGGAGGGCAGTGGGGAGGCCCTGTCCAATGGACCTGAGTGTGAAGTACCACTCATGGGGTACGTGGGGCCCAGTCCCCAGGGGCCCTTGCCTGCTAAGCCCTACATCTAAGTCTGGGAATGAGGCAGTAGTCAGGGTGGGCTCTAGGCCTGTGCTTCCTGCTGCCATGAGAAGCAAATTCTCAGTCCCTACTGTGGGACAGGTGCAGGTGCAGCTGGTGACCGCAGTCAGTCCCTGCCTTTCCGGACCTCACCCATGAGATGCTGGGTCCTGGGAGAGGAGCACCAGGGTCCCTTGAGCCCTTGTAGTACCTGAGGGGGTGGGGCCTGCACCTCCCCTGCACTGCACAACCCAGGGACATGGCATACTCAGCTGTGTGCTGGTAACACAGGCTGGGCCCTGCTATGAAGACTCCCCTACCCTATGAAGACTCTGGGGGCAGTGAAGGAAGCCCTCCAGAAAGGGAGCAGAGGGAGAGCAGGGTAAGGACCGGGGTTGGGGCCTGCGGATTGGCCCCATGGAAATGAAGGCACAGAAGTAACTGGAAAGGAAGATGCTTTTAGGAACACTTTGTTTTGCTTTTGTTGTTTTGTTTTCTAAAACATATTTATAGGAGATCCTTTCCCATTTATTCTGGGAATTTTTTTTTTAAACTCAGAGACAAGGACTTTGGTTTTTGTAAGACAAACAATGATATGAAGGCCTTTTGTAAGAAAAATAAAAAGATAAAATGAAACCAGTGTTTTTCTAGCTTATCCCTAAGGTGTCCAGGCTGGGTGCAGGGAGGGTATCAGGCCTGGCAGGAGTGCCGATGGCTTAAAGGCTTGACCAGAGTGGCATGAGGGGCCTTCCACTGCCCCCTCACTAGGAAATCCTGCTCCCACCTCATAGGCCCAGCAGTAGAGAAAGGGCCTTGGTGGGTGGGAAGCACGGATCAGTAAAAGCAAGACCCATGATTGGGAGGGAGAGGAGCCAAGTCAGATCCATCAGGGGCAGGCTCAGGACTAGGGCCAAGAGCTGTCTGGCTTACAGACTGTGCCAGGCCTGGTGACCTCACAATGCTCCTTCACCCCCTTGACTAGGGATGTACCCAGGCTTTCTGGAAACCTCAGAAGCACGAATGTCTTCAAGAAGGCCACAAGCAGAGTGGGAGACAAAGCCAGGGATGCCAAGTGCAGCTGGGGCCTGGACTAGGGATGGGCGCTCAGGGTGGGGATGGACACCCAGCACCTTTGCCTTCAGGGAGTTGAAGAGGGCCCCAGCATATACTCCAGGGACTCAGGCAAGGCCCCATGCCCACGTCCTCTGCATCACAGCCCCAGGCTCCAACCTCACCCCTAGTGGGAAGGAAGCAGTCCCAAGCCTGGAGGCCAGGCCCCACAGCTCGGGTGTTGATGTCAGCGCCGAGTCAGGCGCGGCCATGCGAGGCTCTGGATTCAATTAGCGGCTGCGGAGGGCTCTGGCACATGGAGAGAGGAGGCGGTGGTAGGTCATGCGGGCAGTGGGTGGTAGCAGTGGGCCTGGGTGGGGCCCCTTCCTCCTAAGACGCAGAGGCTGCAGCCCAGGTGAATTTCCTGTAGGCCTGGGTCCCATTAGGGGAACGGCATAGCCAGACCTGCCCTCCCCCGCCACAGCTCCATCAAAGGGGTCTTTGTGGGGTTGTGGGCTACTGCCGAGCGGAGCAAGGCGGCTGCTGAGTAAATGTTTTTGCTGCAAAGCAAACCTGGCCTGGTGTGATGGCAGGAAGCAGGGTGGGCAAAGGGCCTTCCAAGGGCTGAGGGTGATGGAGAGCCAGGTCTTAAGACACCCCTCTGATTCATACCGTCTCCAGCTAGGAAGGCCCAGGAGCTGACAGAGGGATGTGGCAGCCCTGGATGGCCAGGGGCTGCCTTCTGGCAGGGCGTGTAGGAGTCACAGCCTTCCTGTTCCTGCATCTGAGACAAATGTGTCTGTGTGTCTGTTGTTCCCTTCACCATCAGCTCAGTCCACCCGGCACACAGAAAATTGCCACTATGCCACTGGGTAGTGCCTTGACCTTCAGTGGAGACTGAATCCTCATCATCCCAAAGAGAAGTGGAAACCATGGCACACGCTCCCGGGAGAGGTGTAAGCCTAGAACACCCGAGTGTTCTACCCAACCCAAGACAGGCAGGCTGTAGCCCAGTGACAGCAAACATGGCAGAGTGGACACAGCAGCTATGCCTTCAGGTGACATCCTGCCCACTCTCTGGGTATGGTCTCACTTCCACAGCAACTTGCCACTCTCACAACAGCCTGGAGGCTGTCACACATTCTTGGCACCCACCAGTTTTGTGGAGGGTGGAAAGTCCTGCCCGGTTCCTTTGCCAAGGGTGCTAGCCTAGCCAGGCAGGGCCCTGGGCTGGATAAGGGGGTAGAACACTGGTCTGGCTGCCCATCTGGGAATGATTTGTAAAATTCCAGTCCTCACTGGTCCTTCCAGGCTATTCTTAACTACTATAATTACAGGGTCAGCTTTGGCCAGTGGCACCATGGGGTCTGGGCATCGTTCACTCTTCCAGGAGCCACACTGGGACCAAGCAGGGGTGATCCGTGTAGGGTGGAGCCTGGAAGGCAGGAAGCGGTGAGTGGAAGAGCACTTGATGGCTGGTGCTAGTCCCTTCACACCAACGCCTCTGTTGGGCCTCAGGTTGGGAGGGGGGTGCGGAGAGTATCTAGCTGAGGCAGGAAGATGCCAGGGCAGTGCGAGAGCTGCAGCTTGGGACGTGGAACCTGGCAGCTGGAGCTGTGATTGCTCTGAGTAAGAGTGGGTCTAATCTGCTCTCAGTGAGTCCCCAGGAAGCTAAGAGCAGCCCTGGCCTGGCCTGGTATGAAAGCCTCACTCACAGGCCCAGCACAGTGGCCTAATGGCTAAATCCTCACTTTGCAAGTGCCACTATCCTTACGGGAGCCAGTTTGTGTCCCAGCTGCTCCACTTCCTATCCAGCTCTCTGCTAATAGTCCGAAAAAAAGCAGCAGAGGACAGCTGAAAATCTTGGGACCCTACACTTGTGTGGGAAAAGCACTTGGCTTTGAATCAGCTCAGCTCCAGCCATTGTGGCAATCTGGGAAGTGAATCAGCAGATGGAAGATCTTTTTGCCTCTCTCTCTCTGTAAATCTTACCCATGTTTCCAATAAAAACAAATTTTTGAAAAAAAAAATACAAAAAGAAAACTTTGTTCCCTAGCTTCCCAGCTGCACCCCAGACAGGAAAGGAAGAAAGGGAAGGAGGGTTCCTCCCCCAGAGTTTCCCTCCTCTGGGGGCCCAATGAGGGGCTTATTGAGTCACTGGTCCTCAGTGGGGACCCTTTCAAACTGTCCCAGGAAGACCCTGAAGTGTGCATCCCACTCGCAGGCATGCTCACTGTCCCTGATGCTGCTGGAACTCAGCCAGGTCTCTGCCCCCATGACTCGGTTTCCCAACTGTGAAAGGAAAGCAGGGGCCAGAAGAGCCAGCCAAGGCCCAGGGCACATTCTGGGCTCTTGGGACCCCTAGGGGCCTCCCTGAGTCACAGCTGAGGCTTTAGAACCAGGATCAGCTCTCTGCCCTCACCCGAGGCCTCACCTGGTTGAGTCACCCAACCTCAACCCACAGCTTCAGTGCTCCCAGCTGCAGCGTGGGTGGCTGTGGAACCACGAGGACTGGCCACCCAAAGGTGCTTGTTGTAGGCCTCCTGAGTCACAGCAGGCCAAAGCCGGCTGTGCTCAGAGCTGACCCGGCCTCACCAGGGACTGCCTGGGCACTGCTACCCACTCCTCTACTTAACTTTTGGAGGCAGGGATGGAAGGTCCAGGTGCATGGATACCAGTCGCATTTGGAGACAGACCAGGGACAGCTGTGCCAAGTGAGTTGAGTCCATCTGAAACCTGCCAGTGTACCAGTGTCACCCCACATCCAGCCACAGCTACCTGCCCATCATCACACTCATTTCCTTGGGCCCCGAACCCCACGGCAACACTAAGTGCATTCTTGAGGACACAGCTGTAGACAGCATCCTCCCTCCCAATGCATGAATTCCTGCAGGGGATACCGGCATGTGGTAGAGGCCCAAAGCTGGAAGCCTGGATCGAATGGTCATGTGGGGGCACGTAGCTGATCCCCACGCACTAGGAGGACGAAGAACACAGAGGGTGTTGGGGGCTGTGAGAGTGGATGATGGTAGGGGGAACAGTTTGGAATAGGGGTGAAATGGACTTAGGGGGTGGGGGGTGGTATTAAGGACGTAAATAATGATAGGGGGAAGGATAAAGACATTGGATTGGAAGGCGGGAAGTAAGGGGGTGAGGGAAAGGGGGTGGGTGGAATGGATAGGGGAGTATTTGAGGTGGGATATTTGATGGATATGATAGAGATACGGAAGAGGGGGGATGGTAATAATGAGGTTTGAGTTGGGGAAGGATTAATACAAAGAAGGAAATGGGGGCTACAGTGTTAAATATGAATGTGGGTATTGGAACTTTTGGGAGATTGATGGGGAATATTATATTGTTTGGGGGGGGGATGGATAGGAAGCGGTTGTTAGAGTTGGTGGTATTGGTAGGGGGGGGGGGGAAAATAATGGGTAGCGGTGAAAGTTGGGAAATAGTGGGTGAACTGGGGATGAGGTGAGTGGGATTTGTGTAGAGGACAGGTTCTGTGAGGTTGGGCACATGGGGAGTGTTGTCAACAGAAGGGGGGGAATTAATGGAAGTTGTGGTGTGGCAGGGTTCGGGGGGGACTGGGGACCGGGACATACCTGGGGCCGGACAAAGGGGCGACTCGGGAGGGCTTTGATGGTTGGAGGCGGGTATGGCGCATAATCATGATACCCTGCTCACCAGGCAGCAGCCCCTACCTGGTTGAATCCAGTAGACACCAGGTGCTCCTGGGTAGCTGTCCATGCCAGTCGGCCGTCCCTGCTGCTATCATGGGCCTGTGTGCTCTATGGGAGACAAGAGATGGCCTTGATCCATTAGACCCTTTACCAGCGGTCTGAGTTGGGGAAATTCTACTGCCCATAGACAGTTGCTCAGGCTGAGGGAGACCTTACACATACCCAAGGTGAATTCCACCCCTGCCTCAGCTCCACCAAAGGCTGCCCGGTCAGGCTCCCTAATATGGGGCTAACAGTGGCTGCTCTTCCATACCTCTGCAAGTGCCTGCGTAAGGGGCTCCGCTGGGGATCCCCCTTAATCTCTGATCCTGGTTCTCACACCCAGAGCTACGTGTTTGTGGGAACCTCAGGCCCCATTGAAGTCTCATTTTTGTCCTCCCACATGTGAATGGGGCTTCCTAGAGCTGGTCTGGAAGGAGAGGGGCTGCAGCAAAGCACCGTGCAAATCACAGGATTATGAGGATTATTGGGCCTCCTGATGCCGCCAGGGCAGGAGCCTGGGGCCGGGCTCTGGGGAAGGTGGCAGAGGGGACAGAGCAGTGCCTGTCCTCCCGCAGCCCCCAGGGAGAATGGTGCTGGTCACATGGCAGGCAGGCAGCAGCCCTGTCCCTCTGGGCCCTGGCAGGGGGGACCCGAGGGGGACTGGAGGAAATGCAAACAGCTCCCTCCCAGTCACTCTGGCCCCTGGAGCCTGAGACAAGGACCCTATTACCAAAAATAGCTCACCCCAACCGTGGCCAGCCTCCTCCAAGCTTCCCACGATCTCCTTGGGAATGAATGAGCAAGGGAGGGAGGCAGCCAGCAAGGACCTGGCCCGGGGCCCCCTCCCCAGCCCGTGGAGGCAGACCCCAGCGTGGGAGACGCTGGAAAGCTCCACACCGCGTCCTTCAAGGGGGTTTTCTCACTGCTCCCTTCCCACCCAGCTGAGGCCGGCACAGGAAGTGGGGGCTGGAGCCTGAGAACTTAAGTCCTACACCCCTTCCATGTAAAAGGGACTGTAGGGTCAGGATAAGGGTCATATCACTGACCAGCCCCACCCCCCAACACTCCAGAGGCACTTAGGAGAGTCAATTGGGCTCTGGCCTTTTCCACTGGCATGCAAATACCCCTGTGGAAGCAGCAAACTGATGATTTCCAACTAAGTCATTCATAGCCCACTCATCCATTCATTCACTCAACAAACATACAGAGCCTTCCACAAGTCAGGGACTGTGCAGCCAGTCCTGAAAGGCTCTAGTAGCTTGGGAAGTAGGACTGGTCACTCTGCTAGCCTTCACAGCCCAAATGTCAGAGCCACCTACCAGCCTGGGCACTGGGGACACAGAGGATAGAGGCCCTGCGCCCCAGGCATATTCGTATCAGGAGGCAGGTATGGACCCAGGAGAAACCTCTGCTACCACACACCATGCAGGGGGCCACAAAGGACTCTCAAGGCAGGGAAGGTAGGGAGCTGTACACGCCAAGTAGGCGCACACTCCAGCCCTGCCCATGTTGCCCCAGTTTCCTGGTCTGGAAGGACCTCCTGCAAGGTTTTGGCATTAACTCAGAACTGTGTCTGGCACATTGCACTTGGTGTGAAGGAATTACAACAGGAGTAGAGGGTGTGAGGTACTGGGGCAGTTGTGATGGTCCAGAGAGGTGGGAGACAAGACTCACTGTGGCCTGGGCCCCTGATTTCCTGTCACACACAGAGGAACCAGAGGCCTGCAGAGGAGGCTGTTCCTCTAGTCACACAGCCTCCTGCACCTGTGAGCAGGCCAGGATCACCGCTTAGCGCCTCACAGGCACCTGAAGCCCAGCAGGGAGGAGACCTGCATGAAGTAAAGTTACAGCTAGAAGGACCAGGATGTGCCAGGAACCTCAGCTGCCCCCTGAACATCCTTGGGTTTCCAGCAAACACTCCAGAGGGAGGCAGTGTTCAGCTCAGCCTTCCTGAAGACAGGCTGTACCCTGGGGCACACTCAGCTCAGGATATCTCCTGCTCCCTCCTCAACCCCAGGCCACTGGAACCACCTCCAGTTTCAAAAAGCACAGCTCTTGGCTGGCCTCAGCGAGCCTTCCCTTCAGGTCCTCCTGCCCCGACTCTATGGGGTAACAGAGGCTGGGGAGCTATGCTGTGCTGGAGCCCAACCCCATCACAAGAGGCCTGGTGGAAGGCACTGGTGGCCAGGCCATGCAAAGATGGGATAGGCTGCAGGTGGGCTCCAAGATGACCCAAAGTCCCCTCCATTCTTGCCCCCTGGGAAGAGATGCTGTGGCCAAGGGGCACAGGGGGAGATGAATAACCAGCATTCCAGCTGCATTTGCAGCCAAATCTCTCCATCACCATGGCAATGCTTCCGGTACAGGGCAGAGGCAGGGCAGATTGAGTGCCCTAGGCTCTTTCATGGAGCTAGGGGACCTGCCCTACAGGTGAGACCCCTATTCCTTGCCTGCTGAGGACTCCCCTCCTCAGCCAGCTCAGTGAGGAGGGGAAGGCTCTAGGTGTTGGCCAGGCCCTGACACACAGGGTGGTCAGGAGGCACAGGGATGCATCAGAGGGCTCATCTTAGGCCCCCACTGCCCTGACGAAGGACCCAAGGCCTCACAACCACTCACAACCTGGCCTCAGACTTCTGCTTCCTTCAACAGCTCCAAGAGCTGGCCTGTCCCACCCCGGCCTCTAGCATAACCAAGGGCAGCAGAGAGGTCCGGGGGTTCTGAGGTCAGACCAAGCATCTGCTGCTTTGCTGTGTGACCCTGGAGTGGCAACAGGACCTTTCTGAGCCCTATTGACCTGGTCTGGACAACAAAAAGACCCAAGGGGCCACTTTCCTTGGATGGTGGTCAGGGTGGAAAGAAGTTGCCCTGGGACACAAACAAAAATAAGGCTGGGGCATGAACAGGAGGGAGCCATCCAAGGAGCCCAGTTCTGAACCCAGGTTGCCAGGGACAGGGTTCAATAAAGATAGTGGGGGAAGACCCGAGGACCAGCCTCCAGGTGAGGGCAGAGGGTTGCCACAGAGTCCCCATCCTCCCTCACCCCTGCCCCTGGCCATGCCAGAAGGAGAAATTACTAGAACGGCTCCTGCAAGGCCTCTCCCGGGACTGGCCCCTCAGCTCACACCAACCCAAGCCGCCAGCAGCGGTTTTCCTAATAGAAGCCAGGTGTGGGCCAGATGCCCTGGGAGGAAGTGGGGGGCAGGGCCACACCAAGGGCAGCATTCCAGGCCTGCTGCCCCCGCAATGCGCCAGGCATGGTCCCAGCAGCTGGGGGGAGCCACCCACGTGCTTCCCAAGTCTCCTGGGCAAAGCCCCTGCAGGGGTTCCCTCCAGAAGCAGATACTCTTTGCTGTTCTCTTTAAGGAACTCGCAGCCCTTGGCCGAAAGCCACGCCAGCTCCACCCCCAGCCCTGCGGGGGCAGAGGGGGGGGAAAGGCGGGGGGGGGGGGGGGGGGGGGTTCTGACTTGGGTGTTCACCCCCTGCAATGCCCAGCTAGGGCAGTAACTCAGGCCCCTGCCCCTTCCCTGCCCCATCCCCCCACCCCCTGCCAGTGGGGGGAGGGCTCAGTTTCCAAGTTGATTCTAGAATATTCTTCTTGGCAACGGCTTGTAGATCATTCAAAGCAAGCTACTCAGGGAGAGAGAGGCCTCGGGTCCACACCCACACCTCCATGCAACTCAACAGCCACTGTCCTCTTTGTGGGACAGAGCAGTCAGCTGGCTTTACCCAAACGCCAGGTCAGAGTTCAGCCAAAATCACTCTGCAGGCTGTTTCACCTGTCACATGGGACCTCTTTCCAGTTTGGAGGAGTGGAACCGATGATACCACTGACCAAAAAGTCACAACTCATTACATGAGTGGGTTTGTGAGGCTGTACATGGGACCCCTGGCTGATGCTGGGCAGGGGGCATAACTGGGGGAGAAGAGCTCTTCCCTACAGCTGGCGGCTGGACCTTAAACTCCATCTCCCTGAAGATGTGCCTTTAGAAAAGCAAATCTGGGCATCCCCCCACTAAACTCTGTAACTAGCCACTCCCCCACCTCACCACCCCCCATCCCCCGTCGGCACCACTCAGGCTTGTGCTACAAGACCAGGTGCTGAGCAAAGCATCAGATCAGCTCAGTAACAACCTGTGTGCCTGTGGCGGGCCACGGGGCTGGCTCCTCTGCTGCCGCCTACTAGGTGTGTGACAGAATGAGCCCCACCCCCACCGGACATCTGCTGCCTCAAACACACAGCATCCCTGCCGTGTGCACTCCAGTCCCATCTATGCATTGTGTGGCAACACAGCTCAGAAGGAGCTCTCTTTCGGCCTCCTCGGGTCAGGAAGGGAGCAAGCGAGAGGGGGTGGGGTTGCAAAGGAGGGAGGGAAGCCAGAACTGCTGATCACCTTGCTGAAGCCTGAGCGCCCAGCCAGGCTGCACCCCGCCCTGTGACCACAGCCAGCCCCTCCCAGGCTCCGGGACACACTGCTTCACAAGAGCTCCAGCAGGCCTTCCTTATGAACCTGAGCCAGCCCCCCCAGCTGCTAGAACCGCTGGGTCCTCAGTTAGAGACAAGCTTCGAGTCACCCCTACAGCAACCCAATCTCACCCCACAACTCACCTGAGAGGCCTGGGGCTTGGTTCTGGGGTCAAAGATACGCAGCTGCTTGTCCTGGAAATGAAGAAGACAGAGCAGGTGATTAAAGTCAGGGGGCCAGAGTCAGCCTGACTCCACCTGCAGCCCAGAATAAGGCTGGCTGCTCACCAGCAGACATCCCCAGAGCCCAGATCCTCCTCCTCATGCCAGGGGTAGGAGGCCCTTCCTGCCCACTCATCTGGAAAAATAGTTTGGGTTCACTTTCCCAAGCCCCGACGCACCCCCCAGGCCTGTGAAACAGGGGACCTCCCCTGGTCTGCCCAAGTCCCTCATGAGGTGCTACAGTCACCACGACCCCTTCACAGACAGGCAAACTGAGGCCCACAACCATCTCCAGGCTGCTCACTGCACGGGGTATGCCCAGTCCTGTGCTGGGCCCGGCCTGAAGGGGTTCATGTGGTAACATGACTTTTGTACCTATCAGTTAACCAGGAAGGTATGTAAATGAGGCCATGGATATGCAGTTACTGACACACTCAAGCCGAGGCCGAGACAAAAGCACACAGAGCAGCAGCACAGAACCGTACTGGAGTGAGATGCCACAAAATAATCCCTGTGTGTGCACGTGTGCAAGCACGCAACTGTGTATACCAACGTACACGCTCAAGAACTAGGCCAGAGCCCATGCCCAACCTGCATTCAGGGACCATTTATTTACGAACTTGGCCACGAAAAATTCAGTGCAAAATAAAGCTTCAGGGCTAGTGTTGTGGTGCAGTGGGTTATGCTGCTACCTGCGACACATATCTCACATCACAGCCCCAGTTCGAACCCCACCCACTCTGCTTCCTATCCAGCTCCCCGTAATGAACGTGAAAAAGCAGAAGATACTGGCCCAAGTGCTTGGGTCACCACCACCCATGCAGGAGACCTGTACAGAGTTCTAGCGTCCTGGGGTCAGCCCAGAAAGTCCCTAGCCACTGTGACCATTTGGGGAGTAAATGAGTAAATGGATCTCTGCTCTCCTGCTCTCATTTCTTTTGTTTTAAGTTTACTTTTATTGGAAAGGCAGATTTACAGAAAAGGACAGACAGATCTTTCATCTGTGGTTTCACGTTCTAAACAGCTAAGCCAATGTAAAACTAGGAGCTTCTTCTGTTCTCCCACATGGGCGCAGGATCCGAAGGACCTGGGCCACCCTCCCACCACTTTCCAGGCCTTAAGCAGGGAGCTGGATTGGGAAGTGGAGCAGCCGAGACACAAACTGACACCCATATGGGATGTTGGTGCTTGAAGCTAAGAGGATTAGCCTATTAAGCCACAGTGCCACCCCACCACTCTTTCTATTACTTTGTCAAACAAATAAATCTTGAGAGAGAGAGAAAGAAAAAGAAGGGGCACCATGGTGGCACTAGGCTAATCCTCCCTGCGGCACCAATATCCCATGAGTGCCGGGTCCAGCTTCCAGCTGCTCCACTTCCAATCCAGCTCCCAGCTTAAGGCCTGGAAAGCAGTGGAGGACGGCCCAAGTCCTTGGGTCCCTGTACCCACACGGGAGACCTAGAAGGAGCTCCTGGCTCCTGGTTTTGGATCAGTTTAGCTCTGGCTGGTGAAGGGGCATTTGGGGAATGAGTGAACCAGCAGATGAACGGTTTCTCTTCTTTGTTGCTCCTTCTCTCTTGATAACTCCAAGCTTCAAGTAAAAATAAACAACAACAACAAAAAAAACCTAAAAAAGAATCAACACGACAGAGAGATCTTACTTATGCCTACAAAGATGGTCACTACAGGGTCCGGCGCTGTAGCCTCACAGCTAAAGTCCTCACCTTGAATACACTGGGATCCCATATGGGCACTGGCTCTAACCCCAGCGACTCCGCATCCCATCCTGGGAAAGCAGTCGAGCATGGCCCAAAGCTTTGGGACTCTACACCCATGTAGGAGACCTGGAAGAAGCTCCTGGCTCCTGGCTTCGGATCGGCTCAGCTCCAGCCATTGTGGCCACTTGGGAAGCGAACCATTGGACAGATCTTCCTCTCTGTCTCTTCTCCTCTCTGTATATCTCTGACTTTGCAATAAAAATAAATAAATCTTTAATAAATAAAATTAAAAAAAAAAAAAACAGAATAAGGGCACAAAACCAAACAGATGCGGCCTCTGCCCAGGAGGAAGCAGTGAGTAACCAGGCCCCAGTGAGGGGTTCAGGGTGAAGCTCACGTCCACACAGAGTCTGCAAGGCTATACAGAACTGGCCCTGGGAAGGCAGACACACTGCGGAAGGCGGGCCAGCAGGGGAGGAGCGGCGGCCCAGAGCTTGCTGGTGTGCACCGCCACACGAGGAAGCAGATGGTGGGAAGCGGCTAGGAGCAGGCAGGAACAGGCCCAGCACAGACCTCGAAAGCCAGACCTCCCTGGCATATGTCAGTGGGTCCTAGAGCTCTGTGCCACTCCTGGCAGTAACTCATGAAGCTCCTGCCACATGCCAGGCAGGCACCGGGCACAACCTGGCATGTGGCACAGCACAGAGCACTGTTCCATCCACAGTCTGGAGTACAGAGGCCCTTCAGAGGCAGATGGAGATCGTCAGAGACAAAAGGGACAGGTAAGGACAGAGATGATAACTAGGGACAAGGGACAAGGACCAAGGGCAGAGATGGACAAGCACCACCAGGCTGTGAGGCTGTTCCCACTGCACGCCCAGGAGACAGGTGTCTGTCTCCATCAGTGACTGCTGCTGACTCCCTGCTACCTCGCCAAGTCTGAAGAAGACGACAGCTCAATCCTGGGGCTGAGAGCGCAGTACAGTGAACGCCCAGGAAGACAAGCTTAATGCCGGGCCCAGGCCAGGGCTCAGAGGGGCACTGAGACTGTTCTGGTTGAGCAGGGAGTGAGGCTGGGCCTCCTGCAAATTGACGCCTGGGAGCGCAGGGGTGAGTCCTGCCATCCGCAAGGTCCGCACGCCCCCTAGCGGGTGGCCGCTCTCAGATCTGAGGGAAAAGAAGCTGGAAGCAAACTGGGAAGCAGCTTGGGTGGTCCCTGGAGGAAGCTCTGTTCCCAACCAACGGCAGCAGGCCAGGAGGAATGGGCACCAGGGGCAGGGAGCTTTGCCCATGGTCTGCTGGGAAACAGTGTCCAACACCCAACCAGCAGGCAGTCCCAGGTTCTAGCCATCCTAGCGCACAAAGGCAGAGCCCCGGCTGGTCACTACTGACAAAGTGGGGCTGCCAGGGCACACCAACCCTCTCAGCTCATGGCAAGCCCTCGCTCTACACACACCTACAGGCATCTGCACCAGAACCAGGACCAGAACCGGGGCCAAAGGGCACATCTCTCCTCTTAGTATCCATCGCAAGGTTCACCTGGGCAATCCTATGCTCCAATACCCATTGGCTTGAATGAAACATGGGGCTAGAGACAGAACTGACCCAGCAATTGCATCTACCAGTGTGTGCGTAGGCTGATTTGGGTGATAGACTGTGCCGGACCCTGTACTGGCAAACACACACAAGAATCAGCTCTGGGACGGCCTCTGATAAGATTTCTATGGCAATTTCCTACCAACTGAGCCGCTGGACTCAGAACCCTAACCATGGAGAGAATCGTAGGTTCCATGGGCTGACCCTGGGAGTGGATGTGTCAGAGCTGGGCCTCCTCAGAGGCTCAGATGGAGCAGAGGACAGCATGTCCAATGTACATGGAGGATACGGCAGTACATCGGAGCCTCCGGAGGACACCTGGTACCATGGCAGAGCACGGAGAACAGAACAAATTGATCAACTACCCCAGCTAAGCATTGGCAGTGAAGATCTGGGCAGCCGGAGACACTAAGGTGGACTACAGCAGCCAGTGGATTAGGGAGAGATTCATCGCGATTGCAGTGGAGGGATCGCCAGCAATTCAGGACTGCTGACCTATCAAAACCTCTTGAGAAATTCATGGTGTTGTAAATTTCTATTTTTCTTCCTGTTGTTGATTTTGTGTTGTGGTTTTTCATTTAAGAGGGATGTGTGGTGACTGTGTAATGGAGACTATCGTGTCCAAATGCGAGGATGCAGTGGAGTACGCATCTCTACTTCCAGATCAAAGATGGACTACTATTAGCTTTACAATAGATACTGGACTCTCTGCCACTGTCCATGCCTGCAATGAACATGTGATTGTTTATGAAGAGCTATGCTATAGTAATGTTATAGGGGAATTTGGTGGGGGAGAAAGGGATTTGGGGAGGGGACAGGGTTGAAATCCCAGGACCTATGGAACTGTATCATAGTAGAATGATGATAATAATTTTAAAAGAAGTAAAAATAAAATTAAAAAATAAATATACATATATCTTTTTCTTTTTTTGCAAAGTCAGATATACAGAGAGAAGGAGAGACAGAGATGAAAATCTTCCTTCTGGTTCACTCCCTAAGTGACCACAACTGCCAGAGCTGAGCCAATCTGAAACCAGGAGCCAGGAGCTTCTTCCAGGTCTCCCATGCGGGTGCAGGGTCCCAAGGCATTGGGCCATCCTCGACTGCTTTCCCAGGCCACAAGCAGGAAACAGGATGGGAAGTGGGAATGCTGCGATTAGAACTGGCATCCACATGGGATCTGGACATGGTCAAGGCAAGGACTTTAGCTGTGAGGCCATGGCAGGGCCCTGCATTCTACACTTCTAACCCTCCAGGGCCCCCTGGGGTTTCAGAGAAAAGCTTCTTTATTAGCAGAAGGATGAACTAAACTACTGTTATAATGTAGGGCAAAACAGTGGGAGGAGAGGGTGGAATGAGAAATCCCTAAACCTAAGGAAATGTATCATTAAAAAATAAAGACTTTATTTAAAATAGAGAGGGTCTGCCACATTAGCCTAGCAGCTAAAGTCCTCGCCTGGCATGCACTATCTCTCCTCCTCTTTGTATATCTGACTTTCCATTTTAAAAAACATATAAAAATAAATAAACAGGGCCCGGCACGATAGTGTAGTGGCTAAAGTCCTCGCCTTGCACGGCCCAGGATCCCATATGGGCACCAGTTCTAATTCCAGCAGCCCCGCTTCCCATCCAGCTCCTTGCTTGTGGCCTGGGAAAGCAGTGGAGGACGGCCCAAAGCTTTGGGACCCTGCACCCACGTGGGAGAACCAGAAGAGCTCCTGGCTCCTGGCTTCAGATTGGCTCAGCTCCAGCCATTGCAGCCGTTTGGGGAGTAAACCATTGGATGGAAGATCTTCCTTTCTGTCTCTCTTCCTCTCTGTATATCCGCCTTTCCAATAAAAATAAAATAAATCTTTAAAAATAAATAAATAAATAAATAAAATATATAGAGAAAGAAATGCTTCTGTCCCAAACAAAAAAGCTGGCCCCCCTCCCACCTGCACACATCTGGGACACAGCTCATACCTAGACCACACTGAGAGCACTCACACATCCCATCTCAGCACGGGCCTCTTCCCCTGCAAGCCAGGACCAACCTCACAACCTCCTGGTCCTCCTACCAACAGCTTGGCTCTCAGGGGTCTCTGATGCCCATGCCTCTGCCTCCACTCCCGCCTCAAGCCGAGGCTGTCTCTTCCTCCCCTGAAGGTGCTCTCACTTGCAAACCACAGCTCCTAAGGGAGCTTCCCCAGGGGAAACGTGCACCCCGCAGGACACCACCTGGCTTTGGCTTGGACATGCCTGGCTCTTTGCCTTCAGGCTGTGCGATCTCTTCCTGGACCAGGCCCACCTGACCCAAAATGATCTCAGAACTCTATCCATCTGGGCCCTTGTCTGACCAGCTTCAAATTCCATATCCCTGTGCAGGGGCAGGGGCACGGGGGTAAATATTCTTCCCTCCATGTCTTCTATTTTTTTAAGATTTGTTTACTTGAAAGGCAGAATGACAGAATGAGAGGGAAAAACAGACCTTTCCTTGCTGGTTCATTGCCTGAATGGTTGCACGGCTGGCCCAAGACTAGGGCCTAGAACTCCATCCAAGCTTCCCACATGAGTGCAAGGGGCCCAATCACCTTGGGCCATCAACCACTGCTTCCCAAGTACATTAGCAGGGTGCTAGACGGGAAGTGCAGCAGCCAGGATTCAAACTGGCCATCCACTATGGGATGCTGGTGCTGCAAGCAGCAGCTTAACCCATCATGCTAAAATATTGAACTTGCCCCACCTGATCCCCACCTCCATGCCTGCACAAGGCCTGGCTCATGCCCTGCATACACACTGCTGAGCCTCCCAGGAAGGCAGGCAGGGGAGGCTGGCCCAGCACGGGGATGTGGTCAAACTACACACACCAGGAGCCCAGGGTTGCCTCAGACGGGGATTCACAGGGAGCGGGAGCAGAAGAGGCAGAGCAGATGAGGTGGGGAGGACACAAACGTGCAGAGATCTTCATCACCGTGAATCCCAAGCCTGGAAGGTGAGCCAGGAGCCTACAGCCAGGGGCTATATGTCATCCACTTACCTTGCATGCTGTGCCCAGGAGGGCACCATCCCTGCTCCAAACTGCGCTCTGCACCAGGTCCCCGTGGGCCATCAGCTCTGCAGGGAAGCAGGCAAAGTCAGGTCCCTTCAATGCTGACACCAGCGAGGCTGCTGGGAGCTGACTTGGGGGAACCCCAGGGGCAAAGGCAGAGTTGACAAGGCAGGCTTTCTGGTGGAAGTGAGCAGGTTAGGGATGGCAGCTCCCCTCAGACAGGATGCACCTGCACCCAGGGACTTCTTCCAGGCCACAGTTCAACTCAGGCTCTGCACTTGGCTCTCACCTCCACCGCTTCTGGCCAACACCTCCCCACCAGATCATTCCTGTCATCTCCACTCTACTTCCCTGGTGTGGGTGTTTTCACATACATCCACACATTCCTGAAACCTGTCATGGGTTGAACTCTATTCCTCCTACCTCCCCCTGTCCTGCCCAAGAGATGTCACTGTCCTAACCTGTGACCTTAAGTAGCCTCTGAACAGACCTTGGCTGATGGTCCAGTTAAGCTGAGGTTATCTGGGTGTGCCCTAAACCTTATAGTTGTGTCCTTCTGAGACAAAGAAACAACGCAGGCAGACACTGAAGACTCCAAGCACAGCCAGCCACGAACCACAAAACGCCTGGGGCCACAGGAGGCAGAAGTCTCGAGCAGGTCCCAGGGCATGGCCTCAACAGGAATCAGTCCCACCCCACCTAGCACTCCGAGACAACACTCTGTCGCTGGCCAGTGTACGGCTCCTGATAACAGCAGGAATCCAACACCTTCCCGTTCAGCAGATGCCAGCTCACTTGGGTCAGCAATAATCCTCCTCAGGAGTGGCTCCCAAGGCTGCGCTGAGAGCCGCACGGCGCTCCCTGTTCACTCTGGAGCCACTCCTGAGGGTCCCAAGGCAGGGCTGTGAGCTGCACAACGCTCCCTGGTCACTCAGGCTCCTACACAGGAGGGACACCAGCTCGTGCTTCCCATCCGCCTCTGACTTAACCATTTGGGAAGCAGCCCCTTCCCACCCCCTCCCATCCAGCCCTTAGGTGATAGCAACTCAGAGACCCTGAGCAAAGGCCACCTGCCCAAGCAGCTCCTGACTTCCTGCGCCTTAGGCAATGGGTGAGATAATCAATACTGTAAGATGCTTTAGCCCCCATGTTTTGGAGCAATTTGTTTCAAATCAAGAGATCAGTTCCACACAGAGTTTTGCTCCCTGAGGATTCATTCAACCTCAGTCACTCCTGCACCGAGGCCCTGGCTGAGGGACTGGACCCTGAGCCTCTCCTGCTCAAAGCTGGCAGAACTGCTGCCGGATGGACGGGCAGGTGGCTGGTAGAGTCCACAGCCTCAGGAACCAGGCCTGTGGAAAGAGCTTGAGAAGCTACAGCAGAGGCTGTGCCAGCTCCTTCAGGCAGACGGAAGGGCTGGTTAGCTCCAGGACCCCCAGGGGCTCTTCCCAGCCTGCACCCTGGGTCTCATACCTCCTGTCCTCAAGGCACACCACCGACTCCACAGAGGGCTCCTCCAGGGTGGGCTCCGCAGAGTAACTGATGCTGTCCATCTCAGGAACACTTGGTGACCTGACAGCAGCCCTCAGGCAAGGCACGGACCCTGGCTCCCAGTCCCAGGGCAGGAACCTCACCCAGCCTGGACACAACACCACCCTCCAGAGCAAGGGTGAACCTCAACTCGGAATCTCAGGATGGAGGTCCCCAGTGAATGGGTTCATAGTATCACCACAGAGACACAATTGTGCAGACACTTAGATGTCCTCTCTGGGAAGGCAGGAGGGGGAAAAAGGCCCTACATGAAGGATGGGGTACCAAGGAAAGCACAATCCTCACCTCTGGGTGGGAAGTCAGTAATTTGATTTCAAAACTGGGAAATAATTTGGGCCCGGAGTGATAGCATAATGGTTAAGGTCCTCCTGTGGCGCCAGAATCCCATATGGGCACTGGTTCAAATCCTGGCAGCTCCACTTCCCCTCCAGCTCCCTGCTTGTGGCCTGGAAAAGCTGTTGAGGACGGCCCAAAGCCTTGGGACCCTGCACCTGTGTGGAAGACCCGGAAAGAAGTTCCTGGATCCTGGCTTCGGATGGGTACAGCACCGGCCATTGTGGCCACTTGGGGAGTGAATCAGTGGATGGAAAAATCTTCTTCTCTGTCTCTCCTCTTCTCTGTATATTTGCCTTTCCAATAAAATAAATAAATATTTGTAAAAAAAAAAAAATGGGAAAGAATTTGAAGAAGTTGGAGTGCCAGGAAGTTAGTGGGAAAAGTGCAGAAAAGTGACAGCTAAGAGAAGGGGGCAGGTGCAGTGGGGAACAGAGTGGGCAGCATCTACGAACAGCCCGCAAGACCAAGGTGCACACAACCTTGCCACATTGCACCACTACCACCAAGGAAAAGTGCTGACCAAGATGGGCTGCCCCAACATGGGCAGGCAGGCTGGGGAGACTGCACCTGTCAGGGGCTGCTGCGAGGTGGCGTCCCAGACCTTCACGGCTGTTCCCGCTGCGCTCACCAGGATGCCGTCAGCTGTGGGGTGGAACTGCAGGGCTTCCACCTGGTGCTCCTCAGGACCCAGCACCACCCCGGGCCCCGAGGGCAAGGCCTGGCCAGGACCTGGCAGGCGCCAGAGCTTCACCTGTGGCAAAAAACAGTCTGTGACCCACAACCCACAAGACCACCCTGCTGGAACAAGGCTGCTCCACAGGCTCGGCACCACTCCCCAGGCTTTTGGAGCGGTGTCCCACCCACTTTGGCAGCAGCCAGGGCCAGGTCACAGGGAACAAGGAAGCAAAACTAACTCAGGGGTCATACGGAATGGACAGGGGCTGGTGGGGAAGGCGCCCTGTACTGGCTGGCCCCTGCAGCCTCCTATCCCACCCCATCATCCTTGCCCCAGGGCAATCTCACAACCACAACCTCAGGCTGTGCACACTGGGGAGCCGGTGTGGATCCAGAGCTTAGGTGCTGGCCCAGCCCTGGGAGCTTTCTCTGCACACAAGCCTCACTGAAGGCCCAGCAGGAGGCACTGTGGTCCCGTCCTACCTGTGCCCCAGGAAGCCAAGAGCCAGAGAAGGGCCTGAAGGGCAGGAATGGGAACAGAACTTGGGGAGCTCATGATCCCTGACCTGAGACAAGGCAGAGGGTGGAACATGGCCAGCACCCTTCCAAGTGGCTCTACTCACCGTCCTGTCGGCAGAGCCTGTGGCCAGAAGAAAGTCATCAAACGGTGAGAAGTCCAGGTCCGTGATCAGGTCTATGGCACAGGAGGAACAGCTGAGCTTGCCTGAACACCATTTTCCCAGCCCCTGCAGTCCCCCCCGAGGACAGGGACTAAATGCCCAGGGCTCTGAGGTGGCAGCACTGGCCACAAAGAGCCAGCTGAGGATCCTGAAGGCCAGGGCACACATCCCTGGGAGCCCACTGACCCACTCTAGTTAAAGGCCACAGAGTCAGGCTGCCAGGGAGCTCCTGGGATTCGCTGGCACCTCAGGAACACAGTCGTCAGCTGGAGCCTCTTGAGGCCACATGGCCACTTCCTCCTCAGTCAAGGAATCCCTAGGAGCTGCCCAGGAAAGTTCTTTTCAGTTTAAGTGAGCTGGTATGGGTGTTCGTTCAGTGAGCCAGAGCCCAAAGCCAATAAGGCTGAGGGTATTGGAGTAAGGACAGTGTGAATATGACCACAAGCTTACATTACCAGAGCAGCAGCACAGCCACCATCCCCTGCCACCGCCTCCCAGTGAGACACAGAAAATGTCTTTCTCCAAGCCAGAGGAGACAGGAAGAAATGCGGGCAGACAGGGACAGACAGTCCCAGCGAGGGTCTCTGCCTGCACTTTCAGCCACAGGATCATGGCAGTCCTGGGCCTAGAGCTGTGGAAGCCCTGCCACCCAGGCAGCCACCAGCCTGGGCAGCCTGGCATCGCGACATCAGAGTGACAAGGCACTCACACACTGAGTAATCTGAGTGTCCGGCCTCTAAGTTCTTTGCACACTTGCATCTCACTGAATCCCTGCAGTGACCAGCAGGAGGCACTGCAGCCTCCTCCCCAAAGGCCAGATGAGGTTAAGAACTTTGTCCAGGGTTGCACAACCAGGTTCAGGGTCAAGCAGCACTTGTGCTGACTCAGAAACTTCCCCTGGTAAAAGCCCCAGCTGCTACTTGCACAGCTCTCACATCAGAACCACAATCCCACTGCTCTCCATCACTGCCACCCTCCACCCCAAAAGCAGGATGCTCAAGTGCAAGGCAGCAGCTAGCGCCCAGCCACTCCAGGCCCTCTCACTCTCTGTGCACCTACAAGGGTGGAACAGCACCTGGCCCCTCTGCAGCAAAGTCCCTCGGAGCTGTGGCTCAGCCACTTCCAAGAGCAGCCTCCTGGCCAGGCTGAGAAAAGCTGCAGTCACACCAAGACGACAGCCAGCCCACACATGCCTGGGCCAGTTTCTACTGGGGAAGTGCCGCCCCAACACCCAGATTCTGACTCTGGCTATGTGGACTCCAGTAAATTCCCAAGTGTGCTGAGCCTGGAGGAACTTTTAGGACATTACACAAAGGAACAGGAGCCAGTATCAAAGAAGCCACAGATGGTTTTGCTGATGAAAAATGCCTAGAAAAGGTCAATCGGTGGGGCAGAAGCAACAAACACTCCCTGCAGAAATTTCAGAGTTTCAAGGTTGTTGTTATGGTATAGCATATTAGCCCTCGACCAGCAGCACCTGCATTCCATATGGGCACTGGTTAGTATCCCAGCAGCTCCACTTCCCATCCAGCTCCCTGCTCATGAATCGGAGAAAGCCCCAGAGGACGGCTCAAGTGCTTGGGCCCCTGAGTGCATGTGGGAGACCAGAAGAAACGCCTGGCTTCAGCCCAGCCCAAGTCTGGTCTTTGCAGCTATTTGAAGAGTGAACAAGCAGACAGAGGCTCTCTTTGTCACTCTTTCCAATATAAATAAATACATATATATATATATATATATATTTCTTTTTTAATGCAGAGCTGAGGGCCACCACAGCCTTACATGTGCAGCTGCAGCATGAACTGCTAGGTACACAGCTCTTCACAGAAACAGGCAGCATGGGGCCTGGTCCTGACTGCAGGCTGCAGGCCTCTGTCCCTGCCACAGCTGCCAGAGGGCACTGAGCTCAGGGGCTGGGAGGGGACACAACCCTGCACTGTCACCAAAATCATCCACTCACACAGGAGATGTCATGGCAGGTATCCGACAATGCCTCAATAGTCATGTCAACAAGCTCCTTCCAACATGGACAGGATTCCAGGAACCTTCACTGCCGTCACTAACCACTGGCGTCACTGTCCCCAGAACCACTAAACTGGCCTAAGGACCCAGGACCCACTCCCTTCCCTCACTCCAAGGCCTACGGGCACACGCGGCCAGGGCCCACAGGACGGCAGGGCGGGGGAGGGGTGCACATGCAGCCTCAGTCCGGGAGAGCAGACTGTTCCTGGGAGCGGGCAGGCGGCCAGGCTGGCTGCTGGGCACCCCCAGAAGCAGCTGCAGCAGACAAAAGCCCCCTTTGTAAGGCCCATCTCCGGCACTCAGCCCAGCACAGATGCCTCCTTGGAAGGCCTTGAGTAGCCTGGCTGGTGGATGCCTGGTGGAGTGGGGGTGGGGGAGAACTTGCTGGGCTTCAGGAAAGGAGTTAAGAGCCACACAGGGCTGAGTCCTAGGCAGACCAGCAGCTGGCTTCAGTATGGGGTCTGGTCACTGCGGGTTCCCCTTGCCCAGCTTCACAACATGGAGCTTCCAGTTGTCTTTCCCTGCAGCCAGGTGGAATAGCACAGTGTAGAGAACAGGAAGGGCCTGGAAAACCATGGGGCTGGGGTCCCACGTGAGTGTGAATCCTGGTCTGGGACAGGGAAGGAGCTCTGGGCTTCCTGGGCCCAACATCCACTCACCTGAATGACAGCCCAGATGGGCCACGTGTTTCTTGTCTGCTTCTTGGCCCTCCAAAGGCACGATGCCCAGCACACCTGTTGTACACACGGGAGAGAGGAGCAGGGAGGTCTGACTTGGCCGCTCTCAGGGAGTGCCTACCTCCCTGTCCAAGGCTCCATGAGGAGCTGAGTCCCAGCAGTTCAGCCCTGGAACTTGTACACCACACAGAAGATCCCTCTGGAGCCCAGGGCTGGGTTCTTGCCCCATGCAGAAAACGCCAGCAAGGGCGTGTGTAGAAGATCCAGGTGGGGGTAGGGCAAAAGGGTTGTCTATCCCAAGATGACAGCTTGGGACTGTGCCTTCTACCTCTACCTGAGAATTAAGCCAACCCCATAGGCAACAGAATCAGGTGGGGGTCCATGGGGCATCTGAGCCTGGGGCTCGAGGTCAGACAAGACACTGGGATTCCTGCAGTTGGACTCAGAGCTAAGCAGCACAAGCCATGGAGAGAAGCTCACTGTATGGTATGGGCTTTCCTTTTCATTAAGTCCCATGGACCCCAGCTGCCCACAGGCCCACAGATGAGCAGGGGGGAGGCACATGGCAATGGGTGGAAACAAAAGCCCCAGGCCCCAGCCTGCACTCCCAACCATGTTTTTGAAGACCATGGCCAACATGGCTTAAATCCACACATACTCTCATCAGACTCATCAGAATACATGTACTACTGCACAATGACCAGCTTGTAGTCTGGTCTAGGGTCCAGCCAGCAAGGCCTGAATGATGCCTGAAATTCCTTAACTCCGAACCCCTACCTGGACGGTCAACGTTGAAGGCAATCAAGCTGCAGCTGGATTTGATACTGTTCCCACTGGAGGGGGTGCTCCCTGCTTGAATGTTACAGATCCAGGCCTGGGCATAAGAAGAAAGGTGTGGTGACAGTCAGGGCTTTGTTCACGCCCCAAGAAACGGAACTAGTTACACTATCTGAGTTCCTTAGGATCTAACCCTGTTCCCTGCCTCTTAGGAAGGCCCTAAAAAAAACATAAATGCAGGATGAGCGTTTTGTGTATTAGTTGACACTTGGGATGCTGGAATGCCCGGCAGGGAGTCCAAGCTCTACTTTCTGCTAGCAAGCACACTAGAAGATAGAAGTTGATGACTCAAGTATTCAAGCCTCTGCCAAGCTGCCACCTCCTGGCTCTGGCAAGGCCTAGCTCCAGCATGGTGTGCAGGAACAAATCAGTGGATGGAAGAACTGTGCCTCCCCACCTTTCCAATAAATAAGAGATGATTTAAAAAAGGGAAAATGTATACAAGATGTTCTCAAAAAGATAATGCAGGCAAAAGAGGGTAGAGCTTCGCTGAAGACAGTCCCTAATACAGGCAAGCGAAGTCAGCAAGCTACCAGGTGACCTGTCCAGGGCAGGAAAGGACAGGAAGCGGAGAAAGCAGAGGTGAGCACTGGACATATTCAACAGGTGCCTACTCCAAGCTCTGGAGGGCAGAGCAGGTAGAACCAAGGACAGGCCACCTTGTCCCCAGGGACGCATGAAGGCCACAAGCACAGACAGGCCACTCTGCAACCGACCCAATCACTGGAAAGCACAGAGTCCGCTGGTCCTGCAACTAACACAGAAAAATGCCAGGTTTCCTGTGTAGACAAGGCACCACTAGACAGCACTGAACACTCCTCCCCACCCACACCCGCACCCTCCCGGTGAGGGAGCACCCCACTTCCCAGCCCATCACCGCAGCAGCTGGAAACCATCTGTGCCACCTCAAGTTTCTATTCCAGTATTCACCAGCTGTGGGCACATACATACACAGTGACAGGAAACACCTTTGAAAAGTAGAGCAGCTCTGCGGATCTTCCCCCTCCCTGACAAAACAAATCTGTCTGAAGCGGTCCCTCCCTGTGGTCCTGGCTGCGAGTGGACCTCTCATCCTCCTCCAAGTAGCCTTCCCTGATCTACTAACATTAACCCTCACTCACCATTTCCCATCCCAGCCCCCTCCTGTGTGTTCTTCAATGTGCTGACTGAAGGGGCTGGTGTCTGCTTGTTGGTGCCAGGGGGGAGGGAACACGCTGTCGTTGTCACCATGGCAGTTCCAGCTGCTCCACCCGGCACCCAGTAAGTGCAGAGAAAACATGCCATACTGATGGAAAGCTGTCTCTGCCCCCAGGTTGCCTGGGTTTGTTTTGGCCTGCTAACGGGGTCACCAGAGGTCAGTTCCCTGACCCTCTGAACACAATGACACAGGGGGCAGCAGGCCAGGGCTAGTAGCATCATCCCCGAAGCACACCCCTACTCAGGGCCGCTATCCTGGGGGATGCCAGGGGCTCTTCCTCTGAGCTCCACCCAGCCAGCCACCAGCAGCATCACCCCAGGAAGGGAAGAGCTCTCAGCAACGAAGAGGAAGCGCCAGCGGAAACCAGAAGGAGGGACGCGCATGAGGCTCAGGGGGGCCCCTTCTAGATGGCTGTCCGACGGGACGCACCTCGCCCCGGGGCTCCGGGGGGGGGGGGGGAGGGTGTTAGAGCCGCCACGGCTCCACAAGGACAACCGGAAGCCAGGAAGACAGGAGAACTCCTAGGCTTCAGGCCTCCGTCCCGGCAGGAGGGCTGCGCCACAGTAAGGGTCCCGGGGCAAGAGGGCGGAGCAGACAGCTGCCCGAATGGCCGGAGCGCACCATGGGGAGTGTCCTCTTTGCCATCCCTGGGGCGACGGGGCGACGGGGCGACTGGGACGCCGGTGTAGGGGGCTCCCCGGCCTGAAAGGAGCGCCCCAGAGCAGGAGGGTCGCCGGTCCCGGAGAGCCTGGGCCGTAGGGAGGGCGGTGGCCGCTAACAGGGCCAGGGAGCGAGGGGCCTGAGGGCTGGGCTCACCTCGCGGCGGGACGGCCGGGCCTCTGTGTGCCGGAACTTAGACACCTTGAAGCGGTTCATGGCGGCGGGCAAAGGCGACCGTGGAGGCGCAGCTTCACGCACCAGGGGCGTCGGCTCAGGTGCACGCCGAGCGGCCCCGGCGCCCCCACCTTCGCGGCCAGCGCCGGAGGCCACGCCTCCGGGCCAATCGCAGCCACCGCTGGCTCTTCTGGCCACGCCCACAGCTGGTTCCTTCCGCGCGCGCGCCGCCGGCCACGCCCTCCGGCCAATCACGCCTCGGCCGCCCCTTGAGGTCCCGCCCCATGTCAAAAGGGCGGAAGGGAGGCTGAGTGGGTGGTCACGTGCGGCGCAGCTGTCCGCCCACGGTCCCGGCGCGGTGTGCGTGGGGTCTGAGGCGGTCGGCGATTCCCCGGGAGGTTCCAGCTCCTGCTGGGCGTGCCCTCATGTTCTGTCTCCTCAGAAATCAGCTCCATGTGGGCGTCTGGAGACTTGGGGGGTAACTCTAGAGGGACGTCTGTGCGCGGGGACCGGAGCCCCTGCGAGGGCCCCGGGTGGGTGGCAGTGGTTGCCGGGAGGGCGGCGTGGCCTCAGCACCCATTCTGAGGGCGCGTAGGGCTGGCCCTGGACAGGAAGGCACGCCGGAAGGGTGGATGGTGAGGGCGAGGGAGAATCTGTCAGGAAGCTGCGGGTCTGTCCGAGCTACCTGCCACTGTGCTCCGGGTTCAAAACCGCCTCTGAGAGTCCACAACTGCACAGTCGGCTTGCAGGAGTGGCGCCTGCTTAGAGAGGGACTCCCTACGTCAGCAAGAATATGACTGGTGAGGGACAGCCAGCGAGCGGCCCCATGCCCCATTCGACGCCCCGGCAGGGACCAGCCTCAGTGGGCTGGTCTGAAAGTTTGGCCTGCGCTTGGGGACACAGGACCCCTAAGATGGAGGCTCTTGGTTCAGTTCTTCCAGGTAAACTGTGCAGGCAGAGAGGCTGGTCTGAGAAAACAACAGAGCTGACTGGAGCCTACAGCCAGACGTTCCAAGGGGCCAGGCAGCTGTTGTACCTGTGGACCACACCAATCGGGATCTGGACCACCAGAGCAGTTTCCGGGGTGGTGTTCCGTTAGTGTATGTATTGCTTAAGAACCTGTGGCCAGGACACCCTTGTGGCACACCAGGTTAAGTAACAGCCTGTGATGCCAGCATCCCACATGAGCAGCAGTTTTGAGCCTCGACTGCTTCACTTTCCATCGAGCTCCCTGCTAATGCACCTGGAAAAGCAAAACGGATGGCCCCAGTTGAGGTGGTGCTATATAGCACAATGCCACCGGCCTTGGATATATTTCATGTGCATGTTAGTAGATGTACAAAGAGGAGAGACAGAAGGTTCTGTCTGGTGATTCACTCACCTAATGGCCGCAGTGGCCAGAGCTGAGCCGATCCAAAGCTCAGAGCCAGCAGCCAGAAGCTTATTCTGGAGCTCCCATGCTGGTGCAGGGTCCCAAGGCTTTGGGCCGTCCTCGACTGTTTTCCCAGGCCACAAGCAGGGAACTGGATGGGAAGTGGAGCTGCCGGGATTAGAACCGGCACCCATATGGGATCCTGGTGCATTCAAGGAAAGGACTTTAGCCGCTAGGCCACGACACTGGGCCTTCTCTGTGTAATTTAAATAAAATAAATTTTAAAATAAATTTATCAAAACACATTTTCCCTTTGGGCCTGACAATCCCCTTGTCTTACTGGATTGTCAGCTCCAGGTGTAGGTTTGTGATATTCTCAAATTGTCACTACACCATGTGACCTATTTTAGCTTTCTGCAAACCTTGGCCCAGCATGGTAGTCTAGTGGGTAAATTCTCTCCTTGCAAGCACCAGGATCCAATACGGGGACTAGTTTGTGTCCTAGCAGCTCCACTCTCCATCCAGCTCCTTTATGGTAGATTGGAAAAGCAGTCAAGGATCCTTGGGACCCTGTAACCACACAGGAAACCCTGAGGAAGCTCCTAGCAGCTGCCTTCGGATCAGCTCAGCTCTGGTCATTGCAGCCACTAGGGGAGTAAACCAATGATAGAAGATCTTTTTGTCTTTCCTTCTCTTTGTATATCTGTCTTCCAAATAAATAAATAAATAAATATTTAAATAAAATAACATGCAAGGCTTTTTATTGGTGAGAGACAAAAATTATTTGTAATAATTTAGGAGTAAAAATAATTTTATGGGGGCCCGGCGCAGTGGCCTAGCGACTAAAGTCCTCTCCTTGAACGCACCAGGATCCCATATGGGCACCAGTTCTAAACCTGGCAGCCCCGCTTCCCATCCAGCTCCTGCTTGTGGCCTGGAAAAGCAGTCCAGGACAGCCCAAAACCTTGGAATCCTGCACCCACATGAGACTTAGAGGAAGTTCCTGCCTCCTGGCTTTGGATTGGCACAGCACTGACCATTGCAGTCACTTAGGGAGTGAATCATCAGACAGAAGATCTTTCTCTCTGTCTCTCCTCCTTTCTGTACATCTGATGTTCTGATAAAAAATAAAATAAATCTTTAAAAAAAACAAATCATCTTATGGGACATGGTGCCTAATTGTCCTGCTGTGACAATTAGAAACACTACCAGTGAGCTTTTCCGGCCTCTGGAGACTGATTTAGGCCTGTACTTACTGTGGAAGGGTTCCTAACCCACATGGGAGGCTATAGCCACCGGCAGCTTTGGCTGCTCAGCTGTTCCTACCAGTCGCAGTGCAGAGCGTCTTGTCTCCCACAGCCATCTGTACGGGTGGCACAAGGCAGAGGGCAGATGCTGCCTTCCTGGCAGCTCTCACAGATCATATGGCACTGCTGGTATAGCAGGTGACAAATGTGGAGGGCAATGCTCTTGTGCAAGGAACATTTGTTTCTCTTAAACCTCAGGGTTTTAGGCTTCAGACTGGAGAACACTGGGCCTGGGAGTATGCACGGTTGTGGCCGATAGGGGTCGTCACAGTGTCCAGCTGCAAACTGGAATGGACCTCTTCATGTCCCATCGGACTGAAAACTTGACATTATGCTGTGTGGGCTGAGATCTTGGTTTTTTCTCGCACTGCTTGTCTGGTCTTTTGCAAATTTTCTCATGTCTTACTACTTTTTTGGGAGGTAGCATTTGTGATCATGAAAGTCATCTAACAAGGTTTTAGTTACATCAGACTGGGAAACAAAGTTCCTTGTGACCTGGAACAAGAAATGTTCTTAGTATCAGTATCTGCTGCTGGAAATTGGCTACACAGACATATGAAGTATGACAAGCCCATGTAACAGTTACTGTGTTTCTTCCCAAGCCTGCTCCTTTCCAGGGTTTGTTACCTTGACATCACCCTGGTTATGGGAAAACTTTGAAAAGTATATGTAAGGATTGGCACTGAGGCACAGTGGGTTAAGCTGCTTCCTATAATGGCATCTCATATGCAAGCAGTGTTTTGAGTCCTGGCTGTTCTAATCCTGATCTAGTTCCCTGCTAAGGTGCCTGAGAAATAGACGTTGGCCCTGCACCTTTGTGGGAGATGTGTCTGCAATTCCTGGCACATGGTTTCAGGCTGGCCCAGATCCAGGAAATTTGGAGAGTGAACCAGTGGACAAAAAAAATCCTCTATCATTTTTCACTCAGTCTTTCAAGCAATTTTCAACATTTATTTATTTTTATTGGAGAGGTAGATATACAGAGAAGAGGAGAGACAGAAAGAGAGAGATCTTCCATCCAATGGTTCACAAGTGACCACAATGGCTGGAACAGAGCCAGTCTGAAGCCAGGAGCCAGGAGCTTCTTACGGTCTCCCACACAAGTGCAAGGTCTCAAAGCTTTGGGCTGTCCTGGACTGCTTTCCCAGGCCACAAGCAGGGAGCTGGATGTGAAATAGAGCTGCTGGGACACAAACCAGCACCCATACTGGATCCGGGTGTGTGCAAGGCGAGGACTTTAGCCACTAGGCTACCACGCCAGGTCCATGTCTTTTTTATTTTGTAAAAGATTATACAACTAAACTGGGGTGATTTAGGAGCTGTTGGCCAAGGATGATAATTGCTAAGATCACACAAGTTTTGAAACTGACCCATGCGTAGTAAGGAGTGTAATAAACCCTAATCACAGCCAGAGCTGCTCTTCTCCAAGTTTTTTTCTCTTGCCACCAAAAACCGTTTCCCTTTCCTTTCGAAGCCTCCATCACCGGCTCTGTTCCTTTGGAGTTCTCTGCTTCCTCCCAGGAAATATGGTTTCCTCAGCAACCAGTCTTTCTGTCCCCACTCCCCAGAACCCTCCCACTACAGCATGGAGGAAATTCCTTGCTGCTCAAGATGGGGCAATAGATGGGGTGGGGGAAAGGGATAAACAAAAACAGCAAGGAATGAAGAAGCGGATGCTAACCACTTTCGTGAGCTTCCCTGGCGCAGAATGGAGATGGAGGTTGCTCCTTGGTTTCAGCTTTATCCCTCCAAGTTGAACTTCTGTAACAACACTGTCCTTCCCCCCCAGGTTCTGCGCTAGCTCCAGATGAGTAAGCAAGTTCTTGTTGGTACTCTGACTTAGCACAGAACCCTGTCTGAAGCCTCTGGGTGGGTCAGCCACACTCAGACCAGCCCCACAGCTGCTAATGGCAGGCTGGAACTCAAGCCCAGAGCCCATACTCAACCTCCACACTGGACACAGTTCAGTGTTACCTGAACTCCTCTCCCTGCCGCCCACTTGATCACACCCTTCTTTATTTCTCTCAAATGTCCCTTGCTCACTCAGTGCTCACCACTCGCTAGCTCAAATGCAGCAGCGTTGCAATATTTTAATCTCGAGTATATCACAGCCTGTGAGGGGCTAGATTCATGAATCATGGATTGCTTCCCATGCTAATGCCCACATGTACAAAAATGTTTGTGTACAAGGACCACAAGTGATCTTGAACCCATCTGGACACTCTGGGTTTCCCTTCCTTTTCATGGGAATTGCACTGTAGAAGGTCACCCTTATCCTCACCAGGCACCGTAAGTTCAGAATTTGAGAACACATCTTTACACATTTGAAGCCCTTTTTACTTTATTTAAAATTTATTTATTTTTATTGTGAAGTCAGATTTACAGAGAGGAAGATCTTCTGTCCAATGATTCATTCCTCAAGTGACTGCAACGGCTGGTGGTATGCCGATCCGAAGCCAGGAGCTTCCTCCAGGTCTCCCACGTGGGTGCAGGGTCCCAAGGCTTTGGGCCGTCCTCGACTGCTTTCCCAGGCCACAGGCAGGGAGCTGGATGGGAAGTGGGGCTGCCAGGATTAGAGCTGGCGCCCATATGGGATCCTGGCATGTTCAAGGCAAGTTTAGCCACTAGGCTACAGCACCAGTCCCAGCCCTTTTTACTTGTAATGCTCCACCCCAGCCTTTCACATAAAGGGCCCAATTGGAATGTGCCCTTCTAGAAGGTTTCCTGAGGTGTCTGGAAAGATTGGCTTAACTGGCTAATGCTTTGCCTGCAAGCACTGACAATATCCCATATGGGTGCTGGTTCGTGTCCGGATCCAGCTTTCTGCTTAGGCCTCAGCAGGCAGCAGAGGAAGCTCCTGGATCCTGGTTTCAATTGGCTTAGGTCAGATGTTGCGGCCATTTGGGGAGTTGATCAAAGATTTTTCTTTGCTTCTCTGTCAACTTGCCCAATAAGAACAAAACTAATGGCCCAGAGCAGTAGCCTAGCAGCTAAGGTCCTTACACGCGCTGGGATCCCACACAGGCGCAGGTTTTAATCCCTGCAGCCCCGCTTCCCATCCAGCTCCCTGTTTGTGGCTTAGGAAAGCAGTCAAGGACAGCCCAAAGCCTTGGAACCCTGCACCTGCATGGAAGACCCAGAGGAGGCTCCTGGCACCTGGCTTTGGATCAGCTCAGCTCTGGCCGTTGTGGTCACTTGGGGAGTGAATCAACGGACGAAAAATCTTCCTCTCTGCCTCTCCTGTGTATCTGATTTTCTAATAAAAAAAGTAACAATAAATCTTCTTAAAAGGACATCAAAATGTTCATGAAAACATATAATCTATTTTTAAAAGAGTAAAATTAAATCTTTTTAAAAATGTGGGGGGAGGGAGGCTTCCTCAGCAACGCGTGACTCTCACCTGCACCACGGTAAGCGCCAGCCTCACGCAAGAAGATGCAAGACTGGCGGGGAATGGCAGCGAGTGGGCGGAGTCAAGAGGAAGCACGGCACGCAACGCACGTCGGGAGCGCGCCGCCTGGCCGCGCTGCCTGCTGGGGTTTGTAGTTCCACCAATGGCTAACAGCCGGTACAGTCCACCACATCCTCACACAAATAGGTTCAATGTTTGGTCGTGCATCATCCAACAACGAGGGTGGCCAGGACAACGTGTTAACACTTTGCAGAGAATTGCCCCCGTCAGTCGGAAGACTTCTCGTACGCCTGCGTGAACGCAACGCTAGCGTGCGCGTAGGGTCACGTCCCCGGAAGCGACTGCGCTTGCGCACGCCGGCCCCGCAAGCCCTCCTAGAGCCGGGTGGCGCAGGCGCAGTGTCCCCGGGCCAAGATGGCGGCGCGGTGTAGCACACGCTGGCTGCTGGTGTCTGTGGGGTGCCACCGGTTGCCGGCAATAGCGGGGAGAGGGGCTCGGCCGCCCAGGGAAGGAGGAGTGGGGACGTCGCTGGGCCGCCAGCTGAGCGTCCTTGCCTTCGCGCCTTCCCTGGGCGCTCGCAGTCCCCGGGCGCTGCTGACATTGAGACCCGGTGTCAGCCTCACAGGTGAGGGCAGGCTACCGACTCGGCGGCTTCAGGGGCCTGGAAGGGAGTGACTGATTTCGCCACGACCACGGCGGTAGCGGGGTGGCGGGTGTCTTCCGATCCCCGAGATGCAACAGAGACGGGCAAGCAGGAGGCGGAGGCCCAGGAGCCTGCTCTGCAGCAGGGGCTCCCGCGGGTAGTGTAGCTTCGCCTCCGGCCACATTTCTGGAGGTCACTGCCCCCTTGCCCTCCTCTGCCGTCTCCACCTATTAGTCCGTAGCGAAAGAGACAAGGGAACCGCTGTAGGTCCTAGGCTCTAGGCAGTGGGCCTGCCAGGTGCGGGTCGGCGTCCCCCTTTTGCAAAAATAGGAAAGTGGGACGAAAGACGTGACATTAGTAAGAAAAGCAGTCCCAGACCTCAGGTTTCCCCCAAAGTTGATGTCTTTTCCACCTTGTGTTTTTCAAGAAATCTTGAAGTCAATGATGAAGTGCCCAGCTCCAACATTTATAGAATTGCTAGTTACATGGCATAGAGTATTTCCTGACACCAGATTCCAAATGACAAGACACTAGTAGCACATTTTGTTAGGAAACCGAGCTTGAGTTGTTAACTTGGAGTTCAATAACATGATTTTAAACCTGCTGCAGCCTTACTTGAGGGGGCCATGTGGTTAAGGTTGAGGCTTTGAGATGTGTAGCCTGTATTTCCTTCTGTTGCATGCTAAGCGACTTCGTTTAGTGAGGAGGTAAGAAAGGAGACCTGGTATGTGACTGAATATCAGTCATTTCGGTTCGCTTAGAATGTGTGGAAACAATAATTACACTCTATGTAAGTTTATAGAAAATTCTCGTAATTGTCCAATTTTGTTATGCTTACGTAACAGGCAGCCATTAAAGTCTTAGTAATTGTGATCCCCTGGGGGGGTGTACAGAACAGTACCTGGGCGTCCCGCAGTTGGATGGGATGTGGTATGTGATTCTCTCTGAGCCTGTCCTCCCGGTGTGTGGAGACTGATTCGTTGAGAGGCACATACTTAGAGATGAGGCTGAGGCTAGATGTCTGCTGGCGGCGTAAACACACTTTGTAATTCTGCTGTCTGCATTCCTCATGGATGGAGTAATTAGTATATTCAGGGTCATTGAAGATTATTTGCAAAAATATCCTGCTATATTTCTTAATCTAAGCAAAAGTGCAGAAGTTCCCATTTTCTGGGCTGGCCAGTGTATAAATTAAAGCCAAAAGTTATGTATTTATTCATATAGACAAATTTATTTTTAAAGGTATATTTTTGTGTTGGAAAGCCAGGTTTACAAAGAGAAGCAGAGACAGAGAGGAAGATCTTCCATCCAGAGTCACACCCCAAGTGGCCACAATAGCCAGAGCTGAGCCGATCTGAACCTGGGGACCAGGAGCTTCCTCTGGCTCTCCCATGCAGGTTCAGAGTCCCAAGGCTTTGGGCCATCCTCGAGTGCTTTCCCAAGCCACAGGCAGGGAGCTGGATGGGAAATGGAGCAGCCGGAGTATGAGCTGCAACCAGTATGGGATCCTGGCAGATGCAAGGCACGAGGCTACCACACCAGGCCCAAGCTGAAGTTATTTAAAATAGAATTTGGACTGAAACGATAAAAAAAAAAATAAAGTCAAAGAATAAGAAGAAAAAATAGAATTTGGATCGGGCCTGGCACAGTATCCTAGTGTTTAAAGTCCTATCCTTACAAGTGCTGGGATCCCATGTGGGTGCCAGTTCTAATCCTGGCAGCTCCACTTCCCTTTCAGCTCCCTACCTGTGGCCTGTGAAAGCAGTAAAGGATGGGCCAAAGCCTTGGGAACCTGCACCCACGTGGGAGATCCCAGAAGCTCCAAGCTCCTGGCTTCAGATTTGCTCAGCTCTGGCTATTGCAGCCACTTGAGTAGTGAACCAGCTGATGAAAGATCTTTCTATCTGTCTGTGCTCTCTGTATATCTGACTTTCCAATAAAAATAAATAAATACAAAACAAACAATAAAAAAGAATGTGGATGTATCTTCTTTAGGTGACTCACATTCAACTAAATTTATTTTCATTGTATCTAAATTTAGAGAGTCTTGGACCCAGGAGCTTCATCCAGTTTCCTGGGTGGGTGTGGGGCCCCGGGACTAAGTCCTTTTAAGTTCCCAGGTGCATTAGCAGGGAGCTGAATCAGAAGTGGAGCAACCAGGACTTGAACCCCCATATGTGTGGGATGGCAATATTGCAGGTGTCAGTTTAAGTCATCCCACCATAATGCCAGCTCCTGGAGGCTAATGTGGGTTATTCTAAAAAGGGTGGCATGTTGTGCCAATATCCCGTATGGATGCCGATGTGAGTCCTAGTACTCCACTTCCAGTCCAGCTTCTTGCTGGTGGTCTGGGAAAGTAGTAGAGGATGGCCCAAGTGCTTGGGCAGTGGGATGCATATGGCAGTCTCAGGAGGCACCTGGTTTTGGAACAGCCCAGCTTGGATTGTTGTGGCCATTTAGGGAATACACCAGTGAATGGAAGATACCTCTCTCTCCCCTCTTTTGAAATAAATAAATCTTTTTTTTTTCCCCCTAAGATTTATTTTTATTGGAAAGCCAGATATACAGAGAGGAGGTGAGACAGAGAGGAAGATCTTCACTCCCCAGGTGACCGCACCGGCTGGAGCTGCGCCAATCCAACTGTTTCCCAGGCCACAAGCAGGGAGCTGGATGGGAAGCGGGACTGCTAGGATTAAAACTGACTCCCATATGGGATCCTGGCGCCTACAAGGCAAGGACTTTAGACACTGTGTTACCACACCAGTCCCAACGGGGCACTTTTGAAGTGAAAGGTTGGGTGCTGTCACAAACTACGCCAGGACCTCAGGCATAAATTCCACCCTTCCTGGATTCAAACTGTTTCTGTAGCTTAATAGCAAGCCTCAGAAGCCCTTTCCTGAACTTGGCTTGGAGCCTAAGTGCTTTCAGCAAGGGGACACTTGGCAGAATCTGGAAACTGATTAATTTTGGAGTATCAATTTCATGAGGGCTGGTTACTGGTTTTTGGAGAGTGGAGGCCTCCAGGGTCTTTCTGCAGGTCTGAGAGGGTGTCTGGAAATCGACATTGGGGGCAGATACATTGATATCTGCCTGAGGACCACACTCAGAGCCACCTAACAAGCAGGTACAGGGTTGTGTGATAACGGATAAAGGGTGTGGGGTATTGGGTAGCCTGGAGACAGCAGCATTAGGTAACTGCCTAGGCACTGTACAGGGATCCCCCAGTGTGGTACCCTGAGATCCCAGCAGAGTCAAACACAACCTGCGCTCTTGATATTGTGCTGTGTTTGTTGGGCTTGGTGGTTTTCACCATTGTGCAGTGAGACCTGCAGTGGGCCGGCCTAGAATGGAACAGACACCAAAGCTCTGTCCACCTGTTCCTTCACAGGTATGTCCATAGCAAACTGATGACCTTCCTTGCATGGAGTGTGTTCTCAGTGATTTTCTTTCTTTTATTTCAGGAATAAAAGGTTATCCATATATTTGTACTGCTTCCTTCCACACAAGCGCCCCTTTGGCCAAAGAAGATTATTACCAGATTTTAGGAGTGCCTCGAAATGCCAGCCAGAAAGATATCAAGAAAGCTTATTACCAGGTCTGTATGCAAGTCAGCTTTTAGCAGCTAGGCTGTAGGGGTGTTGCTGTTGAGGGTGCAGATGAAGCTGCTGCCTGGACCACCTGCACCCTTTATTGAAGTGCTGGGGCTCTAGTTCTGGCTCTGCTTCCAATCCAGCTTCTTAGTAATGTGCACCCTGGGAGGCAACAGATGATGCTTTGACTCCACAGGTCCCTGCCATCGACAGGGGAGACCAAGGTAGAATTCCCCGCTTTACCCAGCTTGACTCTGGCTTGCTATAGACATTTGGGCAGTGAACCAGTAGGTAGAAGATCAATCTCTCTCTTGCCCTGTAAGTAAAAATAAATGAATAATCTAAAAAAGAAGTATGGAAATGCTGGCAGGTGAGAAGAAGGAATGCTGTTGATCTGGTCTGATCCTGGTAAGCCCACGTGGATAGGTTGTTGGCAGCTGGTAGTGTGGAGTTCTGGAGTGCACAGTTCTGTGGCTCCTAGTGCTTCAGAGGAGAGAGGAGAGGCCGAACCAGCGATTTAAATTATTTTTCCCGAATTGCCTTGGTAATCAAATTTGTTTTGTGCTAGATTGGTGTTATGGTTCAGTGGGCTGAACTACTAACTGTGATGCTGCCATGCCATGCGTGCATTGGTTCGAGTCCTAGCCGTGCTGCTTCTGATCCAGCTCCCTGCTAATGTACCTGGGAAGGCAGCAGAAGATGGCCGTCGTGCATGGGTTCCTGCCACCCCGGAGGGAGCCCTGGGTGAGGCTTCTGGCTCCTGGCTTCAGCATGGCACAGTCTGGGCATTGTGACCATTGGAGGGAGAGAAGATGGAGGATATCTTTCTCTTGCTTACACTGCCTTTCAGATAATTTTTTTTAAGATTTATTTATTTTTATTGGAAAGGCAGATATATACAGAGAAAGATCCTTCTACTAATTCACTCCCGTGTGACTGCAATGGCTAGGGTGAGCTGATCCAAAGCCAGGAACCAAGAGCCAGGAGCCAAGAGCTTCTCCGAGGTCTCCCACTCGGGTGCAGGGTCCAAGGCTTTGGGCATATGAGTGCTGTGTCTCCACTTCCTGTTCACTTTGTTATTACCTATCTTTTAAATTATGTCCTCTTTAGTAGATGTGAAGTGGTTGTGTGTCTAAGTTGTATGTATGTGGAAGGCAGAGTTAGAGGGAGGATGAACCAGAATGGCTGCAGTTGCCAAGGCCAGGCAAGACTGAGGCCACAAGTCTAGAACTTTCTCCAGGCCTTGAGAGTGGCAGAGGCCTGAGTACTGGACTGCGTTCTGTGACTGCTTTCTCAGGCACATTAGCAGAGAGCTGGATTAGGAGTGGAACAATTAGAACTGGTGCCCACATGGTATGCCAGTACCACAGGCAGTGTCTAAAACCCCCTTCTGTGTGCGTGTGTGGTTTAAAGATTTACTTATTTGACAGGTAGCTCAGATCCCTGTAACAGCTGAGGCTGGGACAGTGCCAGGCAGAAGCTGAGTCAGAAACTACCCAGGTTTGCCACATGGGTGGCAGGGGCCTAAACACTTGAGCTGTCATCTGCTGCTTTCACAAAGGTGCCTGAGTTCTAAATTTTTAGTTGTTAGTGTAACTATAATTGTTTTTGGTACACATTTGTTGTTGGGAAATGTATGTATGTATGTATGTGTATATATATGTGTGTGTGTGTGTGTGTGTATCAGCAAGAACTGATTCATTTTGAAGTTTTTTTGTCATGTTTTAAGAATGATTAGTAGTTGTTAAATCTCGAAAGAGAAATGTTACAGATGAGGCATAGTTGTGACTGGCATGTGGGCTTTCAGCAAACAGAATGTTCACAATAATTTACTGTTTTTTCCTTAGCTTGCCAAGAAATATCACCCTGACACAAACAAGGAAGACCCCAAGGCCAAGGAGAAGTTCTCACAGCTGGCGGAAGCCTACGAGGTACTGTGCCTGATTGGTGCAGTCATGGGCGTTCAGCTGTGTGCCTCAGTTTGCCTGGCTGCACACACAGCACAACCATCTGGATCTCCCTTGGGGGTGCAGGAGTCCAAGGACATGACCCAGCTTCTGCTGCTTTCCCAGGCACATCAGTAGGGAGCTGGGTCAGAAGTGGGGCAGCCAGTGCTCAAATCCGCGCCATTATAGAATGCTTACCTTGCAGGTTACAGCTTAAGGTGCTGTGCCACAACACCAGCCCCAAGATGCAGTTTTTTACAAGCTGTGAGTTATCAACTCTAGTGGAGGCATTTCTGTGTATGGGTGATGGTTCCGCTTCTTCCTGTGGATGAACGCGCCCTGTCACGTCCACTTCAGTTCCTTAGTGATATCTGTCTCCAAGCAGAGTAAAGAGAGGAACCAAGAGTAGCAATTCTTCAGGAAGAGCTTGAACTAGGAAGTTAAGGCCTCCTGCGTTCTCCTCCTTCGCCAACCTTTATTTGCATCTAAGCTGGAAGTTGTAAAACATGCCTGGAATTGCACTTTCCTGGTCTCTCAGTTCCCACTCCAGTCCAGGTGGAACTGTTTTCACTTGGAGGAGGAACATTTCTCTGGTCTTCAAGGAAGTGCCTTCCCCACCCCCCTTTCTTTCTTTTTTAAAGGAAATTTAAAAGAAAGACTGGGGCCTGGTGTGGTAGCCTAATGGCTAAAATCCTTGCCTTGCACGTGCTGGAATCTCATATGGGCGCCAGTTCTAATCCTGAAAGCCCCGCTTCCCATCCAGCTCCCTGCCTGTGGCCTGGGAAAGCAGTCAAGGACTATCCAAAACTTTGGGACCCTGTACCTGTGTAGGAGACCCGGAAGAAGCCTGAATCCTGAATCCTGGCTTTGGATGGGCTCAGCTCTAGGCATTGTGGCCACTTGGGGAGTGAACCAGCAGGTGGAAGATCTTCCTCTCTTTCTCTGTTTCTCTCTGTATATCTGCCTTTTCAATAAAAATAAATCTTTCAAAAAAAAAAAAAAAGAGAGAGAAAAACAGATCTTAATCTGCTGGTTCGCCTCTGAGGTGCCCATAATAGCTGGGGGTGTGTAAGGCAGAGCCAGTAGCCAGGAGCTCCACAAAGGTTTCCTGTGTGTGTGACAGACTTGAGTGTTCGGGCCACCTGCTGCTGCTCCCAAGTGCACCAGCTGGAAGCTGGGGCGGGAGCAGGGTATGCGGGACTTGAACTAAGCTTTCCAATATAGGATGTGGGATTCTAAGCAGTGGCTTAACTCATTTGTACCATGGCATGCCTTCTTAATGAAAAACAAAATAAAAACCAGCACAAACACATGAGAGATGCAAAGTGACTACCCGCATGTGTTCTCTGTCCCTCCCAAGTCCCATTGCCCAGGGAGACAGTCTGGTTGACGGTCTGTGCTGGTGCCCGTGTTCCCGTTCAGGAGTGAGTGTAGTCTTCATGCAGGGAACACACAGCTGATGTCCTTCTGGCTCCTGCGAGACCTGTAGAGGAAGGGTCAGGAGTGCCAAGTGTTCTCCCAGCAGTAGAGGTGCTTCAGAAAAGTGAGGTGTGCCTCTCAGGAATCCAGGCTGGTGCGTGATGAGCCCAAGCATCTCCGTCTCCGGGGCAGCTCAGTCTCCCCTAACGTCCCAGCCCAGCCCAACTCAGAAAATGTTCTTGTATCCCGGGCCGCTCAGTAGCTGTTGTGACTGCCCTGTTTGGTGTGAAGACCCAGGAGTTCCTTTCTTCCTCATAGGTGCTGAGTGACGAGGTGAAGAGGAAGCAGTACGACGCCTATGGCTCTGCTGGCTTTGATCCTGGGGCCAGCAGCTCTGGGCAGAGCTACTGGCGAGGCGGCCCCACTGTTGACCCTGAGGAGCTGTTCAGGAAGATCTTTGGGGAGTTCTCCTCATCTTCATTTGGAGATTTCCAGAGCGTGTTCGATCAGCCTCAGGAAGTAAGTTCCTTGTCTAGCCTGAGTGTGACACATACAGAGACATACAGTCTCTACCTCTCAGGGCTCAATTGGAGGCAGCTGTTGGGTAGAAAATGATTTCAATCATTGAAAAATCCTACAGATGATGAGTACTTCCCTTCTGACCTTATTCTTAATTGCTTAGTTACCACCCCAGACCCCGAGTCCATAATTAGATTGAGTGTTTTATCCCAAGCCTGCCGTGCTGTTCTGCCCACCCTGTGTCTTCTGTATTTTATGTCTGGGTTGGGAATGGTTAATGGCCTAAGTTATGACTGAAGCATTCAAGCTGTTTGTAAAGAGCCATGTGCGAGTATTGTCCATGAACATTCTGTTTGCTAAAAGCTGTGTTTTCAGTTATACTAAGACTTAAAGTGGTTTCTTAAAAATCCTTAGAGTGAGTCCCCCCTTCTACTGGTGCGGTAACCAAAGTGCCAGCCAGAGCCTGCCGTCCAGGGCATCACTGTGGTCATTGCAGCAGAGAGGATGACAGATAGGACCTGCTTTGTTTTCTTTAGTACATCATGGAGTTGACATTCAATCAGGCGGCCAAGGGCGTCAACAAGGAGTTCACCGTCAACATCATGGATACCTGTGAGCGATGCGACGGCAAAGGGAATGAGCCCGGTACCAAGGTGCAGCACTGCCACTACTGCGGCGGCTCCGGCATGGTGAGGTGTCCCCCGTCACCCACATGCACTGCTGTTTTCTGTACTCCTGCGAAAGTCACTCAGACACTGCTAGGGCTTTGAGAGTTACAGAGAGAGGTCTACCTTCCATCTGCTAATTTATTCCCCCAGTGTTGATAATAGCCACAGCTGGGTCTGGAGCATCATCTGGGGTTCTCATGTGAATGACAGGAGCCCAAGTCCCTGGGCTGTCTTCCATTGCTTTTCTAGGCACGTTGGCAGGAAGCTGGATCAGAAGTGGAGCAACTGGAGTTTATACTATGATATGGGATGCTGGCATCAAGATTCAGATTTTGCTGAAAGTCTAATCAATCATTGTTTATTTTTTGTAACTTTTTTTTATGCAATTCAAAGTTAGAATAATGTAAAATCTGGGCCCACTGTTGCGTTGCCACAGATTAAGCTGCAGCTTAGAACATCAGCATCCAGGGCTGCAGTGCCAGTTCAGTTAGCACCTGTTGCACTTCTGGGAAGGCAGTGGAAAATGGCTGCAGTAGTTGGGCCTCTACCACCTGTTTGGGAGACCAGGATGGAGTTTCTGCTTTCTAGCTTCAGCGTGACATAACCTATTATGACCACATGGGGAATGAACCATCATGTGGAAGGTTTTGTCTCCCGTCTCCCTCCCTCCCTGCCTCCTTTCCTCTCTCCACCTTTCCAATAAAGAAATTTTAAAAGTTCCTTATTCTTTTGATCCAGATCCATTAATTTTTTAAAAAAAGATTAGTTTTATTGTCATTGGAAACGCAGATATAGAGAGAGGAAAGAGAGAGCCAGGAGCCTTCTGGGTCTCCCATGCAGGTGCAGGTCCCAAGGCTTTGGGCCGTCCACGACTACTTTCCCAGGCCACAAGCAGGGAGCTGGGTGGGAAGTGGAGCCGCTGGGACTAGAACTGGCGCCCATATGGGATCCTGGCATATTCCAGGCAAGGACTTTAGCCGCTACTCCATCGCGCTGGGCCCTGAAGTATATTAGTATTTCTAATATGCAAAGGGCTCTTATGGAATAATGGGGAAGAGATCAGTGGCTCATTAATGCAGGGGTGGGAGTTTGGCCTGGTGGTTAAGTCACCTGTGTGCCATATCAGAGTGCCTGGGTTTGAGTCCTAGTTCCAGCTCCTAACTCTGGTTTCCTGATAGTGTAGACGCTGGATAGCAAGTGATGTTTTAAGTATTTGATTTCCCAGTGCCCAGATGAGAAACTGGGATTGAGGGCCTGGTGCGAGAGCGTAATGATTAAGGTCCTCTCCTTGAACGCACCGGGATCCCATATGGGCGCCGGTTTTGTCTGGAAGCAACATCTGTGATATATTACCAAGATACAAAAGAAGAGCAACCTATTGCCTGTTATGTATAGATTTATTTTATTATTTTCATTGTAACAAGAAGCTGATGGAGAAAGTTGTGAAAATATTCTAAACTATGGATTATGTAGAATTGTTTGGTTTGGGAGTCTGAAATGTGGGTAAATTAATCATGTGTTTTTCAAGGTTTACTTACTTGAAAGAGTTAGAGATCTTCCATCCAGTGGTTCACTCTCCAATGGCTACAGCAGCCAGGGTTGACCCAGGCCAAAGTCTTCATACAGGTCTCCCACAGGGGTGGCAAGGGCCCAAGCACTTAGACCACCTACTGCTGCTTTTTTTCCAGCCTTTATCAGAGAGCTGGATCAGCCAGAACATGAACCGGCACCCATTTGGGATGTTGATATCATGTAGGGAGACTTAACCTGTTTTCCACAGGACCTGCAATATTTTTTATATACTTAAGTTTTTGTTTTTTTTGAAAGACAAAGTAAGAGAGAGAGTTATTTTCTATCTGCTGGCTCACTCCCCAAATAGCTACAGTGGCCAGAGCTGAGCTGATCTGGAGAGGGAGCTTATTCCAGGTCCCCCACATGGGTGTAGGGGGTCCAAGGATTTTATCTGTCCATTGGCTGCTTTCCCAGGCCATAAGCAGGGAGTGGAATCAGAACTGAAGCAGCCAGAACACCACCAGCACCCATCTGGGTGCCTGTGTAGTGGAAGCTTAGCCAACTATGCCACAACAATGCTCCCTACCTCTGTATTCTTTCCCTCATCAAGTAAATTTGGTAATTTACCCAAAATAATCCAAAGAAATTCAAAAGAGGACAGATTTCTAGAAACCAAGAAAGGGTTTATGGGAGTGACCACAGATTATAAGGACCTGTCAGTTCTGGGAAGGTCTGTGAACTGGGGCTTATGGAGGGTGGGGAAGGGAACAGCTGGTACTTGAGGACTAGGGGAGCAGACACTGTGGACAGTGTGGGCCTGCACTGCCACTCTACAGTGTTCTCTGTCTCGCTGTCTTAGTCATGGTTGTTTTCAGTGGAACAGCCCCCACTCAAGGGTTTTACAAACTGGCTTACAAAGCAAAGTCAGGAGCTTGGGCACTGAAGGGTGGGAGGTGGAGTGCGGTGCCTCCCAGAAGGGGGTGCCTGTGTTGGGGGGCCATGGCACTCGCCTAGATCGTTCTTTGGTGTGGCCCTGAGGGACAGGTGTGTGTTTCTGCTCTCCTGAATGAAGCAGCTGCAGCAGGCAGCTTGGGGAATGCCCCTGCCTACACTTTCCGTGGCCTCTGTCGTGAGCCCAGGAGTGCTGAGTGGCCTGGTATTGCTCAGCTCTGAGAATGTTCAGTACTTTCAGAGTCAGTACCTCTGTTCAGTCTTGTGCAGTGAACTTGGAGACCTGGAGTCATTCTGTTCTGGAAGGTCAGATTAACTGTTTTTGTGCATGTGCATACCAGTCTAAGTGTTGAATGGAACAAGTTCTCCTTGGACAACGGGGTGCTGGAGCCATAACCATTGTTTCCCTGTATGCTTACCACATTTGTTCTCCTGTTCACTAGGAAACCATCAACACGGGTCCTTTTGTGATGCGCTCCACGTGCCGAAGATGTGGTGGCCGTGGCTCTATCATCACAACCCCCTGTGTCGTGTGCAGGGGAGCAGGGCAGGCCAAGCAGAAGAAGCGGGTGGTGATCCCTGTGCCTGCAGGTGGGCTCCCAGGGGCCTGGACAGGGCCGAGGCTGCTGCCTTCTGTGACAGAACCTGTGCTTGAGATTCTGGGGCCCTGGGCTGCGGCAGGAGTTACAGTCTCCTTGAGTCTGTCATGCTGCACCAATTAGTTATCTGTGATGTTTGTTCTGATGTGTGGGGAAGAAGAGTTCTGTCACATAGTTGCCTCTCACCCAAACCCTCATTCTGCTCAGTGAGACCAGCCTTGTTTCCGCCACCATTCGAACCACCTATGGCGGGGTCTTCCCAGAGGGCAGCTGGTTGACTGAAGCCCGTGCCCAGCTCTCCAGCTAACTCTTCTGTTAGACTGCTTGTTGTTGTCCACCTGGCATCATTCCTGACTATAGTTTGTTGAAGAAGCCATGGTGCCTCCCGGCAGCTTCTGCCTATTCATCTACTTCTGTTCACCTAGAAATGTGGCTTTTGGGAATTAACCATGGTTGTATGCTATTGCTTGATGGCGGCCCATCTCTCTACTGAACTCCCTAACATGTGCATGGACCAGGCACAAGACACTGGGCAAACGTGACCGAATGTCTCGGGGCTGCTGCTGTTCAGGCTGTTACCCCGTGCTGTGCCTCTGCGAGGTCACCTCATTCCCCTGCTGAGAAACTGTTGTTCCTCAGGCACAAGCAGCCAGAATGTGTGGAGCCCTGTGGGTGATGAGTGGGTCTCTGGTGGAAGTGCTGTGGAGCTCCTCTCTAATTGTTTTCTTTTGAATGTTTGTTCTAGGAGTTGAAGATGGCCAGACCGTGAGGATGCCTGTGGGAAAAAGAGAAATTTTTGTGACATTCAGGGTAGGTGTTCTGTCCACGCACCTCTGGTTGGGCCCCTGCTCGCTGGGGCTGCCGCAGCTGAGCCTGCCTGTGGGTGGCTGTGAGGCTGAAGTGTATGGAGCTTCTTGCAGTTGAGTTTCTATGGGGAAAGGTGACCACTTTGACCTGGTTTTTAACTCTCCTGATACCTGGTGTGGAAAATGTATTGAAAGGCAGACCGTGGGTTTCTGAGGTAATGGAGACGTTAAAGGTAATACCCTCTCTGACAGTCACACTTCAGAGACTAGTAGGCTGCGGGGATACGGGTGTATGCGAAGGCCTGTTGGTAACAGTGGGTATTGGCCACTAAGCGCTTCGGTCCTAGAAAAGTCACAAGAAAAGAACAAGGACCACAAGTGTGTGAGATGAGATGTGCGGGAGGCCCCAAGCTGCAGGCCCCTCTGCCTCGTTCTAAAGCATGCAGCTTAGTGTTCATGTCAGTTAATGATAAGAAAATACATAGCAAGGTGCTTAGGGGCATAACGAATACCTAAGTCAACATCATGGCTAGTAGGGATAGCGGAATTTCAGCTGTATTTGTAATATTTTATTGTGTGTGCTGGGTGTTACATGTTTTGTCTACTTAGCCTTCCTATATATGTGAAATGTTTTTCAGTTTAATACAAACCAGAAACAATGTGAAAGGTGATGGAATTTTCTGGACTGAAGCATCAAAGATGAAGGCAGAGGCAGCCTTCATTCTAACGGTTACAATATGTTCATGTATCTCACACCCAGAACACCTGTGTGTGATGCCGTGCTCTGCTTCTGTCTTTCTTTTTTTTTCTTTAAGATTTATTCATTTCTTTGACAGACAAGACAGAGTTACAGAGAGCCTGAGAAATTTATTAAGATTTATTTGTTGTTATTGAAAGGATCAGATCCACGAAGAGAAGGAAAGAGAAGATCTTGTATCTGCTGGTTCACTTCCCAAGTGGCTGCAGCTGCTGGAGCTGAGCTGATCCAAAGCCAGGAGCAAGGAGCTTCTGCCCAGTCTCCTACACAGGTGCAGGGTCCCAAGGCTTTTTTTTTTCCCCACGTGGGTGCAGGAACCCAAGCACCCAGGACATCTTTCATTGCTTTCTCTCGCACATCAGCAAGGAAGTAGATCAGAATTGGAGCATCCAGGTCTGCACCTGGCATCATAGGGATAGCAGCATCATAGGTGGCAGCTTGACTTACATTTTTTTTTAAGAGTTATTTATTTAATGATTTACTTTTTTTTTTTTTTGAAAAGTCATATATATACAGAGAGATGAAGAAACAGAAAGATCTTCCGTCTGTTGATTCACTCCCCAAGCAGCCACAGTGGCCAGAACTGAGCTGATCTGAAGCCTGGAGCCCAGAGCCTCTTCCAGGTCCCCCAAGTGGGTGCAGGGTCCCAAGGCTTTGGGCCATCCTCCACTGCTTTCCCAGGCCACAAGTAGGGAGCTGGGAAGCAGAGCTGCCGTGATTAGAACCGAAGCCCGTATGGGATCAGGCACATGCAAGGGACTTTAGCCACCAGACTACTGCGCCGGACCCAAGATTTATTATTTTTATTTGAAAGATCTACATGGAGGAGCAGAAACAGAAAGATCCTCTGTCCACTGGTTCACTTTCCAGTTGTTCACAATGGCTGGAGCTGCACCAGTCTGAAACCAGGAGCCAGTAGCTAGGAGTTTCTTCTGGATCTCCCACATGGGTGCAGGGTCCCAAGGCTTTGGGCCATCCTCTTCTGCTTTCCCAGGATACAAGCAGGGAGCTGGGTGGAAAGTGGAGCAGCCAGGACATGAACCAGCACCCATATGGAACACAGATGCATGCAATGCCACGATCTAGCCACTAGGCTATTGTGCCAGGCCCACGACTTAAGTTTTTGCTATACTGCCAACCCCTGCTCTGGTTTCTGACTGCAGCTTTCTGTTACTGGAAGGCTGCAGTGACAGCACAGAGAGTGGGTCGCTGCCACTCAGTGGGAGACCTGGACTGCAATTCTGGTTTAAGTCTGGCTCATACCTGGGGTCTTCAGACATTTGGAGAATGAACCTGCAGGCGAGAGGTCTCTGATTCTCAAATACTTTTAGAAAGAAGAAGGAAGAAAGCTGAAAGCAGTCTATACTGAAAGTTTGGTGGAGAATTCTCATTGTTAAAATAAGTTTTAGTTCAAGGATGGGGTTCTGTCAGAGAGTTGAGCCAAAACCCATAGTGCAGGCATCCCATGTGTGCTGGTTCAAGTCCCTGCTGTCTGTTTTCTGCTGATCCGCCTGGGAAAGTAGCGGAAGATGTCCCAAGTGTTTGAGCTCACGTGAGAGGTGGAGGCTTGGAAGATGTTCCTCTCTTCAGCGTGTCCCAGCCTGGCCGTCAAAATGATTTGGGGAGTGACCCAGCAAATAGAAGACCACTGTCTCTTTCTGTCTCTCTTGGTGTATATGTACGTGTAACTAAGCCTTTCAAATAAATAGTTTTTTTTTTAAATTTTTAATGATTTTTTTTTGAAAGCTAGAGAGAGAAAAAAAAACCTAGAAAGATTTTCCATCTACTAGTTGACTTCCCAAAGTACCAGTAGTAGGAGGCAGGCTGGGTGAACTTTGAACTCCATTGGGTGTCCTGCCTGTGTGTCAGGGACCCCAGTACTCAAGCCATCTGCTGCGCCCCAGGGTGTGTGTTGCCCGCAAGCCAGATCAGAATCAGAGTAGCTCAGACTCAAAACTGTGGCCATCCTACCCGGCAAGTGAGCTGCTGTGCTAAAGCCCTTCCCTCTTCTCATTTCAAGATGAAAAGGAAGAAGGGAGCACTGCAGGCCCGAAAGGCCATCTTATGAAGTCTCATTGATTCCAGTGCTGCCCGTCTGTCTGTTTCCCTTCACAGTGACTGCGTGGCATGAGGCTGGGAATCTGGGCACTGCTTGCTGCAGCAGCATACACGTGTCTAGGACGTGACTCTGTCTCGGGTGCAGTTTTCTGTTGACAGTCTATGGTTCTTTCCCTCCATGCTAAATTATAGTAGTTCCAAACTGCCTGCCGGGCCCTGGGCTCTGAGCTGGTGAGGCACACAATTGATGCCTGTGCTGCAGTTGGGCTTCTGGAGAGTCACACATCTCTGGTGTTTGACCTTAGGTGCAGAAAAGCCCTGTGTTCCGGAGGGACGGCGCAGACATCCACTCCGACCTCTTCATCTCTGTAGCTCAGGCCATTCTTGGGGGCACGGCCAGAGCTCAGGGCCTGTACGAGACAATCAATGTGACGGTGAGAGCGCACCAGCATGCCTTTGCTACCCTTGACTTCACTGTTCTTTTGTCCAAAATAGGAAATGGCTGACAAGTGGCCTCTGGTGTGCCAGGGCTTAGGGGAGAGTAGGTCTGGGGATGGTGAGTCCTGGGAGTTTTAGTCTATTCCTGGAGTGTGAAATCCAGGATTCAACTGTGTAGTCATTGTGGGGGCACGTTGTGACTGGCGTCCGCTCCTCTGCAGGTTCCTGATGCGGAGATGTGTTGTCCCTGTTGGTGCTCTCCGCTCCTTTCCTACCCACTGCCTCTGGGGATGTGTCATGTCCCATCAGCTGCAGCCGCGTTGAGCAGCTTCTGCACTCCCTGTATCTCATTGCCATCCTACCTCTGTTCAAATCCACCTCAGCCTTTCCCGGCTTCTGGGTAGATGCTCCCACCCCTGTCAGGGCAGTTTTGCTTCTCCAGTGTCCTGGGGAATCAAGATTGTGGGGGGGCTGGCAGGGGCCTCAGCTGTGCATCCTGGTTGACTTGCTTCTCCCAGCACTTGTTCTTTGCTCCCTTGCTCCTGCTTCATATCTCACCTCCCTAATACTTGGGCCTCCAAGACCTGGCTCTGTCCTGGGGCCCTAGCTTCGTCTCCATGTGATCTGAAACCAAGTGGAAGTTCTTTTTAAGTAATTTGTTCAGGCTTGTGTTTCTGTGATGAGAATGTAGGGACCTGGGAGTACCTGAACTTTCCCCTTGCAGATCCCCCCTGGGATTCAGACAGACCAGAAGATTCGACTGACTGGGAAAGGCATCCCCAGGGTTAACAGCTACGGCTATGGAGATCACTACATTCATGTCAAGATCAGAATTCCAAAGTAAGTGCCCTACATATGCTTACCTGCCAGGCCCCTACCAATCCTCCCGATGGGCTAATGGGACCTCTGCTGTGGGAACCCTTGTGACCGCCACCTGCCTGTCACTTCTGCCTCTGAGCTGAGTGTTCTCATTGTGAAGTGGTATAATCGAAGGTTGGTCTTGAGAATTAGATCTCTTCCTACTTCCCTCACGCCTGCAAGCTGGCTCACCATCCCGCCACAGTGGCAGTGCTCCAGACAACTTGGCTAATTTGATGGAAACTGCAAACTCACGGGCCACTCACTGTGCTCTGTCCACAGGAGGCTAACAAGCCGGCAGCAGAGCCTGATCCTGAGCTATGCTGAAGACGAGACTGATGTGGAGGGGACGGTGAATGGTGTCACCCAGACGAGCACTGGTGAGGAGTCTGAGATGACACGGCAGTGTAGGGGTCTTGAGTTTTTGAGTGGAGCGGTATGGGAGCAGCATGTCAGGGCTTCATCTCAGGGGTCTTTGTGAAGCCTCCAAATATTGCTGTTGGAAGAGGGGAGCTCTGGGCGGGACAGGCCACTGCTGAAGTCTTCTCCAGGTCCTGGGTGTGTTTGCTGGGCAGAGGGCGCTGGAGGCCTGCCCTGAGGCCGCTCTGTGGCCCCTCAGAGCTGGAGTCAGATTTCCAGCCTTGGATCTGCCACTTGTCTTGTGATTTAGGGGCCATCATCTGTGAGAGCCGCTTGAGGACATGATAGACTGAAAGCATTTGTGCATTTCCAACCCAGTGTTGCCAGGAATTCAGCAACAACCACAGTAATGACAGCCAGGCACAAGTTGTAACCGGCTCATTTAGAGCAGGGCTTCCTGAGTTCTTCTGGCAGTGAGCCAGTGCTTACATGCCACACTTTTGAGCTACAATGTGGTTGGATTTTGGTGATCTGGTGCTGGTATAAGCACCTGTAGGAGTTTTGGTGATGGTCACGTGGGACCCGGCTCAGGGCACAGTGGACTATGCCAGGTGTTTGGTTTGTGCTTTAAGGTTTGCAGTGTATTACATCATTTTTCTGTGGTATGGATCCTGGGTGGAGTTCCCAGAACTCAGTGGCTTTAGATTAATATGTCAGGTCCCAGGAGGTGTCCCAGAGAAGTGTGGAGCTTCATCTGTCTCCTTCCTGCTGGCAGGGGCCTAAGAACTAGGACCATGTTGTGCTGCATTTCTAAGCACACTAGCAGGGCGCTGAATGTGAGGTGGAGTGTCTGGGACTCTAATCGTATGGGATGTTGATGCTGCAGCAACTGGCTGCACCACAGCACATCTCCCCGCCCCCCCAGTTTAATGTTTATTCAAATAGTAGACAGAGGCAAAGAAAACTTGTATTTGCTAGTTTATTCCCCCAAAAACCCACAATGGGTAGGTCCATTGTTCTGGAGCTAGAAATGCAGTCCAGGTCTCATGTAGATGGCAGGGAGCCAGTCATCACCTACTATGTCAAATGTTACACATTTATGGAGTCAGGAGCCAGAGCCAGGTATTGGAACCACTTCTACCATTTGGAGACAAGTCATCATCCATGTTTTAACTGATAGGCTAAATGCCTGTCCTCCTGGGTGTGTGGGGGTTGTTTTTTTGTTTTTAAGATTTATTCATCTTTGTTTGAAAAGCAGATTTTCAGGAGAAAAGGGAGATCTTCCATCTGATAGTTCACTTCCCAAATGGTCAAAATGGCCAAGGCTGGATTAGGCTGAAGCCAGGAACCTAGGACTCCATCCTGGCCTCTCTGGTGGCAGGGTCCCACGTACCTAGATACAGTCCTGCTGCCTTGCTATGTTTATTAGCAGGGAACTTGATTGGCAGGGAGCAGCTAGGATATGAACTTTGCTGCATTGGGAAGCTGGCATTGTATGGGCGACTTGAACTCCTGTGCCACAGCACTCATCTGCTTCGGGGGAATCACCTTATTTCTGTGAGCCTTAGTTCCCTCGTCTGTAAACTGGAGGCAATAGTAGTATTACCTTATTGCAGTATTATCTCATAATTATTTGAAAGGCAGAGTTATACAGAGAGAGTTTCCATTGGCTGCTTTACTCCCCAAGTAGTTGTGGCCAGAGCTGGATCAAGGCAAAACCAGGATCCAGGAACTTGTGGGTCTCCCATGGGGGTGCAGGGACTTGTGGATCCCCCATGGGGGTGCAGGGTTCTAAGCACTTGGGCCATGTTCTGCTTTCCCAGGTGCTTGAACAGGAAGTTGAATCAGAAGTGGAGCTGCCGGGACTCAAACTGGTGCCCATATAAGGATACCAGTTAGCAGCAGGTGCTTTACCTGCTATACCTCGACATCTGCCCCCTTATCTCATAGGGTTTCTGTGTGATTAAATGAGGTCACATGAGTGAAGCTTTAGCATACCCCCAGGACCCCTTGGACACTCCAGCCACAGTAACACTTAATAGTATTGCAGACTTTGCTGCACACTGCAGGCTCTGTTGCTGCCTGGCCCAGGACAGAACAAAATACAACATGCTTGTACTCCCTTGTTTTTGAGGCCAGATGTAATGGGAAACCCATGCTTGTGGGTTTGTGGTGTTAGAACTCTTTTTGTCATCTGAACTTGTATGTAGGCAAAAGGTACATGAAGGACTGAAGGAGGGGTCACCTGGCCATGGAGTTCATGCAGTCACACATGCTGCTCTTGGAGTCTGCAGTGTGTGCTGGAAGGCCTGGGTCATCCTGCAGCTCAGATGCTGCCCCACTGGTTTTCTTGATCAGGACACTGCTCAGTCCTGAGACACCTGAGCTCTGTAGGCCTGCTAGGTCAGTGGTTTTACTTTGTATGCTGTGCCCAGAGGACCCCACCTCACCCACACCTTGCTCAGAGACCTGTGTCTAGGCTGTGCCCAGAGGACCCCACATCACCCACACCTTACTCAGGGACCTGTGTTTGGGCTTTGGGCCCATCATTTGCCACGTCCTCATCTGACTCCACCTGAGATTTGGGGACTGGGCTGTTTTGTACTCTTCCCGTGCGCTGTTTGGATGAGGCACATGTCTCAAAGCACATTAAAAATGTGCTCTGCAGTGCCACGTGTTGAGTGTGGGTAACTGTTACTCAAGACCAACGGCTGGGTTCCTCACACCTAGCTGATCTTGACGAGAGCTCACCTGTGCAGCTCAGCTCTGCTAGGTTGTCCCAGCCTGAGACTAAAGCAGCAGCAGAACAGCTGCCTTTTATCATTTAGGTGAGGCTCCCATCAGGGAGACCCGCTCAGAGAAACACAGACTCCCTGCTGACTGACGAAGGGGTCCTTGTGGCCATGTGTCTTGTGTCATGTGCCTCAGGGATGCCCAGTACATGTGGTGCATGTGGAGTCCGGTCCATGGACCAGAAGTAGACTCCTCCCAGTGTGCATTGTTTATCTTGGGACCAGCTCTATGATATGGTGCACGAGAGCTGAGCCCTGGAGTCACCTTCTGCCTGTCACCTGCTGGCTCTGTGATTTGGGGTAAGCTGTCTGACCTCTCTGGGCCTCCATTTCCCCCAGTCTGTGACATTTACCTGTAAGCTTATCCTAAGGACTGAGTGAACTGATAGGTGTAGACTGTGCCACTTGGCCTGGAAGGCGTCTGGCACCCAGCCACAGTTTTGTTCTATTTTTTACACTGGGCCAGGATGAGCACTGATTGTCTCCCTTCCATGGGGTCAGCCGAGTCTCCAAGTGGTCTTTTGCTTCTGCCTGATAGTTAACAGTGCTTGCCACGCTGGGAGTGGCCTGCTCTCTTCTTGATGCTGTGCTTGGTTGACCCTGGTGGCCCGGCATGGGTAGGCGGGGCCTGGGGTATGAGCCTGAAGGTGTGCCCTTGACCACAGTCCTTTCTGCTGTTTGTGCCCAGGTGGCAGCACCACGGATAGCTCCGCAGGAAGCAAGGCTAGGCCCGAGACTGGGGAGGACGAGGGATTCCTTTCCAAACTTAAGAAAATGTTTACCTCCTGATATCCCAGCTGAGGTAGGAAAACCTGTGAGGTTTTTTCCGTTTGTTTATTTCTATGAGCTAACCCCTGTGTTCTGTCCCTGTTGCCATCATGCCCCTGCCCCACAGAGCTGAAGAGGTGCCACTGGAAGGCAGAGTAGTCATCTGCAGTACAAGGCAAGCCAGGACACAAGTCTGCTTTTTACTGCATCCCCTTCCTGGAGAGATTGTGTTTCAGGGGCTGCTTCATAACCAGTTCCCAGGAGCTCTGTGTCCTGCAGAAGGTGAATCAAGGCAGAGCCAGGCCTAGAATTCAGATCTCCAATGCCTCTCCTGCTTTGCAGCTGCCCCTCCTAAGTGGGCAGCAAGGGCTGTGCAGCCAGAGGCAGGAGAAGGGGCCGCACACTGTGGCAGCTCAGGACCTGTGCTATTGGTGCTGTCTCTGGTGGTGTGTCTCCACCACTTTGCAGGGATCCATAGGGATCACTCTCCTGTAGGGAGTGTTCTGTGGTGGGATGCCCATGGATGTAACCATTTGTCTCATTGGTTTAGGAAAGCGCTCAACCGGAAACTAGGCAAGGAAGCAGCAGCCCCTCCTTATGGCCAAGGCATCTTGGAGACAAGAAGATTCTAGAAAAGCAACACTGAGCCCCGCCTGCAGAACCCTTCTGAGCACTTGGCAACAGCAAAATCATGTGACAACACAAATCTCTCCAGAAGGTCCTGGTGGGCAGCCCGCACAGAAGGATGAGTGGCAAGGGCTATAAAGGGCTCCTATCCGCAGGTGGGTGACTCAGCCTCTCTGGCTCTGACAGGGTAAGATCCCTAGACACTTCTTGGAGCACTAAACTCTGATTTGGAATCAAGTGTGGTGGAGGTCATGGTTAGAGAACTGAAGGCCACGCTTACAGCTTAACAGTGAAGCCTTAAGCTGCACCGAGTTGTGAAGCAATTTCTTTCCCTCTGAGCACCCCTGTGGGTGGTTCTGGAAAGAGTGCCTTCTGACAAGTTGTCTTCACCACACGCCCACCGGCACCATCCTCCCTTACACATTGAACCTTAGCCGCAGTCCCCAAGGGCATTGGGAAGCTGGAGAGCTGGTATGTGGGGTATGGGGAGATGCTGGTGAAGACCAAAGCGCTCCTGGAAGCTCTGCTCCTGACCACATGTATGGTGGTCTGGGCAGATTGGGCAGTCCTTCTAGACCCTGGTCCTCATCTGTTAAGTTGTGTTGTCTTGAGTAGATGTGTTGACTCCTGCCATTCTGCTGCGCCACCACCACTGTGGCCCTGCCAGGCCGACTTCAACCACAGTGGATACTCGGTTCTCCCCACTTACACTGTTGACATCTGTTTTCCAGAGTGTGGTTAGATTATTCAGTGCTAAGAATCACAGTCTTTGCCTGTGTGAATGTTGGTTCAGGAAGCAGAGCAGCATCTAAGCAGTTGTCATTGAGCTGGAGGACAAGGCCCGTCCGTCTCTGCTCGTAGCTTTGCAGTTTCTGTGTGTTTCTGCATCTTCAAGCTGTTGTAAGGAAGGTTAATGAAGAATGCTTCTTGGCCATTTCCTTTCCGTTCCTTTATAATTTACAAAAATAAAACATCTATTAGTGTCTGATTTAAGAATGTAAAATGATTCTGTATCCATGTAAATAAGATTATCTACTGCAAAAAAAAGATATTTAAAACCTAAATTGTGGTCTTTTCTTCTTTACAAGTGTGTGTATTGAGTCTTTGTTACTGCAAACATAACTTGGGTTTGGCAGGCTACAGAGAACACAGATCTATTCAGTTTGCAGTTCTGCAGGCTCAGGAGCAAGGCGCCGGCACCATTCATTCTGGTGAAGAACTCCTGGCAGATGACACTGTTGTGGGACCTCTAATCAGGGACCCCCAAGAACTGCCTTAATCCCATCTGAGGTAGGGCTTCCAGTAACTTTTTAACGTTTCACTAGTTTTAAAGGACCTGGCACAAACCCTTTGTCAACACATGAAGACTTCAGGAAAGAACCTGAAGCGATAGTGGGAAGAGGTGGACCTTTCAGATGGATATTCACCTGGCCTCGTCTGCATGGTCACTGCCCCCAGAGCACACACGCTGATGCGTCCAGGCACTGACGAGTACTGCTTCATTCCCAGAGCAGTATGCTTGCTCCAAGACAACATTCTTGTGCTGTGAATGAAGGTCTTAGAATTTGATGTGACTTTTTCTGTTCTTGGTTGTTGCACTGTTGAGGGAGGGATATGCAGGATGGAGAAACATCAGTATTCTCCCAGCAGAGTCCTAACACCTGTCACAGCAGGAGGGGCCATGACACCAGGCTCAGACCCAGTCTGGATTACAGGGGAAGTGTGAGAACCTCTGGGTCATGTGAAGAGAGAGCTGAAGGACAAGAAAGGCTCAACTGATGTTTTGTTACTTGTTTTCAAGAAGTGTTTGTTGTCTGCCTGCTCCGAGCACTCAGTGTAGGCGGGGACTATGCCAGGTGTGTGGATGTCCTGTGTGTCCTAAAGCTCAGGTCGTCCTCTTCATGTGGTCTCCTCTGAAAGCAGTATCTCAAGAGGCACTGATGATGCTGTGTGGAGGCTCAGTCCCCATGGGAGGTGACTGTCCACATCCATACCTTCAGGTGGCTCCAGCTGATGGGTTTCATTGCCAGGCTTCGTTGTGGCTTCTGCATGGACACTGGGATATAGCATGAGGCACGTGAATACAAAAAAGTGGGGAGGCATGGTAAAGAAACCCTGTGCTTGAGTTGCCAGCACCAGTTCTCCAGTCCTGGCTGTTCTGACCCTGAAGCAGCTTCCTGCTAACACACCTGGGGAGACAGTGGATGGTGAAGCAAAACTTGGCTCCTGCTGCGACATGGCCTATCTGGATGGAAATCCTGGCTCTAGGCTTGAGCCTCGAGCAGCCTTGGCCATTGGGGGCATTTAGGAAGTGAACCAGCAGATGGAACACTCTCCCTTTCTCTCTGCTCTTTCAAATAAATATACACTTGGATGGATCCCCAGCAAAGAGCCAAGTGAACCCACAGTCCCGTCATAGAGGCTTGACTTGCAGCTTGAACTGTGGTGGAAGCAGTTACATCCTTAGTGCAGTTAGCTTCACCTAGGGAACTTGAACCTGCCACTGCGGGTTTTGTTTTGTATTTTTACTGAAAAGTGGAGCTCCCATTTGCAGGCTCACTCCCTTCAGAAGCCCGCAGTGGTTGGGAGGGGGCCAGGGCAAAGCAAGCAGTGGCGTGTCCATCCAGGCCTCCCACATGGCTGAGCCGCCCAGGGTGCCTGGTGCACACCAGCAGGAGTGGAGCCAGGACTTAGGCACAGGCACTCTGATAGAATATGGGTGCTAGGCCTTACACCTGTCCCCCAGGTGACTTTTTTTTTAAGACTGATTTTATTTTTATTGGGAAATCAGATACACAGTGACAGAGATATTTCATCCACTGATTCACTCCCCAAGTGTCTACAATAGCCAGAGCTAAACTGATCTGAAGCCAGGAGCCAGGAACCTCTTCTAGGTCTCCCACGTGGGTATAGGGTCTAAGGCTTTGGGCCATAAAGCTCCCAGGCCTGGTGCCCATATGGGATCCCAGTGTGTGCAAGGTGAGGACTTTGGCCATTGGGCTACATGCACCAGGCCCCTATTTCTTTTTTAAGATTGATTTATTTGGGCCCGGTGCGATAGCATAGTGCTCAAGTCCTTACCTCCTCACATGTGCCAGGATCCCATGTGGTCGCCGGTTCTAATCCTGGCGGCCCTGCTTCCTATCCAGCTCCCTGCTTGTGGCCTGGGAAAGCAGTCGAAGATGGCCCTAGGCCTTGGGACCATGCACCCATGTGTGAGACCCAGAAGAGCTTCTGGCGCCTGGCTGCTCGGATTGGATCGGCGCAGCACCGGCCATTGTCGTCATTTGGGGAACGCATTATCCGAAGGAAGATCTTCCTTTTTGTCTCCTCCTCCTCCTCTCTATATATCTGACTTTGCAATAAAAATAAATTGAAAATAAAACAAAAAAAAAGACCAGGTTATTTGCTGTGGGTAGTCCACAGTATGTAGAGCAGTTAGAGGGGACTTTGTGAGGTCACCTACTATTTTGTACCTTCCTTTCCAGGACAAAGGTGAAGATAGGAACTGGGAGAGAAGGGCTGGGTCTTCCTGGTTGCATTTTGCATGTGGTGGACTAAGCCTAGCACACTTTGAAGTCACGTGTGTGTTCAGTTACCAAGTGATCATGTCACTTTGAAATGGCCTCCATGGCTCCCACTCCCACACATCAAGTACTTGATTCCTCCTGGGATTTCCATGGAGCTGGGAGCCCCACACCCACAACTGAGTCTCAGAACGAGCCCTTTTCTTTGGCAGGCCATGTGCTAGAACAATGGCTTTATTTTAAATCCTTTTGTAACACAAGAAAAGATGAATTGTGTCTCTGCACCTCCCTCCCCAGCTGGGGGTCACGCTGGGCAAGTCACAGCTGGGCGAAGTCCCCTTTGTGCTGCTCCAGCCACTGGTCTAGTGTCTGGACCTTGGGGTTCAGTCTCAGGGTGAGCTCGATGTTGCGGTCAGGTTTCAGGGCATAGAAACGGAACATGTTGGCCAGGTCCTGGGCTCCAGGGAAGCCCAACTTCTCGTATTCCTCCGGAGTGGTCTAGAAGCAGAAGAGCCCGTTAGTTCAGCTCCTTCTAGGGCCCCATGGGGACAGCCGAGGGGAGACAAAGCCCCATGTCACTGAGGTTCTCCCCTGCCAAGGTCATCTGTAAGCTTTTTTACTAAAAAGATTCAAGTTCAGAAACCAGTGTTCTGAGTCACTTTGGGGTCTAGTCTTTTTTTTTTGTTTGTTTTGTTTCCTTGTTTTAAAGATGTGTGGTTGGGTTTTTTTTTTTTGCTCAAAAGGCAGTTACAGAGATCCTCCGTGACTTCCTGGAGACCTTCCTACTTGGTCAGACACAGAAGCCAGAAATGTCACTGATGCTTTTCTCCAGAAGCAGCACCAAACACATGGAAACAGTGACAGGAGGAAGGGCAGCCCTACACCCTCCTTCCCCACAACCCAAAAGCCCTGTGGGAGTCCCCCCAGCAGGAAGAACCCACCCTGGCATCCTGCACTGCCTTGCCAGTGTGCTTGGTGAGCAGGGCCGCGTACTCCTCTGCCGTGTGTCTGCAGGCACTGAGCCCGATGTTCTGGCCCACATACTCCTCTGGCCTCTTGAGCAGGCTGAGTACCACAGGACCTAGGTCACTCACAGCCATACTGTCCATGGGCACGTCCCCCAGGGGCAGGCCTGTGGGGCAGAGAGAAGAGGGGCACAGCCTGTCAGGGGAGGACAGGCTGGTTTTCGCATCCTTGAGTTGACAGCTTCTGTGTGGATCAGCACTCAAGCCCGCCTGGGCCAGGTCTGAGAGTCTAGTGCTGTGGAAGCTGCGGTGGGACTGCTCAAGAAAATAGTGGAAAGCGTTTGCTGCCGCCATGGCTGGTAGGTTAGGCTGAGCCTAGCTTACTTCATTCCCAGGAACAGGAACCCAGGCCTACCCATCCCACTCAAGTCTGAGGAGCAAAGGACAAAAGGAAGACAGTGTGACAGTTGCCACCAGGAGTGAAGCTGCTGCTCAGGAGCCCCACTGTGACACTGTCCTATCCCAAATTCCTAAGGGATGGAAACTATATAGGTGGATATGGTCCACACCAGCTGTTATAGGAATCGCAGCTGACCCCCCACCAGGATAACTCCATTTCAGGAGTGAAGTAAACAAACTGCTAAATGAATGGAGACCTTTCAGATGTCAGCAGATGAGGAGGCAGTGCTTGGTTCCTGCTGTCCTTCATGTATGGGGACAGACTGATGTAGTGGGCGCCTCAGACCACCCAGGGAGCCTAAGGAGATGAAGCCACAGAGACCAGGACAGGCCTCAACACAGCAGCTCTACACACTCCAAAGGGTGGTGCCAGTCCGCTCGCCAGGCAGGTACAACTGCCTTGGCCATGGTCACTCGTGCGGCCTCACGAAAGGACGACTGGGGTGTGCAGAGCACCCCCTGCCCTCAGCCTCTGTGGTGGTCTGCTCTAGTCTAGAAGTAGCTGTCAGAATACACGTGGCTGGGGCCAGTACATCCAGCCCTCGTCTACAGCTTGCCAAAGGACACTAAGAACAGCAAGCTTCCCTGCGTCTCCTTCCTGCTGAAGAAGTTAACAAGTTCCCGTTCTCCTCTCAGCACAGCTCTCCAAGTGAACCTCACTCACCATCACCCATGGTTCCCACAAACATCAGTCATGCCCACTTTTCAGGACAAGAAGCTGTGCCATCTGAGGAGATGCCCGCCTTCTGCCACACATGATACCACAAGATGACAAATCTGCCTTGGGGCACTTACTCAACAAGTAGCTCTTTCCATCTGGGGCTTTCTGGGGCAGAAAGTAGGAGAGGAAGTTCTCGAAATAGCAGGGCAACCGCACGCTGGTCATGGGAACGCCAATGTCCCGGAAATAGTCCTCTACCTCCCCTTTGCCATCAAAGTGGCCGGCTGCCAATCTTCCAGCTGTCAGCTTTCTGATGTTCTCCAAGCCACTGTACACCACATAGTGAAGGCCCAGGCGCTTGGCTACATCAGCCAGC